TCTCTGAAAGGAAACATGCAGAAAAAAATGTTTTCTTTGATATATCTACTAAATTGTTAAGTCTGCTTGATGTATTTGACCTGCTTAGGTACTCACCACAAACATGTTAACTTGGTACTCCAACCACAAAAAAAGCCCATCCCAACGAATAAAATAAAGCTAATGTCTGTTACATGAGGCGCACAGAACTATTGCTGTGGACTGACTAAAGAAGCCCCAATGCATAGCCAGATGTAGTTACACTTCTGCCAGCAGAGGGGGTTAAACTCCACATATGCAGTGTTTCATAGTGTAATGCTGCATGTACAGACTCCAGGTACCAATACCTCTTCAAATCACTAAAGTAGTCATGGTGCTTGAAGTGATCCTTCAAAGTGCAACATATAGTTTCAGGTTAGCTTTTGGTTGTGCTATTTATTTTCTTGAAGAATAAAGATTTTCTGTGGCTGGCCAATCAGACTACCCATTGCAGCTCAATGAAAAGTCTTTGCAAGGCAGGTACTCCGAGCAATTGCTTCCTCTTGAGTTCAGTGGCACTGAGGGAAACAACAAGGAAATAACATAACTGGTAGTCTAACCAGGTTAATTTGAAACCTGCACTTTTTGTAACATAATTAAGAGAACACCCTTCACATATAAAGCACTTAAGCAAGCTAAAGTGCTTTAGGTGTTTGGAGTAGCTTTTTAAATTTTGTTGATGGCAAAATGATGGTATTTCTCTTCATTTAGATGTGTAATGGGTTCATATTGATTGTCTGTGTGGTAAACCATGTATAACACGAGAAACTGCTCTTGCATGGCATTTTTTGTTTTCTTCAATTGTATTTTCTGTTTAGATCCACAGGATGAAAATAAAATAGGCATAGATGGAATTCAGTTGTTCTGTGATGATTTACACCTGGATCCAGCTAGCACCAGTGTATTAGTGATTGCTTGGAAATTCAGGGCAGCTACACAATGTGAATTCACTAAAAAGGAGTTCATAGATGGAATGACAGAACTTGGGTGAGTAGAACACTGATAACTAAACTTGTTATACTCTGATCAAATTATATTTTTTGACTTAAAGGAACAGTCCAAAAATCCTAACCACTACAGTCTGCTGTAATAGCGATAGTGTCAGCAGTGCCGTTCCATTTAAAAGCCTTTCAGAATTTTTATTGTTCCCTGCATAAAATGCTTTTACCATTTGGGAAGCACTATTACCAGTTTTCCTTCGTCACCTACTTTTTCCCATTTCCCAACAATTTACAATTCTTTACCTACTATTTTATCAATAATATTGCATTTTATTATTACTATTTCTTTTTAATTGTAAACCTATACTTCAGCGTTTGGTTAAAACTAACAATACCGTGTGTGTGTGTGTGTGTGTGTGTGTGTGTATATATATATATATATATATATCACACACACACACACGTACAAAAGCAACAGTGAAATCCTCCCAAACAATGTATTTAAAGGGACACTATAGGCACCAAATCAAATTTCGCTTAATGAAGCAATTATGGTGTATAGGTCAAGCGCCTGCAGTCTCATTTCTCAACTATCTGCCATTTGGGAGTTAAATCACTGTTGTTATTGCATATGCAGTATTAACCACACCTTTAACTTATTTTATAAGTTTGTATCTCCTGCTCTGCAAATTGAACTTAAAGCACACACAAGAGGCTCTGGCAGGGCATAGCAAGCTATTTACAGTGCAGGAGAAAAGAAATTCTAAATAAAACAATGTGCAATAAAGGAAGTGTAAACATTTAATTACTCTTTACAGGAAGCGTTTAGGAAGGCTGTGCAAGTCACATGCAGGGCGAGGTGACTAGGGCTGCATAAGCAAAGTGATTTAACTCCTAAATGACTGAGAATTGAGCAGGAACATGATCTACACACCAAAAATGCTTTATAAAGCTAATGTTGTTTTGTGCCTATAGTGTCTCTTTTAACTTGATAGGTTAAATTAAAAACATTATTGGTTAATGTGAAACACATTTAAAAAAAAAAAAAAAACATATGTAAGGTCCCTGCTCGTGCTTAGTAGTTGTCTCCCAAAACCAAAACCTGTACCATTGCTGCTAGAGTCTAAGGGTGAGGGGGGTGAGCTTTACTTACCTTAATCTGTTGGTCCTGAGTGAGTTATTGGTTGCTTAGCTCAACTCAAGAGGCAGCAATTGCCCCAAGCACCTGCCTTGCTAAAACTTCTCATTGAGCTGCATTGGGTAGTTTGTGATTGGACATACCAGAGTCCAGCCCCATGAAAATAAATGCATTATTAAGTGCATGAATGTTATAATTGGTGTGTGTATACTAAATAGTGATTTATTTTTATATATTTTTGTTTATTATTTAGTCAGTGTAGTGTTCCATTTAAGTTTCATTAAAGGGATTCTATAGTGCCAGGAAAACAAACCCGTTTTCCTAGCACTATAGGCTCATGCATTGCCCCCCTCCCGGCCAACTGTAAGGGCTATAACTCCTTCAGTCACTTACCTGAATCCGGCGGCGATGTCCCTTGGCGGTGGGTCAGACTTGACCACGCTTCTCCCCTGCCGATGTCAGCTGGCGGGGGAGATCTAATGCACATGCGCGGCAATGGCCGCGCTCGCATTAGGATTTTCCCATAGGAAAGAATTATTCAATGCTTTCCTATGGGGGGAAAATCTGACGCTGGATGACTTCATGCAGAGCGTGAGGACGTTCAGCGTCAGATAATGGACCAAAGGTCCGTTTGGATTCCGGAAGTACCTCTAGTGGCTGTCTGGTAGACAGCCACTAGAGGAGAAGTTAACCGTCAGAGGTAATTATTGCAGTTTCTCAGGAACTGCAATATAAGGGACATGGGACATTGCAACCAGACCACTTCAATGAGATACAGTGTCCCTTTTAAATGTAATAAACTTAAAGGGCAACTGTCAATTATTTATTTTTAACATTTTTAGCTTTACCTATACAGAGCATTTTCCTTTCAAAGGAAGTAGATCAAGGTTATAAAAATAGTTTAAGGCCATTTATAAAAAGTTAAAAGGTAACTCTAAGCACCATAATCAACTTGCATTACTGCTTCATGCTTATAGCACCAATCCCACTCTAGTCTTGAGAGTGTCTATATCAGCAGCACATGAAAAGCCCATGGCTTTGCCAATACTAAAACATACTTAGTTACACTAGACCGTCAACTAGGCTGCATATAGGCTGATCACGGTGACCGTATATCTGCTATCTGTTTAAGAGCAATTCCAATCATCCTATGCAACGGCACTCCTGACACCATAAATCATAACCGTTCCTAAACTTCTGTACACCAGTGGTTTGTAGGATAAAAAAAATATCCCTAAAACAGTTCCAATTGATCACATAGGGTAAGTTTAACCACTCTGTAATGTGTAAACTAATTGCAGCCATAATTCTTTCAATTCACACATATTCCAGTTCACCATTGAGTGAACAAGGCTAAGTTCAGTTCCTGGCAGAGCCACTGTCTGTGCATGCACAGTCCACAGCTCAGCTGTATCCTTGAAGGACAGAAAGATTGCCCCAGGTTGGATGTGCTTGAATAAAATTTAACACAGGTAACCATAACTCTCGTTTGGAGTTGAATGGCAGCTCTGAGTTTCTGCAGCAGTTCTAAGCCACTTTCAGAGCTGAGTGTCTGCAGGGTGCCTTAGTCAGCATCAACTTTACAATTATGAAATTGTTTCTACATATGACGAAGAAGGGACTTTGCAGTGCAGTACTGTACTAAGTCTGTAATCCAGTTGCTAATTTGAAATTATATCGGATCAATCTTCATTACTCCCTCTTTAGTTAAATAGGCGTTTTGGTTTTCTCATAAAGAGATATACAAAGGGAAAAATGTCTACATCAGGACTGTGTAATGGTGTGTTTTCAGAGACTTAAGGGGTATGTGAAACACTGAAAAAGGAACATATAAAAAAATGCACTTGTCTCAGAATATAAAGTACTTTTTTGCATAATATGTTTCACTGGTATTTAATGTACATGTCAGTAGATACATAGACTGATAAATTTGAATGTACCATTGTCTTTTGGCAGGTGTGACAGCACAGAAAAATTAAGAGCTCAGCTACCACGATTAGAACAAGAACTCAAGGACACTCTGAAGTTCAAAGACTTTTATCAGTTTACATTTAATTTTGCAAAAAATCCTGGTCAAAAAGGCCTTGGTATGTACATTGGCTAAGATTCACCTGCATGATGATATTTATTATATATTCTGTCAATTTGTCAATCCTCAAAGGCACTGATGGGCAAACTTGCAAGCCACAGAGGTGAGCTAAGGGGGTGCAGGCATTGCAAACAGGCACCCCATATTTGGAGGCAGATTTACTGCAAGTAGCAGATCTTAAATAATAATCAGAACATGGAAAACAAAAAATCCCAGTAACCTCTCCCACCAAGTAGAGGAAGTAACAGGAAGGGAGCACAGTAGAGAATGGTAGTAGCAAACAACACTAACTTTTATACTTTTATTAGAAACTAAAAAAAGTAGCTCAACATTAAGTGATAATAAAATTGTATCTAAGACTGGGGAAACCAAGGAGATAAATGGTAAGGATCAATACCACCCTATAATACCTGCTCCTAACTACATAATGTCCCCAAAAGGGCCCTAGGGTACATTAACCCACAGTGTGTATAGTCCAGGCTTCCTCAAACTCCAGCCCTCCAGATGTTTCTGAACTGCAACTCCCATGATTCTATGAATGAAATAGGCTGAGAATCATGAGAGTTGTAGTTCAGCAACATCTGGAGGGCCGGAGTTTGGGGAAGCCTAGTATAGTCGCTTCGCTAGAGTCTTTCAATATAGAAGGACCCAAAAAACTAAATCGGGTAACGGGGCTCCAACAAAACTATTTGGTAAAGTGGCAAATAGCTATTTTATATTTTAAAGGATCCAAAGAATGCTAGAACAAGTAGAGCAAGAAAGTCAACACAACATCATATGAAAATCTCCCTAATCCGGAGAAACCGGGAGTCTGGGAAAGAAAGAGAGGATCCCTAAAATCACAGCCAAAAATGGCTAAATAGTGGTGTCTAGGGGCAAGTGGAGCATGTAAGGGGAGTTGAAAGGAATGCTACTCATAGCTTAATAAAGGAATGAAAAGTAAAAATCCCCAATAGAAAAAGACCAATAGAGAAAACAATTACTATACTGTCACTATTTACCTCATCACCACATAAAGCTAGTCCGTACCTGCACCAAATTTCCCTCAGAATACAAAAAGTAAATGAACTCAAAGGGGAGTATACAAAGTTCAACCCATGATGTGTAAAAGTGAAAAATGACAAAGGAAAGCTCAACGCACTTTTCAGTGTGCTCACACCCCATTGCCAGGGGATAAGTATATTCAGAACACACAGAAATGCTTTGTCTTATGAGTACCGCTTCTAAATATCCTCAGATGTTTTTTCTACTATTAACTGTGCTTCAACATAGTGATCCTCAATCTGATATGAAATAAAAGAACACAAATACAATAAATAAACTATTGGAATTCTCCACTATTTCTGCTCTTTTCTTGCACACCATATTGAAGGACAATTAATAGAAGAAAATTATTAGCATATTTGGAAGTTTTACACATCAGACAAATCTGTTTGTTCTATGTATATAGGTATTTTCCACAATACGTGTCTGCTGCTTTCTTCTACTTCATTAAAGAAGTTTATTGTTATGCACAGACGTATGTCAACCAAACCAAAAAAATTAAAACAAATGGGTGCAAATTATGGTAAGGGCTGCTCCCTCACTGGCCATGGTAAATACGAAAGAATAGAGCTCAATGCACACCAGTAGTATTCAATTCCATTTAACAATTAAGTAGTCACAAGAAAGTTTATCATCTAGTGAATTATAACAATACGTTATACACTTCAGTACTGCAAAGTATATTCAAAATCCCAAATAGAGGGGGCAACGGAGCACATCCTAGAAACAAGTTCATGCAAAATAGAGAAGATGTCAAAGTCTAGTAAAGTATTTTACCTTCAAAGTTCACAAATGTGGAAGTTTTAGCCCGGAGACCAGTGATAGTCTAATTCTCTTAGCTTATCCTTGAACTCCCAGTGGCAGAAATAAAAACATCAGAATAAGGTATTTTTTTTAAAATGTGCTATTTATTCTTTTTGAGATGTGCCTTTAATACATATTTCTAATTACACTTTTTATTTTTTAAATTATTTATTTTTTGGCCATGCTGTGAGAAAAAGATAGGGTTATCATATACATTAGTGTTTTACAGTAGTCATTGAACTCTTGTGTTACCACTTAGCACATATATATATACACACAGATGCACTCTCAGGACTTTTAAGTGGATAAAAAAATAATTTATTCCAATATGTATCACACCAAAAAAATGTCCTGAGAGTGCATCTCTTCATTTATTTGTATATATCCACAACGTGGGATTGCACCCAGGCATAAACCAATTGCTTTTGGAGAAAGGGTGAGTGCCAAGTTAGCTATTTTGTGTGTGTGTGTGTGTGTGTGTGTGTATATGTGTGTGTGTATATATATATATATATATATATTATATATAAAAACTTAACATGCGTGTGTTTCTAGGCAGTATTGGGAGACAGTAGTGAGTTTAGGTACTTCTGGTGGATCGTGAGTACGGTTATCAAGCGTGCGAAGTGGTAATAGTGGATCCAGAGTGGGTGCTTTATGTCAGTTATATAGGTTTATACTTTTTGTCTTATGGAGAGTGATTTAGAGAAGTGCCACTCGTGGATATGTGGGTTGTAGTTTTGATTAGAAATGTGTGAGAGTAGACTGTGTGAAGACGCTTCATCCTAAAGGAGGTGTAGTATATCCGTGTGCTGTGAAGGTACGCTGCAGGGGTAGTAACCCTAACCGGTGGTTGTCGGGGGGGGGAGGTGTTACGCACTGTCACCGTTCTCCTCACGTTGTTACACTAGTGGGCCTGGTCAGTAGAGCGCAGAAACGATACTGTCAACATGGGAACCGGCAGCAATGAAATGGAAAAAAAAAATTAAGAACTTATAACTCTGTATAGCCTTTGATCAAGTTGGGATAGGAGACTTCTCCCCCCCCATAGCTGTCAAGTGGCCAGAGGGTCCTCTCGTCTGGCTCTTGGTGTAAACGGCTCAATTGTCGCTGGATCCCAGATCTGAGTGGTGTTCTGGCCAGTCGTGTCTGTTGTCGTATTTGAGAGACCTAGAGTTGATAGTAGCGTGGGGGCTTCAGTTCCGGAGGTGATTTTGTGTGTGTGGTCCCCTTATGAGTGGCTAGGTGGCATAGTGGGGTACCCCATCGTTATGTCATAGAATAAAATCAATTTATAACTTTTGTGACATGCGTTTTTCTGGATTTTTATATTTGATGTGCTGTCTCTCACTGTTAAAATACACCTACAATTAAAATTATAGATTAGTAATTTCTTTGTCAGTGGGCAAACATTCAAAATCAGCAGGGGCTCAAATACTTTTTTCCCTCACTGTAGCTGTCTAAAGGAACACTCTAAGCAACACCTCTACAGCCGTCTTGGTCGTTATGGTGCCAAGAAAGACTTTCTGAGTCCCCCAAGCACCTGAACCTCATCCAATCATCTTCTGCAGGAGAAGCCAGAAGTCTGTATAGAATAATGCACAGCTGATCCAGGACCACAGGCTGTAGTGCTTGGATTGTTCCTTTAATATTACAGATTTCAAAAATATTGTATATATTTCAAAACAAACAATATTGTATATACCTGTAGCCTTAGAAGTCATTGAATGTGTTATGGGAAGATGTTTCAATGAGTACTTGTGTTCTTTTTTTTTGTCTATATGTGGAACATGTCTGAGGTCACCAACTAGGGTAGTTGGGCAATTCACACATAGTTAAATAGCACAAAGAAAGTACCTTCTGAAAACATTAATTTAGAATTGCATTTTGTAGTAGTTTTGCGACCAAGTATTAAAAGGTTGTACGTTGTGAGCTTCACAAAGCTAGAATTTGTGTCAAGGCTGTAATTCTGGAACCACTTCTAACAAAATAGGGAATAAACAGAAAAAGAAACAAATGCCATTCTACCTGTGTATGATTTACTGAGAAGACTGTAGATTAAAAAGTAACTTTTAATAAATAAATCTAAAATAAGAATATAAAAAAGAGAAAAATAATATGAACAGCAGGAGTAAATGGAGACTATACAGCGAGTAAAACTCTGTGACTACTTATATAAGCTGTAAAAGTGTATACATAATAACACTAATGCTGAAGCAATACTGTTTAGCTACAATATAACATCAGTGTATTCCCAAGTAATAGAAGTGATACTGTATTATATATCACTAATAGCTGTAGCAAATTAGTAAACAGTTTAGCAGATAAACGTTGCTATGTTCGTTCAACTAACTATGTCACTATTGTTAATCACATATAAGTTAAAATAATGACATTATTGTCATTTTGAGAATTACTGTTACTTACACTGTTACTTACACTTTTCCACCTTTTCTTTTTTTTTTATAATCAATCTTTTTAACATTCAGTAAAAAATAAAATATAAAAAAACCATAAGATTCAGGTCAACATAGGGTTAATTAGTCAATTATTTCTTAATGGTTGAGATTCCCTCCCCAAGCTACCATTGGTCAGAATCCTGAAAATCCTCCAATCAATTGAGAGCTTATGATTTAAATACTCCTATGTTTGCCAGCATCTGGTTCCCCTCTGATGAGCTTCACTGGCGAAACGTGCACGTCAGGGGCTCTGGACACTTACTGACACATTATTGGTGTCGGCATCTAACTCTCTCTGCTTATCTATTGCTAAATTACCGACATCAAGTTCATTTATGTCCAGCATTTCAGGAGTGCATATTGGAGACTCTTAACACTAATTTTGTGTACTCTGTACATACTTTATTTCTCTTTCTTTTTCCTTTATTATGTGTATGGGGGGAGATTGATAAGACCAGGCATTTTATTAAGGGATGCCCTCGAAGGCACAAGACTTAGGAATCTTTATTCTATATGCCTTCCTCTGTCACTGTCTGTATATTTTCTACTACCTAGGCAACCTGTTCAAAACTGTTTGTAAACCCTCTCTTTATACTTTGACCTATTTAGATGCAGCTAGCATTTAGGCAACTTGTGTGATTTTTAACCAGTTAACTGCTGCCTGTCAGAAGTCCTTCACAGGTGAGCTACTACTTTGTGCTCCACTGTGGTCAAGCATAAGTTAACATCATTCAGTGCAGGCAGCTGTTGTAACACTAGAATATACTGCTAGGTATCTTGCAGAAAAAAACAGAGCCAGGTCAGCAACCCCTTATTTTACACTTTACTGCTTGACAGCAAGCTTTAATTTATTATCAAAATGCTGCTATGATCTAGGCAGCTTTTGTGATATTTAACTGGCTAATCGCCGTCTGTCAGAAATCTGTCTTAGCTGAACTATTGACAGCACTGGTTTAGCAGTTGTCTTATCTCCCCCCCCCTTTTTGCTACAGCTATTAGTGATATATAATACAGTATCACTTCTATTACTTGGGAATACACTGATGTTATATTGTAGCTAAACAGTATTGCTTCAGCATTAGTGTTATTATGTATACACTTTTACAGCTTATATAAGTAGTCACAGAGTTTTACTCGCTGTATAGTCTCCATTTACTCCTGCTGTTCATATTATTTTTCTCTTTTTTATATTCTTATTTTAGATTTATTTATTAAAAGTTACTTTTTAATCTACAGTCTTCTCAGTAAATCATACACAGGTAGAATGGCATTTTTTTTTTTTTTTCTGTTTATTCCCTATGATATTCACCATTTAGGGGTTACCCCCCTTTTTTGTGCCCTCTACCTTGTGATATCTAAATTTTGGCCCTAGGTTAATTATTTTTGTTTTCCTCGTATAACACTTCTAACAAAAGCACAAACTTACTTAAACTCATTTTAGAAGCACAATACCTAGACCTCTTTGCAATGGAACAAAATAATATTTAGGGATAGTCAAAAATGGGTCGCAAGAGAATACTGAGAACGGCAGCAGCTGCTGAAATAGCCTGCCCTTCAGTCGGTCCCCGCTCAGTTCTCAAGCTGATTTTTGCTCATCTTGTGCCATTACAGAAAACATATCTGAAGCATATCAGACTGGACCCACCCATACGGGCAGTCCAGATCCGAAATGCCAGCAAGTTCTCTTTGCACGAGAGATACAGCAACCCCAGACGATCGTTTCAGCCTTGTTAGGCCTCATCAGTGAGGCATAGCTGATATGTCCCTAGGCACCGTGAGCAAGGGGTCCACGTCTGGATTATCCCTTTAAACTAATATTTAGTCTGAGTTATCTTTCACCCCATTTTTTTTTTTTTACATTTTGTCGGATTTTGGTGATATGATGCTTTTAACTCACAATGTGTGTTGTCAGTACTTATTATGTACATGATTAGGCATCTGTAATTATAATGGCAGTACATTCTGGGGAACGTCAGGCCTAATGATTGTTATGTATGATTGTGTAGTGGCAAAATCATTATAAAAACATACAAAGATGAATTGCAGCTTTTGTGATACCAGAACATAACTCTTTCTATTAGGTCATTGGTATTAATATTTACTTATAGGTGCTTCTGCAATTTCATCTACCTTCATATTTGTTTTACAATGTTAGATTTAAAATGGTTGCCTCTGAGTTAGACCACATAGTTTTTTTTTTTGTTTTGTTTTTTTTCAATTGAAATCCTACTGAACAGTCAATATGACCTATATTAACTTAAGCCCATTTTCCACAACAATTTCATCTTCTTATTGCAGAGGAATTTGAGTCTTATGCAGATGACTTGAACTAAATTGCATACTTATACATTATTTTATCTTAAAGTTCTTTTTATTTTTGTATTTTCATCGCAGTTGTCTGGTTTGTTTGTTTTTTTGTCTTTGTGTTAGTAATGTTTCTTTTTTTATTTATTTTGTTACAGATTTGGATATGGCAATTGCATACTGGAATTTAGTATTGTCAGGAAAGTTTAAATTTTTAGATCTTTGGAATAAGTTTTTGCTGGTAAGTACTTCATTTCGTTTTTTTCTTTTATGTTTTATAGATTAGGTTAAACTTGTTACAATGTTTATGTTGAAGTGCAAGGTGTTCTTATTCAACTACCCTTGCCTTTCCAGTTTTATACTTCACCCTGCCAAACATCTCTCCAATTCCCATTCCATTTAATCTTGGTGTTAACTCCATCTTCATCTCATCTTGTTCTCTAGTGGTGCTATTTCCATTTTTCTCTTTCACATTTGCCCTGGGTTATCCTTATATGGGTGGATGTGAAAGTATCCGCTCTGCAAACTTGGGGGTGGGGGGTTTGTTGTGTTTGTTTTGTTTTTTTGGTTTTGGTTTTGGTTTTTTATCATCCTTGGGGTTAGTGCTTGCATTTAGTTTCATTTATAAAAAAAAAAAAAAAAATCTTAAGCTTACAGTGTTGCTTCTTTTACATTGTAAGATGTCTTAATGTGTAGGTTACAGTTTAGAGAAGTCTATGACAGAGCCAGAGGTGAGGAAACTTAAAAAAAAAAAAAATCAAAAATCTACTTGTCCATCATAACAATCTAATTGTCACACAAAATAATTTCAGATTGGGGCCTTTGCTTAGAACCCTGGACATCAACAGGGGTTTAGTGAATGAGTGTCTCATGCTCTGTCGCTCATGCCCAGTGTGTGTGGTTGATTAATGTGTTAGCATTGGCTTTATTTGTATGTACCTTAATGCATGGAAGGAGAATGAGGTGATAGAAAACAAGAGAATATGGTCTGCACCTCTAGCTGGTGCACCACAGAAATTGGTAATTCACAGTTCTGGGATTCCCAGCCTGCACTCAACTCATTATTGATCATCGTACCACAAAGTACTGATTTTTGTGGTCTGTACCCACCAGAAGTATAGACCAAATTCTCCCTGACTGACCCTTTCTTCCCCAAGATCCCCTGCAGAGGCCCAAAGTAGGGCTAAAAGTCTAAAAAAAATTTAAACATTGTTTGCTTAGTGCCCAGAACTACATGTCCAAGGTGTCAGTGCAGACCACACAAAATTAATTAGGAATTGGACATGCAGAGAGAAACTTTTTCCAAGTAACCTCACTAAATGGGGCAGAGGGCTTTTTGGTTTATATTGGAGGGCAGAGAACTAATTTCATCCTCTCAAGGATTGCGTACAGGAGAACATACAAATTCATACTGACAGATTCATTCATTGGGAGTTTACATGCACATTCAATTTTATTTTGTTTGCCTTGTTTTTGTTCAGGATGTCTTTCTAGTTTCGGTTAAATTGGTGCATATACAGTATAATTTAGCAAAATGTTCTATTAATGTTTTAGGAGCATCATAAAAGATCGATCCCAAAGGATACGTGGAACCTTCTGTTAGATTTTGGAAATATGATTGCAGATGATATGTCCAATTATGATGAAGAAGGTAATATATACATATAATTGAGATATGTTTCGCCATAGGAGTACTGCAAAATATTTAATGGGACTTTTCTGGGTAAAAAAATGTCTAGCTTGATTTAATCATCAAATGCATTTATAGCACACAAATTGCATACAAAACAGTGTGTATGGTTTGAGGACACCTTAAGATATCATTCTGTTAAATTACCGAATTCAGATAGTTTATTCAGTCTTTGTGGAAACTGTGAGGGCACTAAGAATTTTAAAGTGGGCAATCGTTAAAGGGACACTATAGTCACCAGAACAACCACAGCTTATTGAATTTGTTCTGGTGTGTAGAATCATTACCTTCAGGCTTTTTGCTGTAAACACTGTTTTTTTTTCAGAGAAAATGCAGTGTTTACATTACAGTCTAGTGATAACTTCACTGGCCACTCCTCAGATAGCTGTTAGAGATCCTTCCTGGGTCATGGCTGCCTAAAATGCATCCAAACATTCAGTATCTCCTCACTCTGCATGCAGACACTGAACTTTCCTCATAGAGATTCATTGATTCAGTTAATCTCTATGAGGAGATGCTGATTGGCCAGGGCTGTGTTTGAATCATGCTGGCCCTGCCCCTGATCTGCCTCCACGTCAGTCTCAGCCAATCCTGTGGAGAAGCACTGTGATTGGATCAGACTACCACTTCTGATGATGTCAGCAGACTGCTTGTGGGTTTTTTTAGGCAAATAGCATGCAGATCTACAGCTTCTGGCTTGAATACAGTAAGATGTTGCTATATTTATGGAGTCATGAGGTGCCCAGGGGGGCTAAATGGTGTTCACACTATAGGGTCAGGAATACATGTTTGTGTTCCTGACCCTATAGTGATCCTTTAACCATTTTTGTTTACGCCATATCTTAATAAACATGATATCACAGTCTAATTCAGTACAGCCAAAGTCAGACATACAATGCAAATGGAGAAACAAATGTTTCCGTTTTTTCTTTTCCGTGAATCATGTAAATTGGTAAAAAAAAAAAAAAAAAAAGCCAGCCTTTATCAAGATTACAGGGAGTCAGTATGGAGGTGCCCAGTATCTGTATAGGTCAGTGACGTTCTATGTATAATCTTATTTTTTAAGACCTCATAAAAACATATATGATAAATATATGAAATAACAAAAAAATATTGTTAAAAATTATGGAAATGGCAGCTCCCTTTTAAATGTAAGAGAATATACAATATCTATTGTCTCACATTTTTTTTTTTTTTGACAGTCAAGTCTAAGTGCAATAATACATTTTAATACTGTGTGGAAATTATTGGAATGAAGTTTCCAAAAATATAGTCTGAATGTTTTGTGCGATACATGATCCATTACCACCTCCTTTCTGATTGCTAGAGTGCTACAGTATTCCTATTTCAGTATACTGTGGGGCTTGCATTGCAGTTTTTTTTTTCTGTACATTGTAAGAGAACTAAATGCAACCCAAGTGGAGTATTGTGTTTCTCTGCATGGTGAAAAACTACATTGCAGTGGAGAGGAAGTTATGAAGGAAGGCTATTAAATAGTGTTAAAAAGAGTATAGCTGCCACAGTTTTACAAATTGTTAATTATAAGCAACTGTTCATAAACATCCAGAGATAGAACACCTCGTTCTGCAATACCCTTTACAAGAAACCCAGATTGTTATTGTGCTTGATATCCTTTCTATAGTTACTCTTCTGTTTTGCATTTTGTAACTAGATGATTTTATGGCTAAGTGATCTTGTGACACCTAGGTCAGTGCACCTGAGCTCAGTACTTGAGCACACATTCAGTTTTTTTCTGATATACACAGGTGACAACAGGGCCAGACTGGGGATTCCAAAGCAGCCCTGGAAAAAAAATCTATGCCAGCCCCATAAGTCATTGCGCCATATATTGTCGCATGTAATATGTAAGGCTATGTCTTGCCACCATAGATGATTGAGATATATCTTTTTCCAATATAAAATATTGGTCCTTTCAGAGTAAAATTTTTAATTATACAGTAAGCATACTCATATGCAGGCACAGACAATCTCACTGACAGAAGCTGATTGATACACAGCCTCATAGACAAACAATCTCACTGATATACATAAGGTCATTGACATAAAAACACAAGCTCACTCAGTAGCAGGCACACACACACACACACACAAGCAAGCCCACTCACTAGCAGGCACGCTTACACACACAGCTTAATGTAGTAGCTCTGGTGTCTATAGCCTGTCCCTGCAAGCTTTTCAATGTAAACACTGACTTTTTAGAGAAAAGGCAGTGTTTACATTGCTTCCTAGTGACAGACACTCAGACGGTCACTAGAGGTGCTTCCTGTGTCAGTGAGGTTTGGCTGAGATCCTCAATCTTGATCTCGGCCATAAAGGCAGGGCCAGTCGAGGGGAGACAGCACGACGTGGGGGGTGGGGGGGGAATGAGTAAAAACACACATACACACACCATGACACACCATCCGTGACACGGACGGGCAGACAGACATAATTGCTACCTGTGTGCTGGCGGCCACATGGGGAGTTCTGATGGCAGCCGCATGGGGGGAGCTGGCTCTTCTGGCACCTGCAGAGGGAGCTCTTTTGGCGGCCGCAGGGGGAGCTGGCTGTTCTGTCTCAGCTCCCCCGCCCCAGCGCGCAGCTTAATAAGACCGGGGCCGGAATATGACGTCATTTGTAGCGCGCTGGGGAGGGGAAGCAGAGACCGAACAGCCAGCTCCCTCTGCGGCCGCCAGAAAAGCCAGCTGCCTGCCTGGCCCCAGGTGCCGACGGCCCACCGGGAAAGTTCCCGGTATCACAGTGGGCCAGTCCGGCCCTGGGTGACCATACTAGTTGATACTAGTAGGTTAGTAAGAAAGGACTGCTCATTGTGTTTTGGATACTTATTTGGAACTCACTTTCACAATTAATTTGCTTTGTATGTTCTCTTTCCAGTCTGTTAAATTCTCCACATTAACTTTTAGAATAAATGCCAATAGTTTTAATTAGTTTGCTGATGTTTTGGTTTTCTTTGTTTTATTCCTTATGCTGGTCACCTAGATTTGCACTGTAATCTCTTGTCTCTATAGTATAAGGAATACAAAGCTCCCTCTGCCCACACGCCCTATTGCTTCAATGCTTTCCTGTGAAGATTTAACGGACGCTGGATGTCCTCATGCAAAGCATGGGAACGTCCAGTGTCCGGTGACCAAAAGACTCTTGGCAGGAAGTACCTCTAGTGCAGGGGTGCCCACAATGTTGATCCCTAGATGTTTTAAACAGCTTCCATTATGCTTTGACACTCCAAAGGCATGCAAAGCATCATGGTAGTTGTAGTTCAACATCTGGAGCTCTACCCTTTGGGTACTACATGCAGCCTTAGTCCTGCAATGTAATCAATGCAGTTTCTCAAAAACTGCAATGATCTATATTGCAGGACTGAGTGGGAAAGGGACACAGCACCCAGACCAGTTCAATGAGCTGAAGTGGTCTGGGTGCCTTTAGTGTCCCTTTAATATTTCTCTTGATTTATAATGTCTCTGTTTTTGTATTTTTGATATTTATTTTTAAAATTTGTGAATGTCTTTATAAATGTCATATATATATATATATATATATATATATATATATATATATATATATATATATATATATATATATATGTGATAATTTTTAATAAATCCTTCTTTCTTTTTTCCCCTCCCCTTCTCTGTTGATACAGGTGCATGGCCTGTTCTTATTGATGACTTTGTGGAGTACGCAAGACCATTAGTCACAGGTGGAAAACGTATACCTCTTTAACCATAGACATTTTGAATGGACTAGCAATGCTTTTGCCATTTCATTAGATAATGAAGACTATTTGGCCAATAACTGAGAAGACCATGTGACATAGTCACCTGGACATAAGGCGACATAGTCATTGTTGGAAACTTTGCCTCAAAACATTCTGGTGGACAGCTCTTGGACAGTTCAAGGAGATGCCTGAAACCGAGCACTGGCTGTTTTGTAGGACGCTGGCTTCATATCTTATATTGGTTGTATCATATAGGATGTAGAGATTGCATGATTTTATACTTTGGAGCAGATTAAATAGAGGCCATTTTATTAAAAAAAGTATGTATGTATATATATATATATATATATATATATATATATATATATATATATATATATATATACACACACACACAAAAAATAACTTAAAGAGCATGCCATTCGGTTTACGAGCCAGAATAAACACCAGCAGTTACTGAACAGCTGTATTATATTGTATCTATATAAAAAGCAGTATTTGTGGTATAAATTAAATCTCTAATGGAAACTTACATAGCATGTTGTTTTTGTTTGTTTTTATATACCAACTCTTTGATAATACTACAGAAACTCTGAGGCAGTGAATAATTGTGAATGTAAATTAAACACTTAGGCACGTGAAAGGCTGCTTTACTCTTCCTCACCAATCTGTTAACACTCCAGGCACCATAAGCACTCTATCGCAACTAAGTGGTTTTGGTGCCTGTAGTCCCGTGATACAAGGTGAATTGGCTAATGCCAAGGAGGGCTCTGTTCTTACTAGCGAGAGGACGCCGAGCAGGGCTGGCGCTCTCCTCTGTTGTTCAGGTGTAAAGCAAGCCGGGGGCCTGCTTTTTCAACCTTATATTACTTCCGCCAAACACAGAGTAGGGTGCCAGAAATAACAAATGTGCGTAGCAATGCAATGTGATTGCAATGCAATTCAGGTGCTAAATTTGACAACTAGAAGATTTTCCATGGTCATGGATGATTTAAATGTCCAGGAGCAACTACCTGTTTGCCAGGTGCTCTCAGTTCTGTTGCAGTGTGCTCTCACCAGCTCTCCAGCACACGCAGAGGCCATTAAGGTAAGACTTTCAGTTTTTACCTTTTTTATTTTTGTTTTTTTTTATTTTTATTTTTTTTGTGGTCTCTAGCATCTTTTCAGTATGTCAATCCTGAATCATCTGAAAAGGTAGAATGTATTTCAAAATCAAAGCATTTAATTTGTTCCTACTGTGTGCAGACCATTCCTGATGGGTATAAGTAAAAAGTTTGCAGTAATTGTTCAAAGGAAGCTTCTGAGGAAACTAAAAAGGCTTAAGTTTCGTTTCTGGTTCCAGAATAGTTTACAGCAAACCTTTTTTGAATATAAGATAAGCAGCCATTGAGTCAGTGTAGTCGTCTGCACTGTCAGAGCCAACTCTCAAGTCACCATTTATTGCAGAAAAAGCTTAAGCATTTTGAGGTTGCAGATACATTACAGACTCCTCATCTGTAGTTCCTGCCTCTGAAGTTTGAGGGGAAAAAATCCTGAGGATACTCTTCATAGGCTTATCAAAGAAGTACAGAGCCTCATGGAAAATTGTCCTCTAAATATTAAATAAATAAGCTGGCAAACGCAATAAACCTAAAGCATTTCCATTGCATCCTGGTTTGAGATGTGATGCTTGGAGAACGGAAGTATCCATGTAAAAGAAGCATTAATTTCTAAACATTTTAAAACCATCTTTTCTATTAAAGAAGAATCAGACAAATGAATTGCCTAATGTACTTATTGCTCAACTGGGGAAGAAAACCACCATACCTATTGGGTTTTTACTGGTCTCCAGGATTCAGTGGATAAAAAAAAAAGCAAAATCTTATTTGACAAAACTGTTTTGAACTACTGCAGCATTGAGTAAAGCCATTATTGCAGGAATATCAATGGCTAAGGCGTAAAGTTCTGGCTTGCCTCCCTAGAACAGATTTATTTAGGTGAATTCAAAAATGATCCGATTTAAACTTTTTTTTTTACAGGAATATCAGAAAAGCATCGGATTTTCAAAAAAACATTTTTGTCAGACTATTCATTAGAAGCTCTGAAACTTTACGCTAAGGCAATGTGGGCTTCTCCAACATAGTCAATGATTTACTGTTTGAACAAGGAAGACTATTTGGGTCATATCTGGATGTGTTGTTTAAACAAATAACAGAAGGAAAGAATGCTTTACTGGAAGTTCGTAAGAAGACCAAGTGGAGCAAAACATGATTCTACAGAAAGTCCTTTTGGAGACCCAATTCCAGAAGAAATCAGAGGCAACCCTTTGACTGTAAGGACAAGGCAAAATTCTCTGTTGAAAAGGATTGCAGATTATCCCTCCATTCCAGTGGGAGGAAAGCTTCTGGATTATGTCACCACAGACAACTGGATCCTGTTTATTATAAAAAGAGGCTACCTCTTTAACGAGATACCTCCAAGAGGTGTCCTTTGTTGAACTGTACATTCTCCCAAACCTTCCTCTGTACATTTCAGAGAGATGCTCATAATGTTGCAGAAACAAATCATAGAAATACTTCCAAGAGCAGAATAGTTTTTGAGAACCTCCTCAAGATTTCTTTTGCTATAAAAACCAGATGGTTACTTCAGACCGATCTTGGATCTAAAAGAGATCATTCTTTCTGCCACTCACAATAATCAACTAGGTTTCTGGCTGGGTTCGCTCATTCTAAAGGATGTTTATCTGCACATTTTCCTAGCAGAAGAAAGCAGAACCTTTGTGATATTTTCAATAAAAGTTCAAGAATAACTTCTCCTTTTTTAGTTCAAGACTTTTTCTTTTGGCCTCTCCTCATCTCCAAGGGTTTTTACAAAAATGTTGGTGGTTATCACAGCGAACCTAAGCAAAGAAGGTCTCAATATTTTACCCTACTTGGACAATTGGGTTCTCATAGCTTCTTCAGAACAGCTTTTAAGGTACATAAGAACTGCTTCAGATTCCTTAAACAGACATGGATGGGTCATGAACAAAAATAAAATCAGAATTGACTTCCACTCGCTCAATTCAATTCTTGGGGCTCACCTTACATACTGTACACATGGAAGATTTTTCTGCCAGAAGAAAAGAGAACAAAGATAAGCAAGCTCACGTTTAAATTTACAAGCATAAAATATAAGTTCCATAAGAGAAGCAATGAGGCTTTTATGTCGATTTACAGCTGCAATTCTAGCAGTAAGCTGGGCCAAGGCAAGGATGAGACCCTTGCACAAAAACATATTAACAGTGTGTGACAGAGAAACTTTATCTCTAGACAAGTTGATTAAACTTGATATTTCAACTTTTATGAGTTTCTGCTAGTGGACAATGTCTCTGTTCCTGACAGAGGGTCTTTCTTTTCAGATGAAAAATTTTATGATCATCACCACAGATGCTTCCAGGCGGGATTGGGGAGCTCACTAGTGACAAAAGGGAAATGTAGAACTCATAATTCAAAGAAATCTTACAATCACAGGGAGTAGAAAGTTTTTTGGTTAGCCCTTATGTAATTCAGGCCACATCTCCAGGGACATCAGGTGTATATAATGGACAATGTTATTACAGTCAAATATGTGAACCGATAGAGGGACTAAGTTATACCTAAAGGAGTAGGGGGAGAAACCTCTTTGACACTTTAGGTGTCTGCATGCCTTTTCCAGATTAGAGTCTATTCTAGTTGTAGTGCACTGCCTCTAATCCCAAGTAAAACACATTTACAGTAAGTAAAATGTGAGCTTTTTAAATGAAGATACCACAGGAGAAGAAGGCTCTAAGCACCATCAGCTTATCAGTGTTGTCTGAGGTTTTTTGTTTTTGGCCTAAGACTCTGCACCATAACCACTACAATAAGCTCCAATAGGGTATGGTGCATAACTTGCTTCTATGAATACATAGCACCCATCCTTTCTCCGCATTAGTTGCTTATAAAATGATGCATACAATACAAAGCCGGCTTGCTGACAAGTCCGGAGACTTGCAAGTGTCCAGTATCATCCAACTCTGCATTAGCAATGTTTTGATCATGTGGAATTTGAGAAGCTGACAAGAGATTCAATCACTACTTCAGTTTCTGTGAAAGGTCCATTTCATTCACTTATTATTGAATCTGAGCCGTTTTCACTAACAGGCCAGCTCTGGCAGCTACTTAACTTTTTTTTTTCTCCTAAAGTATATCTTGGCTTTGACGATCTGCAATCTGGTTTCAAAAGATATCTCTTCTGTTTTGCTATGGAGAGATTTCTGTGATATATGTGCATGCGGTTTTAATTGCATTAAAAGGTTGGGTTTTTTGGGGGGGTTTTTTTCTGTGTATAAATAAATATTAATTTGATCATTTAACAAACAGACCCCTGCACAGTTCGATACTTTCACTTTTCTTATTTCAGTTGTGTTGGCAGAGATCGTGGTCAGCAGATCATCTTATTTCCCTGTGTTTATTTTTATTTTTTTGTTTTTAATGTATAACCTGCTAGGTCAATATACCTTTCTTACTGCTGTACTATAGGCCTGCAGGCATGTTCTAATTTTACAGATCTTTCACACTGTTCTCTTATGCCATGTGTTATGGTGCCATTTGAAGGAATGTTTTCTGATGTATATGTTTGCAAATTGACATGTTCTCATTCATAATTCAAACCATTCAACCATATTGTTTGTTACACCAGCAGATGTCCTCATTGCTCTGTTAAAAATAAATATATAATATATATATATTTACCGTAAGAACCACCTTCAAGCCTCTCAAGAAGATGAATAGTCTTTAAATATCCTACGAGTCTTATTGTTCAGTAGTGAGCTAAGATAAAACTGAGACACTAGAAATACCAGCCATTCTAATATTTCACTTCCCACTCTTCACCATATGCATAAACTAAAACAAAAAGTAGCCATCAAGAAATAAGTCTTGGATATCGTCTCCTCGCTTAAACCCTAACTGAGGGTTTTTTTTTTTTTTAATTCTTTATTTTTTATTGTGCAGGTGGTACCAGAACATTTAACAATGCCACAACGGCATACGTAAAAAAGATTAGAACACAGTTTTTCACATTTATGGCATGTAAATATCGGCACGTTTTTAAATAAAATTATAAACAAGCTATGCATACACGTGTGTTTGTAAGTTTCAGCAGTTTAAAGTTGATTAGAAATCTAAACACGCTAGACGTGGTGAGTAGTATGCTAAATATACTAAGTGAGTGTCATGAGAGTAGGACACAGGTTAAGGACATTGGTGTACTTAAGCATATAACTGCAGAATAATCATAAATACAACAGGAATAGTAATGAAGTAACGCATGTGATTTAGATTAAATATTTCCCATTATACTGTGAAGACTTGGGTGTAGTTGGGCAACTGCTTAGTATACCACCCCAGGCTGTACTAGGACATGTTAGAGACATCCTAATCACCTGTCACTTATGCAAATGCGACTTCTGTATTCAGTATAGGGATAAACATATGGTAAAGGCAAGGAAGAGAAAGTGAAATAGTATAGGTCTGTTAATGAGCAAGAAGGAGCATGGTATAAACAGTGGGAAGGAGCATAACCTGCAGCTCAAACATGGCAGTCAGCCTTTCCCCTGTACTGGGAATTCAGTCCCACATGTTATGTGCTTCCTTCTTCAGAGCCGTTGAAGTCTGCTGTGGGTTCTGGGTCTGCAGTTGCTTCCCCCATCTCTCTCCTTCTTGATTCACCTCCCTCCTGTGTCTTCTGATGGTGTATAGCTGCCAGGTTCGCCGGCAGTCCGACGTGTTCGCAGCTGCTTTCCTGATGCGTCGCCGATGCATCCTTTACCCTTTCCGTCTCGCTGGGATCTTGATGGCAGTAGCCTGATGACATGGGGTGCGTCCGGTCAATTTAAAGGGAGTCTCTCCGGGCTGTGGTGCAGGTAGGGTCAACTTTCTCTCCAGCTTTTCCCAGAAAGCAGCGAAGAGGGCTTCCAGGCGGTGGTGAAGAGTGGATGTCTCTTCATGAGGCTCCAGGTGTCTCGTGGCGTCCGCCATTTTACAGGCCTCTGGCAGTTTCTTCGGCGTGTAATGCGATACCACAATTACCTGCTAGGTGTTGACAGCCATCACGTGGGGACCGGGATCACCCCCACCGGTCCAAAGGACGGGGAGCAGGGCATCACTTTCACGCTTGGGACCATGCCTGCGCCTGTCCGGGAGAGCGGCCGCCTCTCCCCTCCGAAGCACCTGCTAGGCCATATTTTGCTCTCTCCAATAGTGTGCTTGAGATTACCGCCGGGCTTAATCCCTGATCCCTCTGTCACGTCGTGGTACGTAGGGTAAGTGTCAGGTTTAAAAGCAATTGCGGTATGATGACCGATTGTCCATTTTGTACTGTGTGTCTCAGGGAGCTCCCCATACACGCGTCCAGTCGCCATGTTGGTCAGGCCCCACCCCCCTAACTGAGGGTTTTAACACCTACAAAAGGCTATGAGTAAATTCTAACCGCATTTTCTTGTTTTGGCAGGTCTAGAAGCCAAACATGCAAAATACATATTTTCATCACTAGTAAATTAAAGCCCAAACCCTTGCTACACATGCACTGATCTCCCCAGCAGCACAGAAACCTGAATCACCTGTAAAAACAGTTGTGCGAAAGGATGAACTTGATGGACACAAGTCCTTTTTCAGCTTGTAATCTACACTACAACTAAATTTAAATGTCCGGTTATCATCATGATAAAAGAAAGGTGTAAGTCACAGAATCCTCTCCGCTCCTACACTTCATGCATGTGGTGATTAAACAAATACGACAGGGTTCCCCAACTAGAACGCGATATGATCCTTGAGGGAAAGCATTTCACTTTTGTTCTCATTCGTAGCTTGACTAATAATGGTCTCATACGGTTAGACCTGAGGGAGGACTAACTGAAATGCTAGCTATTAAAGTTTCTCTGAGATTTTGCCTGTTCTTATGTTCTTTGTTTTGCTCTGCTTTTTTTCTACTGGAAAGCATTGGATTGGCTGAGACAATGTTTGATGATCTCCGCCTAGTGGGCAGAGCCAGTCGCGATGGACCAATGTTGTGCTTGTAAAAGGTGAGTAAACTCTCCTTTTTAAATGGAGGTAAGGGGGGCTGGGGACCTAAACTGTTATTTTACAACTATAGTGTACCTTCAAGAAATGTTTAATCTAGTCAGCTAGGATGCCCTAGTTTCCATTATTTCCTGCTGAAATAGAAAAATTATCGCGATGTGGCACTCCCCTCCAGATGAAAGGAAGTGGTAGAACTAGAGTCTTTTATGGTAGAGGCAGACATGCCTCAATTCGCTATGTGGGTTCCAAGGGAACACAGACCAATACTCCAAGGAACCTGCCTGGCTATCCTCAATTCCTTTAGGATTCCACGAACCAAAAATATGGGATGGCGGCGTCCCCTTCCCCCCCTAATCCCCCTCCTTCACAACAAGGCATTCCAGCCAGGAATGGTGGCCAGAGATTTTAGAAATATGGAACCGGCAGGCCTCCAGAAGATCCATGATGTATTTCAGGGCCCCGAGGTCTGCAACAAAGGAGACATCTGATGCCTTCGGACTTTTTCCGATACATACAAATCAGAGACTTTGTAAAACAACCTAACATCAAAGCAGCAGCACGTACACCACCAACATTTTTAGAACGCCGATGTGGTTGTTAGAGATTGTCTCTAAAGGTCTAATCACACAACTATATGCCCACCTTTGCATAAAAAACAAGGAATGGGGTAGTATTAAGTATGCGGACCAATGGGAACAGGAACACGAACCGGGGGAGGAGCTAGATGGCATTGAGTGGCAAGAAATATGGGAAGCTAACAATAGCACTTCTATCTATGTAACCCTTCAGGAACAATCCTTCAAAACTATGTTTAGGTGGTACACAGGGCCGGACTGGCCCACCGGTATACCGGAAATTTCCCAGTGGGCCGTCGGCACCTGGGGCCGGGCAGGCAGCTGGCTCACCTGCGGCTGCAGAGGGAGCTCTTTTGGCGCCCGCAGGGGGAGCTGGCTGTTCTGTCTCTGCTCCCCCTCCCCAGCGCACTGCTTAATGAGACCGCGGCCGCCAAAAGAGCTCCCTCTGCGGCCGCCAGAAGAGCCAGCTCCCCCGTGCTGCCGCCATCAGAGCTCCCCATGCCAGCACACAGGTAGCAATTGTGTGTCAGTGTGTGTGTGTCATTTGGGTGTGTGCGTCTGTGTCATGCTGTGTGTGTATGTGTGTGTCTCTGTGTCATGGTGTCTGTCATGCAATGTGTGTCTGTGTCATTGTGTGTGTGTCATGTAATATGTGTGTGTCTGTGTCACGGTCTCTCTGTGTCATGGTGTGTGTGTGTGTCATGGTGTGTTTGTCTGTCTGTGTCATGTAATGTGTGTCTGTGTCACAGTCTGTCTGTGTTATGGTTTGTGTGTGTGTCATGGTGTGTGTCTGTGTCACGGTGTGTCTGTGTTTCTGTCTGTGTCACGGTGTGTGTGTCTGTGTCACGGTCTGTCTGTGTCATGGTGTGTGTGTGTGTGTGTGTGTGTGTGTGTGTATATATATATATATATATAAATGTGTGTGTGTGTTTTTACTCACCTTTTTTACGTCGTGCCCGTCTCCCCTCGACTGGCCCTGCCTCTACGGCTGAGATCATCAAGCTTGATGATCTCAGCCAATCCGCACTGACATAGGAAGCACCTCTAGTGACCGCCTGAGTGTCTGTCGCTAGGAAGCAATGTAAACACTGCCTTTTCTCTAAAAAGTCAGTGTTTACATTGAAAAGCCTGCAGGGACAGGCTATAGACACCAGAGCCACTACATTAAGCTGTGTGTGTGTGCGCACGCCTGCTAGTGAGTGGGCTTGCTTGTGTGTGTGTGTGCCTGCTGCTGAGTGAACTTGTGTTTTTTATGTCAATGACCTTATGTTTATCAGTGAGATTGTTTGTCTATGAGGCTGTGTATCAATCAGCTTGTGTTAGTGAGATTGTCTGTCTGCATGTGAGTATGCTGACTGTATAATTAAAAATTTTACTCTGAAAGGACCAATATTTTATATTGGAAAAAGATATATCTCAATCATCTAAGGTGGCAAGACATAGCCTTACATATTACATGCGACAATATATGGCGCAATGACTTATGGGGCTGGCATAGATTTTTTTTTTTCCAGGGCTGCTTTGGAATCCCCAGTCCGGCCCTGGTGGTACACAACACCTGTTAAGCTTTACAGAATGCACAAAACAACAACGGACCCATGCTGGAGGGGGTGCAGAATGCAGGGAACATATCTGCATATGTGGTGGGAGTGCCCATTTCTGCAGACGTTTTGGAAATCAGTAGTACACTTGCTGACACGGGTGTTTGACAGGGCCCTGACATTGGACCCATGGGTCTACTTACTCAACAGGCCCATAGAGGGATGGACTAGGAGGGAACAAAAACTTATTCACAAGATTACCATAGGGGCACGAAGGACAATAGCAGCTTCATGGCTAACACATGGAAGCCCAAGTTTTGCAGAGGTAATTCCCAGGATAAAAGAAAGCAAATTAATGGATGATTTAACAGCTAGAGCAAAGGGAACAACTACAACATTTTAAAAACTATGGGAACCATGGGACAACACACTGAGAGTAGCTCATGCACGTCATTTGACCTTCACAGACTAATACTTCCTGTTGGACTTGACCCCGACTTTGGTGCATGCCTGGTGATGCTAGATCAGCGCTGCGGGATCACCCTCCCCCCCCCCTCCCCTTCCTCTTTCTTATCTTTCTTCATCTGTCATATGTTCTCCCCCCTACCTTGGGGGCATGACCATTTGGGAACGACATCACTGTATGACAGGCTAGCAACGAAATAGGGAATGGTAGATACAGATGTTGTACAAACCCCCTTCGACACTAACACGGTCGTAGCCGCCAAAGTGAGCGTAATGTGAGCCACAAATGACCCACAACCACATGTAACAAAAAATGCTACATGAACGTTACAAGACAATTCGACTTATAAGGCTTATATCTGACTGAGTAGGTGCTGTTTTCAGGATGTGTAAAATACGCGTAAGCGATGCTAGTCTGGTATACACCTCCTTAGGTATAAATACATTTTAAATAATGTACAACCTATGTACACCTGTTCATGCAATGCTTTTGGTTTATACAAGACCATGGATGTAGAAGATTGTAGGTTTGACACTACGCCATTTACAAAAATAAAGAATTCTAAAAAATTATATAGATTGCTCTGCCCTGTTTAAAAATAGAGATCTTAGATTGTAATATGGCTGTCAAATTTGTATCCTTTAGGTCTGTGAAAGATTCCTAAGATCTTCGTAGACCCGAGATCAACAGACTAGAGATAAGAGTCCGGTACTCTCAGGAAGGCAGGAGGTTTTTTTTCTTCAGCACACACTTATATCCAATACAAGGAAAACTACTGGGATCCTCTATAAGAAAAATTCATACTACATAAGAGGACTTACTAACTTGGAAAATATGGTGAGATCCACCCATATATTATAGTGTGCACACTGGGACTGTATATATACCCCTTTTTTTGTATTGCATTTAAAAAAAATTTTAAAAATTCTTTTTTTCTTTTTTCCTTTTTCTCTTTTTTTATTTTTTTCTTGTCTGGGATAGGATCTCTGGACTCTTGGATATTATTTAAACAGCGTTATCTGGACAATATATATCTGCGATCAGGGTTTTTTTTAACAACATGGAGTTATGTATATAGTTTTGCAATGAATTGTTCCCATTTGGATACATTGTTTGATTCTAGCGTATATATACCATCAAATTATTTATCTCCATATATATATATATCTTTTTGCAATCAATGAATTTTGTTTACATAATAGTATTATGAATTATTAAAATAAGTAATGAACTTTATTCAAAAAAATTTTTTGAGTGCAGTATCATTTTCAGTAGTTTAAAATATATGTTCAGGGACATTTCTCTGAACATAGATTAGCGAACTAGCGACTAGGGCTTATTTTCATGGGATATCTTATCTTCGGCGAAACAGGGTAGACAAATTCAATATCTGTCCAAATGACAGTGAATGGGGAGTGGGTGGGATACTGGAACGGTTACAAGGAGCCAGAGTTATCAAACATAAAATGAAAGTATATCACATTACAGCCATAGAGCAAATTAGACATAAAAGAAGGCTTAAGGGAAACCTTAAAAGACTGAAAACAAAAAGAACACATTAGAATCCCATTGTACAGCGCTATGGAATTTGCTGGCGCTATATAAATAATAAAAACAGCAGCAGACCAGTTTGGAGACTCTTCAGGTGTACAAATCCCCACTGGGATCAGGTGTGAAAACACATTAAATACTTTGTATCATATTAGTTTATATATTATCTAATGCTGAAAAGATAATGACAACGCCCTGGCATATGGGTTACCAGCCTCTTGTCCTAGGTGGACCAGAAGCTGGCCACCTCAGAGCCCCCCCGAGGCTGGCACGCACTGATAATGTAGGCGGGTGGCGAGGGAGTGCTCTCCCCCTGAGCTCTCTCCTGCTCAACTTCCTCGTGCTCACCGCATTGATGCTGGAGCCTGAATATGATGTCACTCCGGCCCCGGCATCACTAAGAGGCGCGTGAGGGAGCTGAGCAGGAAGATCACTGCTCCCTCGCCAGCCGCTCAGCCCAGCAGCCCCACTGGACCCCAGCGATTGCATGCCAGCCGCTCAGCCCAGCAGCCCCACTGGACCCCAGCGATTGCATGCCAGCCGCTCAGCACAGCAGCCCCACTGGACCTCAGGGACCGCACGCCAGCTGATCAGCCCAGCAGCCCCGCTGGACCTCCAGGGAAATAGGGACTCCATGCCAGCACCCCAAAGGTAGGGAGGCTGGGTGGAGTAAAATTAAAAAAAAAAATTGTGTGTGTTTGTCAGTGAGTGTATAGGTGTTTGCATGTGTGTCTGTCAAAGTATGTGTTTGTCAGTGAGAGCACACAAGTACAGCAGTGACGCTGGCTCCTGGCGCAGAAGTGCCTGGAGCAGAAGAGGTCCACCCAATATAAGATGGTCGGGTTCAGGTAAGTAAATTTCACCTTTCCCTGTGCCCCACCATGGCCACCAGAACAAAAGCAGTGATGTCGCCTTCAGGGATCGTTGCATATCATCAAGATTTAATAACACAATTGTGCTGACTTTGTTAACACCATATTTGCAAACTTTAATACAATTTTTAGTAAAACTGCCTTTTGGGCATTATGCTCTCAATTGGTTTCTAGTAATATTATCCAAGGGGCACAGCATAATTTGCTACATATATCTAGCGGAATGGTCAGACAGAAATAATTTTGTCTATCTAGGGTTGGTTAATTCATTTGTATTAAACAGATGGTGCATTTTAGGATTAGTTAAATATGATTGATTACTAGACTTAGGCCTTGATTTAATTTTTCTTTTTTTTTTTGGATAAGCTTTAAAATTTAATATTTTTTAAATAAATGTATTATGGCCTACCAAAACATAACTGACATTTATATTAGGAAAGGACAATGACAATGTCACCAACTGCATGTACTGTTTTTTGTTGTTTTTTTTTAAGTGTGTGTATGTATGTATGTATGTATGTATGTATGTATGTGTGTATATATATATATAAAATATAAAATTCTGGACTCTGGCACTCAACCCCAATGTGAAAAATCAAAAATAAACTACCCGGGTGCCTCCAGGCCAATAAGTACATGAATACAAACAGGAGCACTCACTTGGATTTGCCAATAGTGTATTAAAAAATGTTCATCAATCTACATCAACGTTTCGTCTTGATAAAGACCCTGAATGGTCGAAACGTTGATGTAGATTGATGAACATTTTTTAATACACTATTGGCAAATCCAAGTGAGTGCTTCAGTTTGTATATATATGTGTGTGTGTGTGTGTATATATATATATATATTTATATATATATGAGAGAGAGAGAGAGAGAAAAAAAAGCCCCCAAGACCTAATAAACAGGATCAACTCTTCTTCACCTTTTTTCCCTTCCTCCTCTTGGTGTTTAGACAGATAAACGTTGGACAATGTATTTCTAGGAGCCAGGTACAGTGATTGTTGCATTCAGGTTTGGGGAGCTACGTTTGGCCACGTTGACCTCAACAGAATATTTTCTCCATGCTCAGAGTTTCCAGGCATACCTACTAGTTTCCTTTTCCCATTACCTGTAGGGTGGGGTTATATAATGCATGGTGTAGAATATTCTGGTTTTGTTTTTGTATTTTTGGAATTTTTTCTTACATGCATTTTACATTGAGGCATTATCTTGAGTGACAATAACAGATAATGATAATAGTGTTAAAAGCTTGTTTCTATTTCTGAGTGTCCATGGAATATTGGATGACCTAATAAGGTCATTAGAATTGCCAACATGAATATTATATCAATAGCATTGACTTTATAATGCCTGAACACCCCCTTTGGTGAGGTGTATATATAGAATGTATTATATGTGTAAGATGGAGACACCGAGACACAGAACATCAAGGGCAGGGTTTCTCCACACTCTGAATATCCAGCATATACCATCAGCTGTTGACCAATTTAACATCAGTGACGTTGTAAGAACTAACTTTGTATTTGCAAAGCAAGAAAAAATAAGCAAGGAAAGTCTGATTGCATTATATTTCAATGTCTCACAGAACATATGTATGTATACATCAGGCCTATTTTACCAATAGAAAAAATATGTATATGTGTGTTTTATTTATTTATATATACATAAATGTATGTGTGTGTATATATATATATATGTATCAAGTAGACTTATTAAAATTTTTCATGGATTGGCCAAACCTTAGCTAATAATTAATTATTCCGGTCTTCAAAAAAAAAATAGCAAAATCTCTAAATAGTGCTAGTGGGTGGTATGACAGTCTCCCTAGTGCTAATAGTGCTACCCCAGTAAACAAAGTTAAAGGAAAAGGCTTAATTCCTTTTTGATTAAGCGTACAAATTCCAGTTCTTTCTAGATACTAACAATATGTGGGAAGAGAGATTCTGGCTTTACTCAGTTATTGGAGAGGATCTACTTCGTGTTTTACTTGTTTACTGTAACACTGTATCTGAAAGGAGCCTCCACTGCCAGTGATACTTTCACATTCAGATATTTCAATTTGATCAGTCAAGTCGTAATAAAGTTTTTTTTTGTTTTTTTTTTACCACAAATTTATCTCATTTGATACATTGAGGAACAATTGGTTTGCAATTTGGTTGTTGGTAATTAGCTGAACAGTTAAGTTTATTTTTAGTAAACCTGAACTGGCCAAAATTGACCATGCTAATCCTACAACAACAGCAAACGTTGGATAAAAAACAAATCTTATAAGGCCAGTGAGCTGTAATTACTTCAAATAAAAGTGTTAGACTTGCGTGCAGTTTACGGTAATTTGGATTCTGGTTATCTTAGACTTGTGCAGAAGTCCGTTTTAACTGCAGTGAATGGTCAAATGCCTGTCAATCTATGAACAAATCGATTCTTTTGACAAAAGCCGAACATATCTACTCCTTCGTTCATAGATTGCCATAGAGACATTTGATTCCTTCAATGCAGTTAAAAGGGATCTGTGCACTTCTATAAGATAATAACAATATCCTGATGATTCACTAAAAATCGCAAAACAATCACAGATCATATATTTCATTTTAAATGCAGAATCTGCAATTTCCTGTATTTTTGTATGTATATTTGTAAAACGGTGGAAAATGGCCGACCCCCAGTTTAGTTGTCCATATAATGTCGGTGAGTTGTCTGGGTATAGCCAATCTACATTCATATTACTATTTGTGACATATTAAAAACTTTCAATAGAATTATGGTTTAAATAAATAAATCACAATGGCCCTACATTCTGTGTCATGTGTATAACTACATATATTGTGGAATTGAAGATTATCTGGAAATGGAAATTTAAATTAGGAATACTAGCTTGGGAATACTGGGTTAAATAACATTGCTGAAGATATAATTATCCTGGGCTCAACAAGGGGAGGATAGACCTTCTTCTGATAAGGAGACCATTGCCTTATAGAGCAAGTCCTGCACAATATCCCAGCCAGCAGGAGAGAGACACTAAAGTTAGACCTGGCAACTGCAGACAAAAGAGAACTACGAATATCAAAGAGCTCCCATCATGGAGAAATTCAAGGCTGCAATGCTGCTGGCTGGGGTTGGTGATTCTTTAGGTTACAAAAAATTCAGCTGGGAAATTTGTTCTTCGGGCGTAAAGATTCAAGAAGAACTGAAGCAATTAGGAGGACTGGAGAATTTAGTGTTATCAGCAGACAAATGGCCAGTAAGCGACAATACACTTATGCATATGGCTACTGCAAGGGCTCTGGTCTCAGGTAAGGCTTAACTTTCAATCTACTCTTAATTGGTCAGAAGCATTAATTGTGTTTTGTTTTTCTTTATATACAAATGTTTGGTATTGCACTGTTGTATGATTATTTAAAGACCAATTTACATGCAAAATAATCTGTTAATCGTGTTACTTTCTCAGATTTGTTGTATTGTATTTTTATGGGTTATTATATCTCTATCACACGTCTTGAAAAAAGTTCTTCTATACACTGAGCCATTGATCTATCCATCCACACATTTGTTATGCAATAAAGTAAAAAGAAGAGGTTTTCTAGAAAGATCAAGTGAGTGCTGCTGTTCTTTCTTTTGTTTGATATGTATATATCAATTAAAAATAATAAGATATAAACATGCGTTCGTGAATGTTTTCTCCAGGCAAAAATAGAGGGGCCACAAAACTGGTTGGGGAATTTCTCCAATTTTTTTTTTTTCAATTTGAAAATAAGTTTTATTATATGGTTGTCAAGTGTCTTGCGGCGCCTGCTCGCCAGGGTACAGAAAAGAAATGGGATAGTGCAGGAACAATAATTTGCATTGGTGTTACATTAGTTACATTAGTGTTGCATTAGTGTTACACAATGACCATTTTATTTTTTCCTTTGTGTTGTCAATCGGTACCCCTCATCACTCTAGGGCCGTCACCTCCCGAGCCCAACCCCTATTTTGGATGGTGGTTGTGGGGGGGGTGTGATTCTAACCTCTGCGACTGCTCAAGACGTTCCACGTCTATTATCTCTTTCCACTTCTTACGGGGTTGGTGAACCTCTGATTGCTATGTCCTGGTTTCCCCCATTCTGGAAAGACCTCGCAGCGGTCCCCTGTGGTGCTACTGGGCTCCGGGTCCCCTCTGATCCCTCCCTGTATTCCCTCCATCTCTCCCCTGCTTTTTTAATGTTTCCCTGTGGTGTCAGGTGTTTGAAGGCCATTAATTCATACTTCCAATTGGTGTCTGCTTGGTTTAGTAAAGCTTCCCTGCTTGGCACCTGGGTTGATTTCCATGCTCTGGCTAATAGTGTTACTGCAGAAATTAGCATGTGGAAGATTAGTCGTTCCTCAATTTTGTTCAGTGTTGTGGGGATCATAAAGAGTACGCATTGTTCAAGGTTAAGTGGCCAGCGTCTACCTATCAGCTTCCCTATTTCCTGCTCCATTGTCACCCAGAGTGGTGCTAGTCTCTCGCATGACCACCATGTGTGTCCCATTGACCCTCCCTGGGCCCCACATCTCCAGCATCTATTGGGGGAGTCTGGGTACATTTTGGATAGCCTCTCTGGTACCATATACCACCTATATTGTAGCTTCCTTATAATTTCTAAATGTGTGGAGCATTGTGTGTTCCCCTTGTGAATTTTAAAGGCCCTCTCCCATTTCTCCTGTGATAGGACGTATCCCAGTTCTCCGTTCCACGCTTCTTGGAATGGCATAATAGTGTCCCGTGGCTCATTATGTAGCTCCTTATACAGCGTGGATAGTGTACGCTTGACTGGTTTTGGTGAGAGGCATAGGTGCTCTAACTTACACTCTTGTTGCTGTGGTGTGTTTTGTACTTCTATCCCCTTGAGAAAGGACTTCAGTTGTAGAAATGGGAATATGGCTCTATTTGGGAGGTGATATAGTTCTTGGAGGTCTGGAAAGTTCATTAACTTCCCCTCCTTGTATAGATGTGTGACTGTTGTGCACCCTCCATCTCTCCATTGTTTGTGTTCAAATGTTGGGATTCCTACCGCGATCACGGAGATCGGGGCATTCCCTGGTATACTGTCCCGGGCCCTCTCCCCGCCCTTTGTCTCGTCCCAGATTGCCATAGTGGTCAAGGTGGTCGGTAGGGGGTCGATGTGTGCGGGGCGTAGGTGACTTGGTAGCCAGAATATGTTGTGTAAGCCATACCCTCCCGCCCAGTGGGCTTCTATTTTGGACCATTGTGGGGTTTCCCCTTCTGTCGTGGATGCTTTGATAGCTGCTATGTGTGCGGCCTTGTAGTAGGTGTGGATATTTGGTAGCCCCAGCCCCCCTCTTTCGATCGGTCTTTGTAGGACCCAGGCTGCCACCCTTGGTTTTTTCTTTGCCCATATGAATCGGACCAGGAGACTCTGCAGCGTTTTAAAGTAGGATTTTGGTAGCTTTATGGGTAGTGTGCGTAGAAGATATTGGAGTTTGGGAAGCAGCATCATCTTCAATGCTGCCAGCCTCCCTACCCAAGATAAATATTTGCCCTCCCAACCTTCTAGAGTCGCTGCTAGTTCTTTGTATAGTTTGGTGTAGTTTTTTTCTATTAGCTTATTTAGTTGGGTCGGGATGTTTATGCCTAGGAACGTGATGTGGTCTGTTCTCCAGTCGAATGGAAAGGCCGATTTAAGTCTATCTAGAGCGTCCGTCCCCATCCCTACTCCCATGGCTTGAGTCTTGCTAATGTTTAGTTTATAGTACGAGTGCCGTCCGTATTCTAAAATTGTTTCCACCAGGTTGGGGAGAGATATCTGTGGTTGTGTCAGGGTGAGCAGCACGTCGTCAGCAAATAGGTTTGTTTTGTATTCCTTGTCCCCTATAGTCACCCCATGTATTGAGGTGTGTTGTCTTATGGCTATCGCTAGCGGTTCCAGCGCTAAAACATATAGTAGTGGGGATAGCGGGCACCCCTGGCGTGATCCATTAGTTATGTGGAAGGGATCTGACACGAACCCCGCATTTAGGACTTGGGCTGTTGGCCTGTTGTATAGAGCCCTGACCGCTGAAAGGAAGCCCTCTGGTATCCCGACCTTGGTAAGGACCGCTTCTAGGAACTCCCAGTTCAGTCGGTCGAAGGCCTTTTCTGCGTCCAGTGCTACCACCACGCCTCCCACTCTCATGCGTTGGGCACTGTATATTATGTCAAGCACTTTCCTGGTGTTGTCTCCCCCTTGTCTGCCTTTTATGAACCCCACTTGGTCTGAGTGGATGAGGTGAGGAAGCAGGCTTCCCAACCTGTGTGCGTATATCTTGGCGTATAGTTTGGCGTCAGTGTTGAGGAGGGAGATAGGGCAGAAGTTTTGGGGGCAGGTGGGTGGTTTCCCCGGCTTGGGAAGCGTTATGATGTGGGCTAATAGTGTTTCACGGGGTAAGCTTTGTTGTTGAGTGGCTTCGTTGTAAGCTTTTGTTAAATATGGCACCAGGATGGGTTTGAATGCTTTGTAGTAGCAGTTAGCAAAGCCATCTGGGCCTGGGGCCTTGCCTATTGGGAGCTGTTGGATTGCTGCGTCTACCTCCTCTTCGGTGACGCTGGCTGAGAGTATGTGTTGTTGTTGTACTGTCAGTGAGGGCATTGGTATCTCGTGCAAGTATTGTTGTATGTTCTGTGAATTAGGTTGATGTGTTTTGGCATCATTCACCAGGTTATAAAGGGATGCGTAGTATTTGGCGAACGCATTGCTAATGTCCTTGGGGGCTGTGATTTTGTGACCCTCTTCCGTTTGGATGTGTGCTATCTTTTGTTTACTTTGGATTGTTTTGAGGCGTTGTGCCACTAGTTTGCCTGCCTTGTTTCCTTGAGCGTACTGTGTCGCTTTAAGCCTCTGGAGGTGCTGTCCTGTTCTATCTAATGCTTGTTTGTGCATGTCTTGTGTGAGCTGAACAATGCGTTTCTTTAGGTCTTGTGAGGGGTTCCTTTGGTTTAGGGTCGTGATGTCTAATAGTTCTTTCTGTCTCTCCTGGTATTGTGTGTCTGCCTGTCGTTTGAGGGTTGCTGCTCTTTGGATCAAGAGTCCTCGTGCTACGGCTTTGTGTGCCTGCCAAATCGTATTGTGGGATACCTGAGCTGTCGTATTTTCCGCGAAGTAGTGTCGCAGTGCTCTTTCTAGTGTTTTGCAGAAGTTGGGGTCCCTGAGGAGAGAGGCATTAAGTCTCCAGGGGCTTCTGTGCTTGGAGTCGTATAGGTCGGTCAAAGTCACTACTACCGGTGCATGGTCTGACCATGTGAACTGTTTAATGTCGCATTCTTTTATTTGGTCTAGGTGTTGTCCCTTAACTAGTATGCCGTCTATCCTGGAGTACGTGTTGTGTACCGCGGAGAAGAATGTGTAGCCCCTTTCCCCACTATGTGTCGCCCGCCACACGTCGTAGTAGTGGTGTGTATTGAGTAGTGTTTGTATTGCTTTGCATTGCCGTTTGAGCGGTCGCATTCTGGGTGCTGCTGGCGATGCCGTGGAGTCTACCGTGGGGTCCATCACGTGGTTGAAGTCCCCACATATTATACTAATCCCCTTTTGTGTTGTTTCTAGTTTCTTTATTATTTTATGGAGGAAAAGTTTTTGACCTACGTTTGGGGCATAGACGTTCATGATCGTGTACGTAATGTCATTAAAGTCGCCCACCACCAGGACATATCTCCCTCCCTCGTCCACTTCTAAGTGTGAAAGGGTAAATGCTACATCTTTGCTAATAAGTATGGAGGCTCCCTTTGACTTGTTGGAGTAGGTAGCGTGGAACTGGTGCGGGAATTCTTGTGCGAACAGTGGGGAGTGTGAGTTCGTTCTAAAGTGAGTTTCCTGTAGGCATACTACGTCCGGGTTGTTTTGTTTCAAATCCCGGCGTAGTAAGCTGCGTTTTTCAGGGCTGTTCAAGCCTTTGGTATTGTGGGTGTATATTTTCATGGGGGTTTGAAAGGTGTTATTCGCTTACCCTGATAAGTGTCGGTGTCTATGTGTGGGGTAGCCGCCTTACCCAGCCATTTCGATCCAGGCGACTCTCCCTTGTAAATCTGATTTGTTGTGTCCCCATAGGGGGTTCTTTCCCTAGATAGAGTGTGGGGGATGTGGTCATTGTGTTGTGCATTCTCTGATTGACAACTGGGGTAATAACAGAACCGAACTAAAACTTTACAAACTGCCCTATATCTGGCTTGGCGCCTATCCAAGGTGCCTTGGGGGAAGAAGCGTATTGCTTCCATTCCTGTGTGAAGCCTTTTGCGGCCTAACCGTCTTGTGATAAGCTAGTCACCCGCTCTGTGCGTGGCTTGGGTGGTGCTGTGGGGTCTGTAGCAAACCCTAACTCTAGGGTGTCCTTCTAGTCCCGTAGTGTGACCCATGCTGTTGGGTTCTCAGCCCCCCCCCGCTTATAATAATTAATATTGTCCCATGAGTTGTGCATAGTCCCAAAGTCTCTCAATTTTACTTGCCACGTCCTGCGGTGTTTGCGTCGTCTATCTGCGTCTGGGCACCTTCCGCCACATGGGTGTGACCCCGCTGCGGTCCGGCGCGGCGGCTGGGGCTGGTGGAGGCGGTATTCCCCAGTCCTGGAGAGCTTTCAGGCCCGCTTCAGGGGTGTGGATGGCTGTGATTGTGCCTTCATGGGAGATGAGCAGCTTTACCGGAAATCCCCATCTGTATGGCTTCTTATGTTGCCGCAATTGCTCTGTAATGGCTGCGAAAGTCTTCCTCTTTTTCAGCGTTGCGGCTGAGATGTCTGCATAAATGGTTATTCTCTGGTGCGGCTCCGGAAGGGATTGGCGCTGTCTGCTTGCTCTCATAATGTCTTCCTTAACGTGGAAGTAATGCAAACGTACTAGCACGTCTCTTGGCGCGTCGGAGGTTAAAAATCTGGGCTTCGGAACTCGGTGATATCTGTCCAGCAGGAGTAGGTCTTGGGGTAAATCTGGTGCTAGGATTTTAAATAAGCTCTGCAGGTGGGCATGGAGATCTGCCGTGCTCACCGATTCTGCTATACCCCTGATCCTGAGGTTGTTGCGCCGCGATCTGTCCTCCATGTCTGCTACTTTGTTGCCTAGGGCTTCCAAGGTGTCCTGCATCTCCTCCATGTCTGCCCTCAATTCTTTATGGGTGTCAGCCTGTTCTGCCATTTGGTCTTCCAGCGTTGAGGTCCTGGCCCCCAGATCTTGCAGGTCTGCCCTGATTTCTTTTAGGGCTGAGTGTAGTGTGTGTTGCAGTTTGTCATGCATGCTGTCCAGCATACGTTGGAGGATCCCCTGGGTCACTGGTGCTTCAGGCTGGGAAGGCTTTTGCAGCTCGCTGGCGTCGTCCTCGGCGCCATCTTGTGGCTCCTCTAATGCAGCCGCGTGTTTGTGTGGCGCGTTCCGGACCCCGAAAAAGTTATTTTTTTCGGCTCTGTCTGTCTGCCGCCTGCCCTTCTGCTGTGCCATCTTGCCCGGGGGTCTGTGTGCTGGTTTTTGCTGTCGGGTGGTTGTACCGCTAATTAATTAGGCCGCGGGAGCATGGAGCTATGCTGACATGCGGCTGCTCCGGTCGAGCTCCAGGCCACGCCCCCGAATTTCTCCAATTTGACAATTGTGGGATAAAATGTTTAAATGGTTCCTCTAACCCTTTTTCTAAAATGCAATTGCTTAGTTTATAATGCCTGACTGGTACTAGGTCACCACACTTAATATAAAAATAAAGAGTTAAACTTAATCTAGCGCTGGGCAAAAATCCTAGCGCTGCCTTCTACGCATCATCTGGCGGAAGCAGTGCCTGATCATGGTCCAATTATTTGATTGCACCATTTCACTGTCTCAGAGCACATGCGCATGCTCTGAGCTTGGTAGGGGAAGGAGGAAAGAAGGGAAATGGTGGACTGGGGAGGCAGGGAGGGGATATAAAAAAATAAAATAAAAATAACCGGAAAAATTTGAGCACTGTCTTTAAAGGATAATCCCATTACAACTGTTAACAGCACATTGACAGACCAGAATTAACATAAGGCAGCAAGGAACAGAGTTCTGAGCTACCTAAATCATGTGTGCCAGGGGTGCAACTAACCTCTGGCACAAAAGTGCGAATATCTCTGTATTTCAAGCAGAAACACTGCACATGCAGATTCCTACTACCATGACCACTTCTAAAAGCAGAATTGGTCATGGTGGGTGGAGTAACACTTTAATTTATTTTGGTAATTATCTGAAATTCCTATTTTAGTGATTAACAGGGTTATTCCCTGAACTGAGAACTGTCCAAAATAGCCAAATTGAAAAAAAAAATCTCCACTCAATTTTCTATTTTTTCACTCTCAGCCAATGAATGTAATTCTGTGCATAGAAACATGTATACAACTTAGATTAGGCAGCCCCGAATTCCCCAATGATGCTGAACATACAGACACAAAAACACTTCAAATCACTGAAGTTTTCAGTGAAGTCAGTGGGGAAAACCGTGTTATTGCCAGCTAACCATGCGTTGTCAGAAAGTAATCACTAGTTATGCAAATGAGTAAAGTGTTCACGGAGTTCAATGCAACCCGTAACAAATTTACTTGTTTGTTCTGTGAACCAATTGAATCTATCTATAAATGATCACTAGGTGTCCATAATACATTACTTTGGGTGAGCACCCTAACAATCCTGTTCTATATCCCTTAATAGATGAGTAAATATACAAAAAAGAGAGGTACATCAAAACAATGGCATGCCAAGCGGGGGGAAGTGGGGGCAGTTCCCACACAGCACTCATGTCCCATCTATCACTCTTTGTAGTTTTGTCACCAGGAACCAGGTAGAAGATTTCATTATCCACTACCCAGGTCTATCATGGAGGGAGCTATTTCTCCAATACAAGCAGCAGGGGATGAAGCAAGCACCCCACTGCCTAATAACAGCTGCATACACAGGGGAAGCAGAAACTTCAGGGAGTCCCTGCTTCCCCACCACAAGCCACCTGAGATCACAGAGAGCTCTACTCCCTTTCATCCTCCCCAGTGCTTATACCAGTAAGGTGCTGGAGACGGAAATGTAGTGACTGTGTGGGTGACTGTGTATTGTTTGTAAAGCACCATCACATTCCCCAGCGCTGTCCAAGGGTCACAATGGTACAAGTAAAAAGACACAGTACAATATAACTAAGATACAATACAAAACATGACAAACCAATACAGGAGGAGATGAGGGCCCTATTCCTGTGGGAATGTACAATCTAGATAAGTGACTTGCTGTGTGTGTGGCTATGTGTGTGATTGTATGTGGATGTGACTCTGTGTGACTGTATGTCTGTGACTGTGTGTCTTGTGTGTAATTGTGTGATTGATTGTGTATATCCACAAAAGAAAAAGTACTGCACTCATCCAAAAGAAAACAGGGTGCTTAACCGAACCAGGGCCAGCGCATCCCTCACTCATAGAACATCCAAAAAGAGGCTTCAGAATTCACTGTGTTTAAAAGTAAAGTAACGTTTTGACCTCCACAGAGGTTTTTGTCAAGCACAGCTATTTGTGTAACAGCACAAAACAAGCTTGACAAAAACCTCATCATCTACAAACACTGCTTTATTTTTTAACACAGTGAGTGCCTGAAGCCTCTTCTTGATTGTGTGTCTGTGTATATGACTTTGCATATGTTTGTGTGTATTCATGTCAGTGTGACTATGTATGTGACTGCATGTCTGATTGCATCTATATATATATATATATATATATATATATATATATATATATATATATATATATAAATAGCATACTAAATACACAATTCAGCGCACTCGCTCATTCACTAAACAGAGATTGTAAGTCTCACAGATTGTAATAATTTTATTTAAAAACACCTCACCTACGCAAAAACAATGAGGGTTTAGTTACAGTATATGTTCATACATTGCATTCAGGCCCGGACTGGCCATCGGGCACACCGGGCAAATGCCCGGTGGGCCGCGGTGGCCATGGGCCAAGGCCGGCAGGGGAGGTCCCAGGATCTCCCCTGCCGGTCTATGCAGGGCCTGCACTATCCGAGCGCCGGCCCCGCTGTTTGCAATGGAGGGCCGGTGGGGAGATCAAAGATCTCCCTCACCGGCCCATTTAAATAGACCTGCGGCTGGGGAGGGAGGGAGAGGACCCGGCGGAGCTCTATCTTGCAGCTCCGCCGGGTTTCTCTCGCGAGATCCGGAGCATTGCCATGGCAACGCACCGGATCTCGCGAGAGTGAAGCTAGAGTTCACTAACCACTGGACCACCAGGGATGATGTGAGTGTGCCGGTCCCCCTCCTCCCAGCTACCACACACACAGCACTCTCACACACAGCACTCACACAGCACTCTCACACACAGCACACACAGCACTCACACACACACAACACTCCCGCACACAGCACACACACAGCACTCCTCCGCACACAGCACTCTCACATCCCCACACACACAGCACTTTCATACACACAGCACTCACACACAACACTCTCACACACAGCACACACAGCACTCTCACACACAGCACGCACAGCACTGCACGGCACTCACACAGCACTTTCGCACAGCACACACAGCCTCACACAGCACTCACACACACAGCACACACAGCGCTCTCACACACAGCACTCTCACACACAGCACTCCTCGCGCACAGCACAGCACAGCACTCTCACACACAGCACTCACACACAGCACTCACACACAGCACACACAGCACTCTCACACACAGCACTCTCACACACAGCACTCTCACACACAGCACTCTCACACATCACACACAGCACTCACACAGCACTCTCACACACAGCACACACAGCACTCTACACACACAGCACAGCACTCTCACACTCAGCACACACAGCACTCCTCACACACAGCACTCATTACACACAACACACACACAGCACTCTCACACACAGCACTCACACAGCACTCACACAGCACTCCTCACACACAGCACACACAGCACTCCCCAGCACTCTCACACACAGCACTCACACAACACTCTCACACACAGCACACACAGCACTCTCACACACAGCACTCTCACACAGAGCACTCACACAGCACACTCACACACAGCACACACAGCACTCACACACACAGCACACACAGCACTCTCACACACAGCACTCTCACACACAGCACTCTCACACATCACTCACAGCACTCTCACACACAGCACACACAGCACTCTCACGCACAGCACTCTCACACACATCACACACAGCACTCTCACACACAGCACAGCACTCTCACACACAGCACAGCACTCTCACACACAGCACTCTCACACACAACACAGCACTTTCACACACATCACACACACACACAAATCACACACACTGCACCCTTTAACACAGCACCCACATACAGCACCCTTAAACACAACATACACAGCATCTTCACACACAGCACCCCTCAAACACAACATCCATCACACACACATACTGCACCCTTCACATACACACTACACCCCTCACAGACACCCACTGCACCCCTCACACATACACGCAGAACCCCAACACACTGCACTAAACACACACACACACACACACACACAATACTTCCAAACATATATATATGTATATATATATATATATATATACACACACCACAGCACCGTTCACACACACTGAACCGCTCACACGCATACTGCACCGCTAAACATATTACATTCCAGACACACACTATATCCCTTACCCAACTATGGATCATATACACACACTAAATCCCTATATACACTCTGATTCCGTTATATACACACACTCACTAGATCTCATACACATTCTGGGTCCTTCAAACACACACTAGACTCCTGTATACACACACACACACACACTGCACCACCTACACACACTACATTCCTAACATACACACTTTGGATCCCTGATACACACACACTAGATTCCTTGTAAACAAACACATGCTACACCCCTAAACGCACACTCTCTACAACCCCTACAAACACTACATCACCTATATACACACACACACTATAGCCTGTGTGCATACATTTACTACATCCCCTATACACACATTCTCTTCAGCTCCTAGCCACATATGCATTACATTACACCACAAACACAACACGACTAAAACCAACCTTATTACACAATACCAAACCACGACCAGCTCACTCTGCACACACACAATCCCAAAGCAGGCTCCAAACACATGCACAATACTCTTTCCTTGCCCTTTTGTCTCCAGGTATCCATTTATAGAGACACCAGAGACAAGTTTCAAGGAAACACAGTGCAAGCATGTTATTAAATTTGCTTGTACTGTGCAGAACAAATACAGGTTTTTTTTTCTTCTCATGCTAGAGCTCTTTAGCAGAGCTCTGCCCTGGAAGAGCATTGACCCAACGCTCACTTTGAGAGGGGGCGTGTTTGTCTTTGGTGATGACGAAACACACCCTCTCTGCCCCGCCCCCTTCTTAGTGGGCCGCTGTGCTAAAAAAATGCCCGGGCTGAATTTTTCTCCCAGTCCAGCTCTGATTGCATTTGTCAATGTACCCCATTCTTGGCAGGTTCTACTCTGGCTGCCTAATTCTTGCTCTTATGAGATTATTCCACTTACTTGGGAAATACTTCCTCCTGGGACTCAGCCTTGGAATGAGACACCTGTGACAGGGAGGGGTGCAAAAACAAGAAGTTGGCTTGGACTCCCAAAATATATTCAGGTGAGTGCATGCAGCCCTAGCCATTCTTGGTTTCATATATATATATATATATACACACACACACACACACAACTGTGTATGTGTGTGAAGGGTAAGAGGGTGAAGAGGTTATAAAAGGTAAGGAGCGGTTAAGAAACACAAAATAGGTAAGGGGGCAATATATGTACAAGATTAGGAGAAACACAGAAGGGTCAAGAGATACACGCAAAGGGATGAAGGGGTGTGAAGTGGCACAACAAAGTTTAAATGGGGTGTGCCAACACACGTCTGCCTTGGGTGCCAAATAACCTTGGTGCTCCTGTGCATTATACTATATTCTTGTTCTAGTTTTGCATGGGAAGATAGTACATTTTCATAATTTTTGACAAGTAAACCCAAACTGTTCCAAAAATGCATAGTTGTTAGAAAAAGCTCATTGCTCCAATTTGTTCTAGGTCAGGACTGTAATGGAGAGATTTTTCTTGTTTGTATATGCAGAAATGGAATACAAAAAAAAATAATCAATGTTTCAGTCCTGCTTTGAATTTTGCATCTTAAAAAGCAGTCACCTAATATCTTTTTTTTTTTTTTTAATAGAAAAATGTATTAATTTAATTTTCATTTCCAATTATTTTCATTTTATAATTTGGAGTCTCTGAGAAAAACCCTGCATAGCAACAAACTAAACAAATAAAAATAGATCAGATGGAAATTTTTCCAACTTGCCTTTATTTGCTGCTTGGCTATTTCAGCCTGCATTTTTCAATTTGGTTTTAAATTTACCATAATTCACCCTTTCGTGAATACATTTTTAACAGTCTCTGGCTCAGTCCCTTTTGGCAATACTGGACCCAGTCTGCCTGTCTGACTTCCGTGCCACAACCAGTGATCAGTTACTGAATGGGTTTCATGCCAATATCCGCACAATCCAATGTTCATATACAAAGTCTTCCTCACTGATCAGGTTCCTGCACAGACTTGTGACATTGTTTATCTTGGAAATCCTGTTTAAATCAAATAATACCGGCACTGTAAGGCAAATCATGATTTGCTCTACCAGTAAAAGCAAACTAGTATTCAACAATTATTGTCTCTTTTTATTAAAAAAAAGCACTAAAAGGACGCAAACATAGCTTTATTTATTCTATTTTTTCACACAATTATTATTATTATTATTATTATTTATTACTACCAATCAGAATAATCATTTTTATTTTAGCCAAAGGAGAGAATTTTTCAGTGACATAATTTATGTTAATAAAGATTGCCTGGTTATTCTTTTTTTGTCTATAAATAGCATAATGTTCTCACTCCATTGTTTGAGAAGTTGGGGATCTGACTTTAATAGCACTCTTTAATCTCCAGCCAAGAGTGGCCTAAATTTAGTTTCAATAGTCAGTAAGACAGAATGTTAGCTATCTAAACTTAAGCACAGCCAGAACATTAAAGATAAGAGGTGTCATGCTCAGGGACAGGACAAAGAGTTAGAATTCTGTGTAGCATTTGTGTTGTTCCATAAGTTAAATTAAACTACAAGGTACTGAAAACCCCTCAATAAAACATGTAGGTATCGGTAAAGTAAATCACCTAAGAATTATACTCTAGGAAAAATTGCATTTTGCTAAACTATTAACTGCTATACAGTATATGTCCCAAAGAATTCTGAATTAAACCTAATTATGCTTCAGCTTGTTTGAGTCTGATGATAAAATCACTATAGACTATTTAGCTCAGTTGCGGAGCCTAAAAATAAATTATATTTGTATGATGAAATTACTGGCACTTCAGTTATTCAATCTCATTCAGCAAACCGACTACCACCACTTAAAAACATCCTGGGTAAGTCTATGAATTCTCAACCATATTCTCTATCATTTTATGGAGATAAGTCATACCTCGCAATCTAAGTACCGTAATAAATAAAAGAAACAGCTGCCAAAAAAGTTATCTTAGATGATTAGCTAAGGAAGTTAAATATTTGATTATTGACTACAGGAAAAAAAAATATAAATTCTGGTTTTGGATTTTAATTAAATTAGAAATAACACACTAAAAAGTAAGTAAACCAAGTTCACCCTCCCTAATAAATAAATTAATAAATAGTACAAAATAATTTTTTTAAATATATTGTCTGGTAAGTCATTTATCAAAATAGCAAACTTTAATATCAAATTCACCAGTCTTAAATGTAATGTAGTTTTTATCTAATATGGAAAGTACAATCTGCCTATTTATTTCCTATATCATTTAAACAAAAGAGCCATTCAAAAAAGGAATGGTATTACAGACAAGAAAAGAAATGCATCTAATCTGAGTAAGAATAGCGTACTCGTAACCCAAAGTGTAGAGTCGAGAGTCAGGGTTAGTGTTTAGGTGCAATTAGCAACAACAGTCTACGCATGGGCAGAACTACTAATGGTGCCCCCAGTGCAGGCACAGCAGGGCCACGGGGAATTTGCTTTATTAATTAGGGCACTGCTGCAGACTGAGAGAGATTGTGTGCTGTGGTTACCTAGCTGGCTGTCACTATTGGTGAGTGGTGTGGTGAAGCAAGTGGTGACTCATCAGTAAAGCCAGAGTCAGCTCAGATGCTACCACAGAAGTTACTACAACTGCTATTCTACTAGTAGTGCTATACTAAAGGATACCAGTGACTTGTTTGTAGTGTCAGGAAGGAGGGGGTTTGGGCCTGGTCCAGGGATAGTGGGATACCAGGAGGAGAATCAGAGAGGAATTTACTGCTACGGCTGTAAGACTGTGTGAATGACAGACTGTTGCCCTTTACATCAATTTCTTTCAGTTATGGAACCAAGGATAAGGCAGGAGCACTACCAAGAGCCACTCTACTCATTATGCAGCTCAGTGACACAGTGTGGGAGACGTGACCCCACTAACCCAAGTAGATAGGTAGAGGAATGCTGCACAGGGTGGTTTCTGGGAGGGCAAAAAATATCATGCACTGGAACCCACTGTTCATTATTTATGCTGCGAATGTAGACTCACCTTACCTTAAGTCTCATTTAATACTCTTTAACTTGCCTCCTTATGGAAAAAATCTATGTGTGTGACACAAACATAATCAGGACAATTTATATCTACTGTGAATAATTTGTCTTCATTTCCACCAGTTATGTTACAACTAATTTACGTAAAACTGTTTTCCTTTTTTTGTTATTTATAGGTATAGATAGCTATATATATATATATATAATTTTTTTTTAGATATATTCTTTATTTTTTGTTGTGCTGGTGGTACATAACATTCACATCACAGCGACATATCAGTTTGCTCAAGTGTACAATAACATCTTAGTAGCGTTTAACACGTCATGTAATCAGCAGCATTTTTAGAAAAACAATAAGTAAACATCAGGGACCTGAGACACGTGACATTGACATGCTAGGATTACCATAGTTCATGTGAGGCTCAGGACAGATGTTGTACATGTGATAAGTAATGTGTGGTGATTTCTTAAAGAAGGGAGAGAATACAAGATGGCAATATCTAAAACCAGCTCAATGGACCATCAGGGATACACTAAAGAGCCAGAACAAAACATAGCAGCCGGGAGGGCCTGAACCCTAACAGCAGGGGATTGATATGCATCATATTGTTATGTATGGACAAGGTGGACAAGGGTATTAAAGAACCTATAGACAATTGCCAGAGTGAGAGAAAGTCAAAAACAGAAACATAGCACTGAACATCAAATTGTGCAGGTGTAAGTCGCAATAATAACAACAGGTGTTGTCAGGTTGTCGAAGGAGTAGGCTCTCCAGCCCTAGGCACGAAGGGCTCCATGGGGGCAGGATCACAGGCATGAGGGGAGAATTGGTGGTTCATGTTGGAGGTTGGTATAGAAAGGTCCAGTGTTGTCAGGACTATAGGGTCTCCGATGCAGTACCAAGTCTGTGTATTGTACCATGGTGGGTCACCAGCAGAGATCAAGGTGCCCCCGGTCTGTAAATGATAATTGCTGAAGGCATCTTGAGTGTAATGTGGCAGAGGGACCTGCACCACTGTAAGGTAGCTCTGGTTAAGTCTTGGTAAAAAAAAAAAGCTGAGAGCCCCCAAATGTATAGGGCGTTTTGCTCCCAGTGCTCACTTGTCTTGGTAATTTGCACAGCAGAAAATAACATCCCGCGTGGTGGTAGTGGGAGGCTTGGGTACGCCAGACAGTCTATAAGCCCCATCTATGCTGAATCTTTACCTGGGGGGTAACACAGTTGCCTCTAGGCAACGTAGATAGTGTGGCAGCTCTTACGCCCCTATTGTGGCCGGGGCACCTCAGATCTTTATGTGATTGCGCCTAAGTCAACCTTCAAGAGAAGAGAGTTGGGATTTGAATATCTGTTGGGTAGACTGGAACTTATGAATGAGTCCTTCATATTTAAGACCTCTGGACGTAGGTCTGGTAGCAGGAGCTGAGCTGTGGCACTGTCGTGGAGCTATCCACCATGGAGGGAGTCCCACTTAGGAAAGGCTGATGCCTTGTTGACCACACTCCTCAGTTTTGCGGCTTTCGGCAACTTAAAGAAAGGTATCAATGGATTCAGAAAAATGTATTGCATCAAAGGCAAGGTCTGTCTGGGTTGGATGGACCCTGCAGCAAGGGATTTTGGTCATGTTAGCAGAAAGTTGTCAGGAGTCGAGAGAAATGGCGTCTGCTCAGGTTTGCTGGCAATCCCCACTCTTTTTTATACTAAATTAGGATTTAAATATGTATGTATGGAATTTAAAATAAAGCTCTGTGTCTTTTCTCTACAATCAAAACACGTTTCTTTATGTAAATACACAATTTCTAATCATTTTAATAAAGCAAATTCCATTATTTAAGTGATAAATGCTCAAAATTATCCTGGCATCATTGGCACTCTAAAAGTCTGTGTCTAGGTACATTGCAAATAACCCTACAAACTACAGCCTAAACTTGAAAATAAGCCCTGAACCTGTCCCTTATGTGTGTGGCCATCTTCCTCTGGTGGGTCCTCTTCAGCTCTTGCCACTTCAGCTACAGGTGCCAACGTCACAGTTGTCACTGCAGGATCCACCATACACAGCCAATTGCCTGCAGTTCTCACTAGTGATGGCTGTTGGGATTGTCACTCTAGTTTCCCCAGAGTCTGAGAAAGTCAGGCTGAAGAAATATACAGAAACAAACTAGTCCATACTTTGTCTCTGTATATCGATCGATCAACTAGGTTGGAATTTCGGTGAAATTCTAACACAGTCAAAATGAATATCTGTTCAGTCAAAAATATATCTATATAAAATACTCATGTTTCGGAGGAGGGACGGTGGTAACTGTGCCGCAGTAACCCTGAATGCATCTATACTGCTACATACACTCACTATACTCACAGATTCAAACACAATACATTACAATCAGAGCAGAAATATGTACATACTTACATGTATTCACATGCACATAAATATGCTTTTTAAAAAGAAATTTTTAGACCTGTTAAGTCCAATTAATACATTTATTATACGTGCTTTATCTGCCTTGTTTGGATTGGGAAGAAGAGGCCACTTCCATGGCCACTTAACCTTCTCTCCTCAATGTCTACCTATTTACACTTCTCTACAACTCCCCACCTATTTCCAGCTCTAATTTAATGGATAGGAGAAAGTATCTGAAAAAGAAAGAGATCCCGAACAACAGGTATCCCAACCGTCCTACTTTAAGATCCCACATCCTGACACACCTGGGAACTGTCCCCAGCCTGTACAGCGTGAGCACATCATTACAAACACTGATGCTGTGCTGAAGGCACTAATACCATATAAAGAACACTGAGCTCTACATGGTCTGCCATGTTGATATGCCCCTTCTATATGCCCATTTTGGTCATTGCTAGTGATACAAGGCTGATTTGCCCAGTATTACATGCACTGCAGTGTTTCCATCCTACCTGCCAGCCATAAGTCGTTGTTAATTAGTTGTTAAACAAAAAATATATCTCAGAAACTTCTACTTACCATAATCACAATCCTAACTATCACAATCAGGGAAGATCAAATACACAGCAATACCCTAACCACTTCGATAGAAAACCTTCCTATGTTCACCAACAACCCCAAAACAGATCGAATCAACAGAGATACACAAGATCCTATCACCCAGGTCAATCACACCCCCAGCATAATAAGGTAGAAAAAAAGATACTACCAATCTCCATGAAGAAACTATAGATCACCACACCACTTCTCAAAACAGAACACTTCACCGCAAAATTACCATAACCACCCCACTCACAGAAGGACTAACACTATGACCTACGAGTCATCCACACAAGGAAGAAACACATACGACACTACCCCAAGACCACAAAGAAATAGATACTCCCTATGAACAAACCCACCATAAGAAATCACCCATCAACTTCAGTCACCAAAATAGATATCAACTACTATCCATAGATTCTGAGTTTGAAAATGAGGACCATTTTTTAGAGATCAGACCACACAACAATCAGCTTGTCCAAACCCCGTACCCAACAAGAGCAAAAAAAGGGAGCCTAAGTTTAGAGGAAGGAGAAGTGGAAGAAGAATACAAAAAAAGAGAGAGACTAGAAAGACACCAACCAATCTAACAGAAAAAGACCACGGCATTTTTAACTTATCACAAAATTTTTTAACTTCTACACAAATCTCAGTTTTAAGCAAGGGTCTCAAATATGCACCGACCAATCCTTTTAACCAGTTCCAAGCCTTTCTAGACATTAATAAATTTGTTAGAAAGGCAACTCCAAAAGGATTTTTTACAAGTCTGCAGAACCAAACACTACATTAACCAACACAGACATTCCCACAGATGACTCTGTCACCAACTCTATTTTCCCTTCAATTATAAGAACTAATTTAAAGAAAAATTTAAATTTTTACCCTTCCAGTTTCAAATCCGGCCCCATAAAAGTATTCGAAAAACTAGTACTAAAAAACTTAAATAAAATAGAAAAACACAAATACCAACACCATAATCTATCCTTCCAAGAACAATTAGCATTAAAAGAACTGAAAAAAGACTATACTATCATCATAAAACCAGCTGACAAAGGGGGAGGTCTAGTCATCCTCCCAGAAAATATGTATATTGATGAGGCCCTTAAACAATTGAATGACCCTAACGTATATGACAAATTATCCTCTGACCCAACCATCCTTATCAAAAATAAACTTAGGACATTCCTACAAGAAGGTCTAGAACAAAACATTCTCAACAAAAATTAACATGAATACTTAAACGTATCCTTTACAAAAATCCCTGTTATATTTTTTTTACGGAAAATTCATAAAAACCAAGATATCCCGCCAGGCAGGCCCATCGTCTCTGGGATAGGTTCTATAATGTCCAACTTATCTGAATATATCAATATTTTATTACAGCCATCACTAAAAATAATGAAATCCTACTTAAAAGACTCTATGACCCTCCTGCGCTTTTTAAATGATTTTACTTGGGATTCTGATTACATTTTAGTTACCTGCGATGTACAATCATTATACAGAATTATCCCCCACCAGAAAGGTTGTGAAGCAGTTTTTTCAATTTTAAAAGAAGCCAAATCTATCCCTGACAATCAAATAAATTTTATCATACAAGGCATTCAATTAATTTTAAATAATAATTATTTTCGGTTTTAAGATTCATTTTACATTCAAAAACAGGGAAATGCGATGGGGACCAGATTTGCCCCCAGCTATGCAAACCTTTTTATGGCACATTGGGAATCTCAGGCCATTTGGGGTGAGCATACCTGGCGGGCAAATCTGATAACATATTTTAGATACATAGATGACCTCTTTTTTATATGGAAAGGTACAGAGAATTCCCTAACACAATTTTTAAATCATCTTAACAACAACACACATGGCATAATCTTAACCTCGGAACACAGTAAAAACAGCATCAAATTTTTAGATTTAGAAATTTTTATTAAAGAAGGCAACATCCACACCAAAACTTTTTTTTTTTTTAAAGTGTGCACAAATACAGTAATTGAACAATCAAGCTGCTACTTTAAGCCTTGGTTGGATAGCATCCCCAAAAGCCAATTTCTTCACCTTTGCAGAAATTGTTCAGACACCAAGGATTTCACAGAACAGGCCCAATCACTGAAAGAAAAATTTATTGATAAAAATTACCCACAGACCAACCTAAATAAAACTCTAGAAATAGTCACTAAAAAAGACAGAAAGGAACTTTTAGAATATAAATAAAAAAATACAAAAGACTCTCCTTTTATGCCTGTCATTTTTAACTTCAATAATAGAAGTACAAGAATCAAAAAACAAGCATTGGCACATTTTAAAAGAAGACGATATTTTAAAAGAACTCATTCTTGATAGGCCAAGTATAGTTTTTAGAAGCGCTCCAAATTTTAAAACTATCCTCACCAAAAACTACACCAAAATCCACACAAAGAAAAATTCCACCTTTTTATCTAATTCTAAAGGTTTTTTTAAATGTAATACCTGTATAGTGTGCAAATCCACAGATCACAATATAAAGACAAAAAAACACCAATTTTACATCCCACAACACAAAAAAATCCTATCCTACAAAAGATATTGTAAGCTGCAACATACTAAAAGGCTGCCCTAACCACTCCGTGTCAAAACATTTTTTAATACATGATAAGAACCCTCATTTTATTAAATGTATAGGAATATATTACACCCATGGAGTGGTGGCGATATAAAAAAGATTTTAGGTCAGAAAGAAATGTACTGGGTTTTCCTCTTAAAAACACTTAACCCAGAAGGGTTAAATGCTGACTTTGACCTTTATAACTTTTTATAATTTTTCGTAAAGTCTTATAATTTTATGAGTCTTTATCACCTCTCATATAATATTGTATGTATTATCCTGATTAATTTATCTTATGTTACTATCCTTATCTAACCATGCAACCTTTTAGAATACCATGTAGTAGTGTACTGTCACTTTTAATATTAACTTGCTTATTTATTGATGTACCTAAGATTCTATGTTATGCTACTTTGCTAAAGAAATAACCAGCCTTTTAATATTCTGTATTAATGCACCTTAAGTAACCTGTCACTTCTTCATATATTCTCTAATTTACTCCCCTTTATCCAATTGCCATTTATATGTAAATTTCATGGATCTATTAATTGCATAGCTACTAGCTAGTCTATGCTCTCCACTCCCCTTCTCCCCCCTTCCCCTATCTCATCCTGTATTTCTTTATTAGTCCCTGGTTTAGTCTGCCCATTCAGGCTACTTCAGTATAGCCATTGAGCTGATTCTAATAATGTTCGGACGTAAACCACGCCCACACACTCATTTACCCTCCTTCCCCTACAGCCATATCAGCTGAATACACTTCCCGGCCGACGGCATCATAACCAGGCCCCCGGCCAAACAACACGCCCATTCCATCTGCCTCCACACACTCCCCCTTATCAGCCTGGCAGTTTCATATGGTACTCCCTATAAACTACATATCCCAGTACCCCTAGCGGTACGTCGCGCGATCAGCTGGGTTTCCAAAATGGATGCCGATCACGCGACCAACGAAAATATCACTTTTTCCTAATTTACAACCCTCGTTTTAACTTCATATTTTAGGGGAAGTTACCCTGATAACCTATCTACTAAATTATATAGTTTGTTTTGTATTTTGAAAATTGCACTTCACTTTGATGACGTCATTTGGGTGCCAAACTCTGCTCAGAGTTCAAAATCAGTCCCCCTATATAAACCCTACCCTAACAATCATGTTTTTTTGTCTCCACTTGAGAAAGCCTTCATAGGTGAAACGCGTTGTGGATATTTTAATATTTTATTCTATATTCCAAATAAAGGTATTTTGGCTACTTTTAACTCACTTGGATTGTGCCATTTTACTCTTTTTATTCATTATTTTTATTTTGCTTGGTATCCTTATTTTATTCCTCCGGCTGAGTATTACTCCAAAGACATCCGAGGTGGGGATTATACCACTCACGCCTGAGCCATTGAGCAGTCTGCCTGCTCAATCCTATGTAAGTACACATTTTATTAATACTCCTTATATACCATTTTTATACAGCGAGCACTATTAGTTGTCTCTTCTCTTTCATGATCTACATATCGAAACAAGACCCTCTAAACGTATCCTACAAGCGGGGATTATACCGCTGTACGCCATTCACACTAGAGCTGGTTTGAGCTCTACTTCACGTGAGTAGGACTATAGTAGACTTTGTTGTCGTATATGCCACCTTTACCAGACGTATTGTGCTATCATCTGTCTTTTTTTCCCCCCACATATGGAATTAAAGACCAATTCCTCCCTACGTATCCTACAAGCGGGTATTGTACTCCTGTATGCCATCCACACTAGAGCTAGTTTAGCTCTACTACACGTGAGTAGGATTACTAAAGATCTCTACTTCCTGCAATTGAACACTTTGTATCAGACATATTTGCACTATCTCTTTCTCTCTTTACATACGGATCCTGAAAACAGTCTTCGTTTGGACCATAGAGAGAATATTCCTCCACAAAAGCCGTCGGTGCCCCATCAGTCCCAACTTGACACTTTGCTTTGGCACTACTTATTCTCTGGACTTTGTTTATTTTAGTCGTACCATAGCCAGCTTTGGCGCAACCTTTTTCTATTGTGTCTTGTGAAATGGTGAACAGTGTGTGGGCCAAGAAAGATGAGAGACTGTAACTCATAAAAAGACAGACACACACAGTGTTTCTGAAAAACATTTAGTTGTCTCTCTAAGCCGTAGTTTTTTTAAATCTATTTTTGTAGCAGTTATCTGTTGCTGCTCTGCCCTAAGTGGCTATATGGATGAGCTGTCACTGTTCAGAGAGACACACCTCAGACTTCAACTCTCTTCAACAGATTTTGTTTATATTTCTTTTGTCACTGTGTCTGATACAATTCATAGTATTCAAATAATAGGGGTCCAGGCACTCCTTGTTTCAAGACAGGCACTTTTTTGAGAACCACAACAGCAACGTTTCGACCCCAAATGGTCTTTGTCAAGCTGATACATACATCAATTTTACAATATATATAACAAACTTTAAACAATCACAATTATGAAATACACTTGTGAATCAGTATCCTAAGCAAGTAGTTTAACAGCTGGAAGTAGTATATTACTTATCAACAATACTCTGTTAATTATATTAATTAGAAAAAGAGTCTAATAATTAATTGCCAATAATGAACAAGCTTTGAAAAAGAAATGTATACATTATTTTTATGTGGATACTGACAGAACATCCAAGTGTATATAGGACATAAAATACACATATACAACATAAATACAGTACAAAGATAAGACCAGAGTATACGAGTACAGAAATTTCCATTATCGATTAGAAATCCTTGATCAAAATCACAGATTATTAATATTAAGTATCCTTAACACATAAAGTGCTTCAAGTTCAAATAGTTTTCATATATAGAAGAAAGTGTGTATAAAGAGATGCCCTTAAGTAGGTTATTTCCATTATCAATTAAAGATCCTTGATCAAAATTACAGAGTATTAATATAAAGTATCCTTAACACATAAAGCACATCAAATTCACAGAGTTGTTATGTGTAAGGGAAAGTGTATAAAAAGAATTACCCTTAAATAGACTAGAACGACTCATTTGGAGTCGAAGTGTATATAATATCTGCATAATCTAAAACTTTTAAAGAGACAAAGATCGACTATAATCACTGTTAGTGATAGAAAAGTGCAAAGTGTATAGGATTTAAACCAATGTTCAACTGTGTTTGAATTAGATGAATGGCTATACATATAGAAGAATGAAGCCATTAATTATGAGATTAAAATAAGGAAGTATATTATGAATTAAAGGTATACACACATATGAAAAATTTTTTAATTTGATTCTTTTACCCATGTCTCGTTTAGGTCTTGCAATCAGTAGGTCCTGTTTCGTGACAGTTTTCAATGTCATTTTTTTTTCATGCCATTGTACAGAACACTGGTGAGACCTCACTTGGAGTATTGTACGCAGTACTGGAGACCGTATCTTCAGAAGGATATTGATACTTTAGAGAGAATTCAGAGAAGGGCTACTAAACTGATTCATGGACTGCAGGATAAAACTTACCAGGAAAGGTTAAAGGATCTTGGAGTAAAGACGAGACAGTGGGGATATGATAGAAACATTTAAATACATAAAGGGAATCAACACAATAAAGGAGGAGACCATATTTAACCCCTTAAGGACCGGGGACGGTTAAGGACCGGCATTTTTGCATTACCGACCGGTGACGGTCCTGAACCGTCCTAACGGTCAGATGTACTTACCCGATCGCCATCGTTCTCCCGGCGGCAATCGACGTTGCTCCCGATGTGGGGAGACTGCCTACAGCCCAGTCAGTCTCCCTGTGGCGGATTAGGACCCCTGGGGCCATGTGATCGCTCAACAGAACAATAGGTGTCCATGTGTCTGCCTGCAGGGGAACTGCCTGTGCTGACAAGCAGTCTCCCTGCTAGTGTAAAATCATAAAAAAAGTAAAGGTACATGTTAATAAAAAAAATTAATAATTATATATCTGTATATAAATATGATATATAGACATATATCATATTTATATAATATATGTCTATATATCATATATATAATGTCATGCTAAGTGTATTTTTATATTAATATGTACATATATTAATATAAAAATACACTTATAATTAAATTACACACGTATATATATATAATATATATAATGACTATATATATTGTATATATATATATTATTATAAAATACAAATAATAAGTCATTTAAATTAAATTAAAAAAATTAAAAATAATAAAAAAATTATATTTTGATATTAATATATATATATATTTATATCAAAATACACTTAGAATGAAATTGTATATATATCTATGTATATATAAATAAATAAAAATAATACGAAATATAGAAATGTCTATATACAAAATTACATAAATAATTATATAAATATACACATAGACTTCAAATATATAAATATGCATATATATTTAAATTCTACGTGCGTATTTATGTAATATTTTCACATAATTAAGTAATTTTATTGATTGCAATTTGAGGGACCTGCCTGCCAACCCAGGCCGAAAGTCCAGAGAATTTAATTTGCTAGCACTGTCCTGTTACGTTCTAGGACACCCTAAAACCTGTACATGGGGGGTACTGTTTTACTCGGGAGACTTTGCTGAACACAAATATTAGTGATTCAAAACAGTAAAACATATCACAGCGATGATATTGTCAGTGAAAGTGATTTTTTTTGCATTTTTCACACACAAACAGCTCTTTTAATGATGATATAATTGTTGTGATACGTTTTCCTGTTTTGAAACAGTAATATTTGTGTTCAGCAAAGTCTCCTGAGTATAACAGTACCCACCATGTACAGGTTTTATAGCGTTTGTGAAAGTTACAGGGTCAAATATATGTGTCAAATATTTTTACATTGAAAATGGCCAGGTTGGTTACGTTGCCTTTGAGAGTGTATGGTAGCCCAGGAATGAGAATTACCCCCATGATGGCATACCATTTGCAAAAGAAGACAACCCAATGTATTGCAAATGGGGTATGTCCAGTCTTTTTTAGTAACCACTTAGTCACAAACACTGGCCAAAATTAGCGTTCAATTTAGTTTTTTACTTTTTTCACACACAAACAAATATGAACGCTAAATCTGGCCAGTGTTTGCGACTAAGTGGCTACTAAAAAAGTCTGGACATACTCCATATTGAATACCCTGGGTTGTCTACTTTTAAAAAAATATGTACATGTGTGGTGTTATTCAGAGATTTATGACCGATAATAGTGTTACAATGCCACTACTGATAAATTTTAGAAATGTATGTTTTGAAACCGCAATATCCTACTTGTACTTATAGCCCTATAACATGCAAAAAAATAGCAAAAAAACACGTAAACACTGGGTATTTTTAAACTCAGGACAAAATTTTGAATCTATTTAGCAGTTTTTTTTCATTCGCTTTTGTAGATGAGTAAAAGATTTTTCAAGTAAAAGTAAAAAAACATGTATTTTTTTTAAATTTTTCATCATATTTTTGAATTTTTTAAAAATTAAATTACATGAGATTATATAAATAATGGTATGTAAAGAAAGTCCTTTTTGTCCTGAAAAAAACCAATATATAATTTGTATGGGAACAGTAAATGAGAGCACGGACAATTACAGCTAAACACAAACACCACAAAAGTGTAAAAGGATGCCATGGTCGCAAATGTACAACATTGCAAAAACAGTCCGGTCCTTAAGGGGTTAAAAGAAGAAAAACTACCACAACAAGAGGACATAGTCTTAAATTAGAGGGGCAACGGTTTAAAAATAATATCAGGAAGTATTACTTTACTGAGAGGGTAGTGGATGCATGGAATAGCCTTCCAGCTGAAGTGGTAGAGGTTAATACAGTGAAGGAGTTTAAGCATGCGTGGGATAGACATAAGGCTATCTTAGATATGAGACTAATGAAAGTATTTTAGAAAATTGGGCAGACTAGATGGGCCGAATGGTTCTTATCTGCCGTCACATTCTATGTTTCTATGTCTATGTTTCTATTATAATATCTTTGAACAGGGAGTTAAAAGTAAAGGAAAATGTACAATATGTTGTGCTTTGTCAAACAGCTGAAATGTATTGTTTATAATTATTGAACTCCCGTACAATCCAAAAGTTAAAAGCCACTTGCATGGACATCAGTATTCAAAATTCATCTAGAAATATATTTTCATATACATTTTTTTCCCTTAATAGATTACTGGTGTTTGGAAGACTTGTACCGTGACATGGTAAAGAGGTATATTGATGCTGTAGACAAGTTGCAAGGGCGACAACAAGATCCAGCAACCATTGAAGGATGTTCACAATTAAAACCGGATAATTATTTACTTGCCTGGCATACCCCATTCAATGAAAAAGGTTTGTGACTATAATGTTTAAAACATTGTTATGCCAATAATTCAGATTGTAGAATATTATATCACTGTATTGCATTTATAGGTGTTGTGTATGTATGTTGTGGTTGAGACCAACAACTTGATAGAACTGGCATAAATGTCAACTGAATAGATTTAGGGCAAAACAAATGCTGATACACAAAAAATTAAGACTCCCACTACTCTTAGGCGGCGGCAATGACCATAGTACACATCAGCCCCAATACATCAATACAATAATACAATACGTCAAGGCAAACCCCTTAGGTGGGTCTTACACTAACAATTCACCTTGCTTCCTTGAGCTTCAGAACAAGTGCTGCCTTTGAGTTAGAGAACAGATTCACAAAGGTTGAATTTTGAAGGATAACTCCGCTATAAATGCAAGTTTACTGGAATGTTTGGAGAAGTTCAAATGTTCGAGTGTTTAGAGAAGATTGCCATAAGGTTGGCGCTGTCTTGATGGCTGGAAATACAGATTGTTACTATTTCTATGTTTTAAAAATAATCTAAAACTAAAATATTTAAAATTTTGATTCACAAGATTCATCAAGTGTTCAGCATATCTAGGAAATAACTTTGTTATTCGGCACTCTGGACAATGGTTTCTTTACAGAACAGACACCAGCTTGCACACTTCCCTAAACAGCTCATGTTTAAAGATCTGTACTTCAAGTAGTATTTAGCAGGGAAGTTAATGTCAATGGATGCTTACAGTCAATTAACAGAACTAAGTTGTTCTTTGTTTTGATGATACCATACCAGAAAACAGTTAGGGAAAGGAAAATATTAAGGTGTTTCTCCATGTGCCATAACCAATTCATTGTTTTGAAGTGGTAATGGTTCTCGGTGTCTAAATGTGCAGCATTAAAGTATGAAACGCGGGGGTGTGGCCTGACAGCCGATGAGTCCGGTCGAGCTTTGCTAGAGCTCCGCTCCACCGGCACCATAAGCTACAATTAGAGACCTCTATTTGGGCGAACCCTTCTTCCCTGATACCCTAATATGGAACGGAGACCCCCCAAGAAGCAGGCTAAGAGGGCCACGGAGCCCGGGGGTTCCGTTCTGGACCTCCTTACAGCGCATCGTCACGGCAGGGCAGGCAGCCAAGATGGCGACGGAGGCTCCGTTCACTCCTCGCCTGGCGCCGATAGAGCTGCCCTGTCGGCGGATCAGAGCGATATAATCGCAAAACTGGCTGAGGTGAAAGCCTTCCTCGCGGGGGAAATCGCCAAATCTACGGCCATACTTCAGGCTGATATCTCCGCCCTGGGAGAGCGCACAGCCAAATTGGAAGACCGCATGGAGGCGACCACCCAGGCCCACAATGGGGTAGCCGATAGGGTTAACCGCATGACCACTCATGTGGTCGACATGGACCTGGCCCTGGAGGATATCACTAACCGCTCTAGGAGGAATAATCTTCGCCTGAGGGGCTTACCTGAAGGGCCGGATGAAGATCTGCAAGAGCTCTTGCTCTCAATTTTTAAGCCTCTCCTTCCGAACATCCCGGAGGAACAGTGGCATATTGAGAGGGCACATAGAGCGATGAAAACGCTGAGGACAGATGCAAACACCCCGAGGGATGTTATAATAAACTTCCTCTATTTCAAGACAAAGGAAGCCTTGATGAAGAAGGGCAGGGATGGGCCTATCCGGCACGACGGAGCCCTGATCTCTCTCTTCCAGGACCTGGCCCCCTCAACGCTACAGAGGAGGAGGGACTGGCGGCCTATCACTGGGGCTCTGCGTGGAGCGGGCCTGAAATATGCATGGGGCTTCCCCTTTAAATTGATGGTGTTTCGCGACGGCAGAGCCCACATATTGTCGCCTGGAGGAGACCCGAAGCGTCTGTTCCAGGGTCTGGGAATTCCACCACCCCCAGACCTTCCCGACCTAGCGATGGAACCGGAGGAGCTTCCACACCTTCAGGCAGAGTGGCGTGGAGTGGGATCTAGGAGCCAGCGCTGATCGTCGGCGGTATCGTATACCACCTTCTGCCTCCTTGCCCCTATTTTTTTCTCCCCGTATGTAGCCGGGCATTTTTGTTGTCTGTGGGGTGGGGGCTCGGATATGGGTTTTTCTGGATGGCATGCTACGTCCGTTTCTTTTTGATGTGGCGGCCATCCGCCACCTGAGGGTTGATTTTTCCTCTTAGGGATACTGGGGTCATGGCTCTTATTGCTTGGGAGGGGGTTTGGGGTCACGGGTTATGGCATGTTTTTTTTTTCGGGACCCTGTTCTCTTTTATTCCCCTTTGCCCCCTATAAAGCGGCCTGGTCCCGCCCGCCCGGTTCCTTCTGTGGCCCCCGGGTCGCAGGGATGGATAGTGGGCTCTGCCTCTCTGGAGTCGAAACTCTTCCCCTCGGGGCTAGGCCTCTGGGGCCTCATGTCCCCTTCTGACAAGGACGGGCGTGGGGATATTCATACGGATACCTGAAGAATAAGTTCTTCCTCTGTTTTCTTTTGACAATGCTGCTCCGTTGTGAAAATTGCATACTATGTTGTTCTTTTTTTCTTTCCTTTTTATATGTATTATTTATTATTATTAGCGACCTGTGGTTTGCAGGGCATGTTGCTCTTTTATCCCTCCACTGGGTGTAACTATGTGTAAAAAGCAAATAGGGAAAAATACACAAATCATAAACAAAAGAAAGTGAGAAGTAAAAATAACAGATGGACAAGAGGACAGGTAAAATAAAGGGAAAAATAAAGGAAAAACAAGAAGCAAAAGATCAAAAAAAAAGGAAAAAAAAGGAAAAAAAAGAGAGGAAAAAGGAGGGGAAAAATAAAATAAAAAAAGAATAAAAACAGAAAAATCAGAAAATAAAAAGAACACACACTCTGAAACAGGACCATGCAGCCACCACACCGACAAAATATAGATATACAAAAGGGGATAAAGTTGACCGAGACACGTGGAGATTTCGTGTTAATGGGGGATGGGGGAGGGAGTGTTCACGGTCACTCTGCAACTGGGGCCAGTGGGGCAGGGGGTGGGAAGGGGTGGGGGGTAGTAAGGGCACTGGACGAGGGAGTAGAGTGTAACCCAAAAGTGATACCTCAATTCCCTTATCTTTGTAAGTTAAGCTGCACTATTGCGACAGGTTCAAAACTATGAAAAGTTCATAACTGGTAATAGATGTTCGATATTGCTAACAAATAGTATCCCGACCCGAGCTCTTTTCAACTATAGCTAGCCGCCCACGGGGGTCATATGACATTTCTACCGCTATTTTAGGGCGTTATTGGGGACATGGTTCAGATGGCCTTATTCATTGAGCTTCCTGGGCTCTCGCCCGAGACCCCTATTTCTTATGTACAGGTGGGCGGTTTGGGAAAGCGGGAGGGGCTCTCCGTGGGTGGCTTGCTAGCCGCGGGGTCGCTTCCTGTGCGGCTGCTTGCCCCCGCTGGCCGGTCCAGAGTTCCTCTCTGAGGGGCCTGGCCGGCGGGGGTGACTGCCCGCCCGGGGGGGCGATCCTCGTGGTGGTTGGGGGGCCTGACGTGCCTTGAATAAGTTGCTGTAGGGGAGTAATGTGGGCGGCTAGTTTTATTCCTACCTCTATTCTTACCCCTATCTTTAGTTTGATTTGTTTGGACCCTTATATCATTCTTTTGCGCTCTAGCCTTGGATAAGGTTAGATTGGGCGTCAGATTCCCCGCAGATGGGTTCACACGTATCCCCTCTCTTTCCCTGATCTAAGACCGCAGTGGACGGGCAGCGAGCGCCACGTGTCCAGAGTAAATGGACTGCAAGTGACGGGGGAGACTAGACGTTTATTATGATATGACCGTGGTCGTACTGACAGGGGGAAATGGGGGAGGCTGGGTAGAGGGGACAGGGTTGGGGATTTCCCAGGGCGCAGGGAAGAATGTTATAAATGGAACAGTAACTTTCTTCAATAAAATATGAAAATTGAAATGAATTGAAATAATAAGGTTTCAAAACACAAGAAACACGTTACGGGGAGGAGGGAGCAAGTGAGGAACACAACCAGAACCCGAATTTATTACACCTTAGTTCAGCACGTTAAGAATCGATTATCACTGCAGAATATCTCCTTTTGTAAATATAACACCTTGTAACAATTAATACGTAAGGCATGTAGCCTCTATGATTGCCCTGTTGTTTTACTCTGCTTTCACCCCATTTTGATTGTTTCGGACTCACTGCCTCACTGTGCTACTGTTGTTGACTGTTCGGGTTTTATGGAAAGCCGTTTAAAGAGGCTCCACAGGGAGGTAGAGGGGAGGGGTCTTTACCTAGCGGGTGTGGACTGTAATGCTAAAAGATACGGAGAGTGCACATCCACTATCACGTGACTGGGCCTGAGGGGGGTGGTGGTATGGCGGTGAGGCTCCTGGGCAGAGCCAGAACTAATGGAGGGTGAGGGAGAGGTGCCCATAGACTAACTAATACGATTACACTGCCTGATAGCACAGAGGTCTGAGTATCACATAAGTGGTGCCTAGTTGGAAGAGCTCAGGATTCCATTGTTCCTCCCAACGTTGATCGTGGCAGGGCAGTGGGATGACGTTCCCCATATCATTCTGGCATCTGATAAGACCAGAAATTCTGTGCTTCGGACTGTGTCCGGATGCTGTTTTTTTTGTTCTATTTTATCTTCCTTTTTCTCCTTATTTTCTTCCTCTTCCTATTCTCTGGAGGGATGGTGGGGGCGGGGGCCTATCAATAGGGTTTCCATGGAACCACGACAGGGGTCGAGTCGCGAACGGTGGTATCGGAGACACTTACAGGGCCGTAACTAGTCAGCCTGATGGAGATTAAGATATTATCTCTGAACGTTAAGGGCTTGAACACCCCAAGGAAGCGCAGACTCCTATTCAAAGAACTAAGAAGAATGAAATTGGACATCGCGTTTATCCAGGAGACCCATTTGCCTAAACAGGCCAAGTTCAGGTTGAAAGACCATGCTTTTGTTGGTTCCTACGAAGCTAGGTCCCACCGCAAACGCAACGGGGTGGCGATCCTTATAAAAAGTAGTTGCCCCTTCCGGGAAATGCATTACGAAGCGGACACGGAAGGACGTTTCGTCATTGTCTCGGGGGTACTACATTCACATGCCATTCACTTAGTTAACATCTATGCACCGAACCAACCGGACTCGGGGTTTTGGAAAATGATCCAGGAGAAAATATCTGGGCTGCCTCACGGAATGTTATTCTTGGGAGGAGATTTCAACGCTGCCCCGAGCCCCGCCATAGATAGGAGTTCGCGGACGGGTACCCCTAGGTCACAGGGTAGGGGCGGTCAGGATCGCCTACTTAAGGCCTTCATAGCTGAAGTGGGGTTGGTGGACATATGGAGAGCCCAGCACCCAGGGGTAAGAGACTATACTTTCTACTCGGCCCCCCATGGAACGTATTCCAGGATTGACCTTTTCCTGACTAATGCAGCGGGCATGTCCCGAACAGCCGGATCACAGGTGGGCAATATAACTTGGTCAGATCACGCCGACATATCCATCACGCTGGGCAACCTCTGCGTTGCTTCGCCGTGGACGTGGAAACTAAACTCGTCATTGTTTCGTCACCCGGACATCTTGGAACAGACCAGGAAGGGAATTGTAGACTACTTTGAGTGGAACACCACCCCTGACGTGAGCGCAAGCACGATCTGGGCGGCCCATAAAGTGGTCATTAGGGGGACCTTGATCAAACTGGCCACCAGACAAAAGAAACTGAAACACCAGCAACTGGAATCTTTGCTGGGCCAACTCAGCACCCTGGAACATAAGCACCAAACGGCGCCATCAGCAAACATCTTCGCGCAATTGGAAGCAGCACGTAGGAACATCCGCACTTTACTATTAGATGACACGGCAAAAGCCATGACCTGGTCGAAACGGACTTTTTTCGAAAAGGCGAACAAAATGGACACCCTTTTAGCAAGAACGCTTAGGCCAAGGCAAGGAAGGACTCACATAACGGCGATCAAACATCCTGATGGCACGACAAGAACGGGACCTGTGGAGATTGCTAAGATTTTCGAAGACTTCTACGGAAAGTTGTATAACCACACTCCGGATGGAAGTCCGCACGGGATACGCGAGGAGGAATATATCATACGATACCTAGAAGGCTTAGGGTTGGCTAAATTGAGTGGTGAGGCAACACGTTCTCTGGCAGAGGACATATCGGAAGATGAAGTTGACAAGGCCATCTCGAATCTAAATGGCAACAAGGCACCGGGACCAGATGGTTTCGACGGCTCATACTACAAAACATTTAGAGAAGAACTCACACCACAATTGGTCCGACTTTTTGACAGCTTATGGCAGGGCGGACAACTGGCATCTGATATGACACTGGCGACTATAGTTCTCTTGCCTAAGCCCGGAAAGGACCCTCTATACCCAGAGAACTACAGGCCCATCTCATTGATCAATCATGATCTGAAGATTTTGGCGAAAATACAGGCCGACAGACTTAACCCGTTGCTGGTTTCTCTCATCCATGCAGATCAGGTTGGGTTTATCCCAAATAGACAATTGTTTGAAAATACTAGGAGGAACGTGGATCTGATCTGGAAACAAAGGACATCAAGGACCCCCACGTTAGTGGTATCCTTAGACGCTGAAAAGGCGTTCGACAGAGTTCGGTGGCAATTTCTTTTTCCAGTTCTGAAGTGCATGGGCTTCCCAGAGGAATACTTAACTACAACGAAAGCAATGTATGATAACGTGCGGGCACAAGTACAGATAACGGGTGCCCCGTTCCACCCATTTCGGCTATACAATGGCACGAGACAGGGTTGCCCGCTCTCGCCCCTCCTTTTCGTTTTGGCGTTGGAGCCTCTACTTCACGCGATACGTCAACATCCAAACATTAAGGGTGTAAGAGTGGGGGATAAAGATTTCAAGGTATCAGCCTACGCGGACGACGTTCTCTTAACCATCACGACTCCGTTAGAATCGATGACCGCACTTAAGGGAGTCATTCTAGAATACGGAGGACTATCCGGTTATAAAGCAAACATCCAAAAGTCCAGTGCGCTCCCGATATGCCTGACACAAGATGAAACAGCTAGGTTGCAGGAGGTATACCAAATCCGTATGGAAACAGACTCCCTAAGGTACCTAGGGATCAACATAACGGCTGACCCAGAACGTCTATATGCAACTAATTACGCCCCCATGCTTAGAGCGCTGACGGAGGACCTAGACAAATGGGTGGACAAACCCATTTCCTGGATCGGTAGGATACATTCTGTAAAAATGAACATCCTCCCGCGCTTACTGTTTCTTTTTCAGGCGCTACCCATCCGAATCACGAAGACACAATTGCTTCCCTTGCAAAGATCAATAGGGAACTTTATATGGCAGAACAAGAGACATAGAATTTCCAAACAGGTACTGTATAGGCGAAAAGATAGAGGGGGCTTGGGCTTCCGAACCTCTTCTTTTATTACCTAGCGGCACAACTAACGCAGATAGCCATGTGGCATTCCGCTCCTGAGGAGAGGCGGTGGGTGGATATCGAATCTATGATGGTGGGGGTGGATGTCCCCCAGTTCACAATGTGGGTCCCCAGAGAATACAGACCGGAAATACGGATAACATGCCCAGCGATCCTCAATTCGATACGCATATGGGACATGTGTAACGCCAAATATAAGCTGGCATCATCCCCTTCTCCTATGACCCCACTTCTTAGGAACAGAGAATTCCCCCCTGGTATGACCCCCAGGCACTTCTGCAACATCGAACGTGCTGGACTGCAACGGTTGAATCAGCTGTTTCATAATGGAGAGATCGTTCAGTTCGCGGACCTTCAATTGGGTAATCACCTGACTCCAGCGGATTTTTTCCGGTACATCCAAATACGAGACTTCGCCCAAAAACCAACCATTAAAAAGGCTGCAATGGAGACTCACACTTTCTACGAGAGAATATGTTCGGACGGGGCAACCCCCAAGGGGATGATCACATTATTGTACGCACACCTCAGTGAAGAAAATGGAGAATGGGGAAGACTAACGTAAACTGTCCAATGGGAGAATGACCTCGGTGAGACCTTGGAGGGGCTGGAGTGGCAAGAGATTTGGGAGGCAAATGCTAAGGTTTCAATATGTGTCACCCTACAGGAGCAGGCGTGGAAAACTATGTTCCGATGGTACACCACCCCAATTCAATTACATAGGATGCACAAACTAGACACAGATGATTGCTGGAGGGGTTGCGGAGACCAAGGAACGTATTTACACATGTGGTGGCAATGCTCAAAGATACGCGGATTCTGGAAGTCTGTGGAGGATTTATTGAAGCAGATATTTGATAAGCCTCTGAGGTTAGACCCCTGGACCTACTTATTAAATAGATCTGTGGATGGGTGGTCCACTCGGGAACAGAAATTAGTACACAAGATTACTTTGTGCGCGCGTCGAGCGATAGCGACAGCATGGTTCACTTCAGAGGGCCCGGATTTCGCAGGGGTAATCTCCAGAATTAAAGAATGTAGAATTATGGATGATTTGACAGCAAGGGTGAGGGGGACCACCGCAACATTCCAAAAACTCTGGGAACCATGGGACAATAGCGTATTTGGATCGAGCGGAGATTGAAGGCATACCCCAACTGGTGCTGACCGCGACGATATATCGCCGGTTGGGGTGCTGCCACCAGCGGAGAGATGGTGGGCCCGCCGTTTCCCCCTCAGTTCCCTCTTTTTCCTTTTTCAGCCTGGACTAGGCACTACTCGTTCTCTCTCTAATCCTTTTTACTTCCTCTTTTTCTTCCTTTTTCTTCCTTTTTTTCTCTTATTTCATCGTTTCATGTGATTTGTTTTTTCAGGCTAGACCAATGATTGGAGGAACAAGGTAACACACTTAGGAAGTTGATCAGCAAATATGATGGCTACTTAACTTTTGCAGATTAGCCTGTACCTTTATCTACCATAAGTTTCCCCGACAAACGGAGAGAGCCAATACTAAGTTACAATTATATGCAAACGACAACCACAACGATTACTTTTTTCTTATATTAAATTGTAATTTAATAGGCCTCTATATTAGCTCGAAAGTGACCGTATAACTGTCGAATTACCCGATCATTGATGTACATCCTAGAAGGGGGTAATTAAAAAAAAATCTAAAAACACCTCGATAGACGGCAGGTGCCAGTAGATTCATTAAATGGCGGAGCACACATTGTCCTTGCCTTGTCTTTGTTGTTTACTCTTTGTGTTTTATTTTCTCGGCAAACTTTGCAATGTTCCCACAATGTTGAACATGTTGGCTTCTGCGTAAGCCTGAAAGTTGATGTACACTTGCTGATTCTATTGAGTAAAAATAAAGAATTTAAAAAAAAAAATAAAGTATGAAACGCTGCTCATACAGAGATATCTAGGCTAGCTGCCAGGTGTGTAACTCCACCTCCAGCGGCATCATTATGCCAGGTGTGTAACTCCACCTCCAGCGGCATCATTACGCCAGGTGTGTAACTCCACCTCCAGCAGCATCATTATGCCAGGTGTGTAACTCCACCTTGCACGGCATCATTAGCCAGCGGACTGGCTAATGTCAATTATGTGCAGATTCCATGCACAGACCATCATTCTGAGAGCGCTCAAATGATCGGCACCTGTTTTTTGCGGCTCTACAGAACCCAGGTGCAAGTCACGCAGTATGGCAAAACGCTCTGTGCCCAATGTGACCCAGGTAAGACGCAAAGTGTTGCAAAACCATTTGCTCCATTACCGTGGCGCATCATTACCACTACAGTGTGCTTTAGTAGTTATAATGTTCGGAGTAACCCTTTAGAAAAATGTGTCTCAAAAGAGAAGCCTTGTATTTAGCTGGCAATACAGTGTGATTTCACATGCACTGAATTCCGAGTACAAGCTGGGCTTATTATTGTAATCAATGATTTATTTACTAAAAACAGGAGACAAATAGAACGGATTAATGGTACGTGCCTGTGCTCAGTGAAAAGTAATGAAAGTATGAGGAAAACATTCTAAAAATAGACAAATCAGCAAGACCATGTTTCATGGCAATTACATCACCTTTGAACTATTTTTTCAGTTTTTGCTTGTACATAAACTATTATACCTCCATTTTTGAAGCTTTTAAATCTCAAGCTCACTCTACCCGGTATTTGGTCTGTTACTCCATCAGTAACAGCTGTCCACAATTCTCGCTATATCTGTATAGTTATATTACAGAATGAACAAAACATTCTGGGTAACAGTAATCTGATACTGGAAATTTTGGAATTGTAATCCTTATTGCACACAGTCTCTAACCCCTTGTCCATTTATACATACATATGTCATCTAAAAATGAACTGGTTTACTTCTTTCACAGATAAAATGTTACAAATGTACTTTGCGTAATGTAGCCATTTCCTATATTGTAGAGATCTATGTTTTACTTTACATTTGTTCATCATTCCTAGATAGACTTGCAGTTCCGCAGGTACTCTTATCTAAAAATAAAATGCATGTCGACATTGTATATTAGAAAGGCATTATAATGCCCAATAGAAATTGTGTTGCAGTTAATGATATATTAAAACTATGTGCATCCAAATTGTATTCTACCATGGGGCCACATTTAGAAGGAACATATCTGGTGTTATATCACAGGCACCCTTAGCCAAAAATAAAACCTGTAGGGGTCCTTCTGGCCAATCATTTTTAAACAAAAAGGGGTTACAGATGCATTGATTGTTATGGATGTGTTAAACCTTTGTTAAGGTGCAAAATAAACCCTGTCCCAGCTATATTTCTAAAATGAAAATTGATCACAGAAGAAGCAATTACTAGACATGTAAAAGAGGTTTCATTGCTTCTTTGATTATTTTTGTAGGTTCAGGATTTGGAGCAGCAACCAAAGCCATGTCTATTGGAATGAGATATTGGAAACCAGAGAGACTTGAGACACTAATTGAAGTCAGTATTGAATGTGGGAGAATGACTCACAACCATCCAACAGGTAGTAACAGCAATTACTATAACCAATGGCAGGTGCCATCTCTGTATTACGCCAATATTGGCTGTTGTGCCTACCTAAACATTTGAGGTCATGTTCAAATGCTGTACACATGCATATCAAAATGCAATAAATGCTATTCAAAACGTATATACATGTTATATCTTATCTATTTGTAAATGTAAAGAACTTTACCAACATATCCAGTTGTTACAGTAAGTTCTCTTACTGAAAATTACTGGTAACATTTTCCAATAAATCAGTCTAATAAAATAAAAAGTAGGAGTTTCCAATAAAATATGCATTACGTTAATTCTCACCTCTAGAATCAAAGGTCGAATTGTAGACTAAATTGAACCACTACGTAAAAGGAATTATTTGACAAAAAAAAAAAAAACCTTGTCAGAGCAAATATAAAGAGAACAATAGCATTGTTGTCCCTGCCCCTTCTTGTAAACCAAAACTTGTCACTAAATAATAGTTTAGTTTGTTAGTTCACTAATAAATGTTTTGTTTACCTGTTGTGCAGCACTACATGTTGTATGTTTTTTATTTAAAAACAAAAAACAAAAAAAACAACTAGCAAGGTTGTATACCTGATGGGATGAATACCTCTAGATCTGTTGAGGGATTTTGTTTTATATATTAATTTTATCATTGAATGTATTTATATAGTACCTACATTTTCTACCGTGCTAAATACATTGTATTAAAGGGACTGTCTAAAAAGTCCTACATCATAAAAAATGCCCCACTGTTAAAAACTGATATTACGTTTTAATGTTTGGGGTGTTTGTAAACCCCTTCACATACCAGACTCCCCACCCACAACCCTAAAAATAAAGTTTACGCACCTTTTTCTTCAGTGTCCTCTCATGCCGCTGTCTGCTCTGACCCCCGGAGACTGTCAATGACAACAACCTCCCTAACTCTCTGGTTGAAAATGGTTTATGCTTGTAAATTGACACAAATGTTCCTGTCAGAGGTGGCGATTGCCCAATAGAATGCTCCTCATTAGAATAATGCATCCCTATGCTGAAATGTTTTAGGTGTCTGGAGTGTCCCTTTAATGTTGCAGTTTTGGTGCATAGAAACTTTCCCTTTCCACTTACCATATATATATATAACATGCCCTTTCTGAGAAATGGAAGTGTTTTTATCTTTGGTTGAAAAATGCCTCTAGTGGCTATGAGACTGACAGCTGCTTCCTTCTGAAGACATTAGATTTTCAAAGGACTTCGCATTGGGTGCCATCACACACAATATGATAATACTGAATACAGGTAATATTTCATATAATATTTGCTGTGAGCCTTCCTCATCTATTGTCACATATGTAACTAAGGAGCAGATCCAGAGCCTAATCTCGGGAGTGCCACTGGTAGATTATTTAAAGGAACACTCAAGGCACAATAAACACTACAGCCTTCTGTGGAGGTCAGTAGTCAAGCCATTTAAGAATAGTTTGAAAACTTACCTGGGGTACACCAGATGCGGCAACACTCTAATACAGCCTGAAGTACAGACCAAGCTTCCCTTCTCCCCTGGACATTATTGGCCAGCTAGGGAGCCGGGCCATCGCAGCCATGCCTTGCCCTGACATCCCCCCTGGACCTGCTCCTGATGTAAATCATGATAAAGTGTAGCTGTTTTTATATATAGAGTATTCCTTTAATTAACAAGACATTGACAAAACTTTGACAGATACAGTAACAGAGATGTAAAGCATGTTTTTGTTGTAACAAACTCCTCTATTCCCGTAAATTTAAAATAATCTAAAAAGTGCAATAAAGAGCAATAAAATAAAATAATAAAAGAACAAGTCATCCACTTAAAGGACCACTATAGGCACCCAGACCACTTCAGCTTAGTGAAGTTGTCTGGGTGCCAGGTCCATCTAGGATTAACTAGGCCTGCTGTAAACATAGCAGTTTCAGGGAACTGCTATATTTACAAATGGGTTAATCCAGCCTCTAGTGGCTGTCTTATTGACAGCCGCTAGAGGCGCTTCTGCGCTTCTCACTGTGATTCTCACAGTGAGAAGACGCCAACTTCCATAGGAAAGCATTGTGAATGCTTTCCTATGGACTGGCTGAATGCGCGCGCGGCTCTTGACACGCATGCGCATTCAGCCAATGATGGTCAAAGGACTAGGAGAGTCCCCAGCACTGAGGGAGCCCGGCGCTGGAGAAAGGTGAGTTTTAACCCCCTTCCTCTCCATTCAGCCCGGCGGGAGTGGGACCCTAATGGTGGGGGCACTCTCAGGGCACTATAGTACCAGGAAAATGAGTTTGTTTTCCTGGCACTATAGTGGTCCTTTAATTAAAGAAGATATTAAATAAGCCAGTTATATTAATTGGAATAATTTGACATGTAGGGGAGCATTTACTAGCCAGTTTCAATAATAAAAAAAAATTAAGCCCTGTGCTCAAATTCCCACTACTCTGGGCAACAGCGATGGTACACATCAGCCTCAATACATAAAATTTACAAAACACAAAGGAAAAAAGTTACTTGCACACTATCGCAAATCCCTATGCACATTTAAATAATGGAAGGGTTTTTAGTATCACTCCAATGGCCACTAAAGTGTAAGCTCACTTGCCACATCAAGGCAAAACATTAACAATTCACATTGTTGCTTTCAGTTAATAGGTAAAATCTCTAATGAGACAGAGTGGGGTATTTTTCTAATTTGGGCTGATGTGTACTATAGTCATTGCTGTCGCCCAAGAGTAGTAGGAGTTTGAACGCGGGGCTTAATTTTGTATATTTGTATTTGCTTTTAAAACCAAAAATAAAGTGTGTTGTGCCTTTAAGACTACAATTATTTGATAATTCTTACATTAATACCATATAAATGTGTAAAATAATTAAGTAATATTAGTGCAATGATTTATGAGTGACAAAGTGCACTTGTGAGAAAACCACACTTATTTGTGTAATGTGCAAATATTAGAAAACACCTTTTTTAACTCACTTACGAGTAACCATTTTGCATGTATCAATGCTTCAATATGAATCTCAAATAGAAAGAAAAAACACAAACTCATAGGGCGATATGTATATATACACAAAATTAAATTGATATAAACCAAAACACTCACAAAGGTAGAGCAATTTAGTATGCTCTGAACTGTGATGGCATCTTTTGCAACATATGGAGACTTGTAGCTGTGGGGAAGATAGAAAATTCTTTATTAACACTCTGGATAAAAACAGCTGTCAGGCAGGTAAGTCCCGTTCATATATCCTTTTCATCTCCAATATGTGGTGTGTAGACTAGCCTCTGGGTCGTGCGCCGGCTTTCACAAGACACAGAGGGCTGAGATCTCGTACCACTTGTTCCGGGAGGCGGGGCTTACGGCCTCTGAGCGTAATGACGTCAGAGCGCGATGACGCGTTTCGCCAAAACACTAATATGAGAGGCAATTCAATAGTGTGTGTTTTTTTTATTGTAAACTATAGTCTATCTATTGGGCTCTTTCATATTGTTTTGATATGTATCTTTGAACATTTTAGTTATTAATCCCCTATATATTGAATGAAATAGAGGTGGTATCCATTCTGTATGATAATGTGTTATTTTATTGTGACCAATCATATGGCTAGAATTGCGGACTTTTCGGTCAGCCACGCCCCCTAATATGACTTAACTTGAGACTGTGGTGGATAAGTGGGCGGATCTGATGAAGCCGAGTGTATCGGCAAAACGCGTCATTGTGCTCTGATGTCATCACGCTCAACAGCCGTAAGCCTCTCCTCCCGGAACAAGTGGTACGAGATCTCAGCCCTCTGTGTCTTGTGAAAGCCGGCGCACGACCCAGAGGCTAGTCTACACACCACATATTGGAGAGGAAAAGGATATATGAACGGGACTTACCTGCCTGACAGCTGTTTTTATCCAGAATGTTAATAAAGAATTTTCTATCTTCACCACAGCTACAAGTCTGCATATGTTGCAAAAGATGCCATCACAGTTCAGAGCAGACTAAATTGCTCTACCTTTGTGAGTGTTTAGGTTTATATCAATTTAATTTTGTATATATATATATATATATATATATATATATATCGCCCTATGAGTTTGTGTTTTCTATTTCTATTTGAGATTCATATTGAAGCATTGACATAAGCAAAATGGATACTCCTAGGTGAGTTATAAAAAGGTTTATTCTAATATTTGCACATTACACAAATAAGTGTGGTTTTTTCACTAGTGCACTTTGTCACTTTGGTCATAAATCATTGCACTAATATTTCTTAATTATTTTACACGTTTATATGGTATTAATGTAAAAATTATCAATTAATTGTAGTCTTAAAAGTACAGCGCACTTTATTTTTGGTGTTATGTGGTCATATGTTAGTGGAGCTTTTTCACAATATATAGTGCTGCTTATTTATTATTAATATTGGATTGTAACAATTATTTTAGCGCCATCCTTTTACTTGTTTTTCTGTGTACATTTTATATTTGCTTTTATATTACACGGTCATGTTACAGTGCTGCCGCCCACCCCATGTGTTCAGGTGCCAAGTATGTGTCAAATCATTTGTAAACGGTTTGGCAGCTTACTGTCGGATGTAGCCTTTGGATTCCTGGAACCATAACCACTACAGTGTAGTCTACTGTTTGTTGTGCTTAGTATTCCTTTAAAATGAGAAATTAACATACCGTATATACTCGAGTATAAGATGAGTTTTTCAGCACATTTTTTGAACTTAGCATTTTATTGCTTGTATTATCCTGTGATGCTTTGACATTCCTTATATGTGGGAATATGATTGGAGGGATGATTATGTTAGACAATTGCTTAATTATTATTGATTGATTATGTAATTAATTGATTGTAGTAGTTCACATGTTTGATCACTTGTTAAATTATTTTTGCACCTATATATTGTTTGTAAGAAGTGTGTTTAGTAGCTTGACAAAGGCCCTAAGTGGTCGAAACGTTGCATTTTGGTTCTTGGGTCCAATAAGATTGCCTATTCGTTGGAACATTTTGGAGTGCCTGGATTACTTTTCTACTAATAAATGCTATATTTGGTCTCTTTGGTACTGGGACTGAATCAAGAGCACCCTAGGATTTCAGGGCGAAGGGCTAAGTGCAGTTCCACAACTTGTCTATGGATGTTTGAGTAATTGTGTGTGTCTGGCTGTCAGTGTTTGTGTGATTGTGTGTATCTGTCTGTCAGTGTGTGTATGTCTGTCAGTGTGGATCTGAGTGAATGTGCGTTTGTCTGTCACTGTGTGGCTGTCTGTCAGTGAGTGAGTGTGTCTGTAAGTGAATGTGTTTGTTTCTGAGTAATTGTGTCAGTGACGGCGCCTGTGTGTCTGAGTGATTGTGTGTGTGTGTGTGTCTGTCAGTCAGTGAATGTGTGTGTGTCTTTCAGTGAATGTCAGTGAATGTGTGTCTGTGTCATTGTGTGTGTATGTCAGTGATTGTGTGTGTGTCAGTGAGTCAGTGATTGTTTGTGTCAAATCAGTGCGTGTATGTCAGTATATCTGAGTGTGTGTCTGTCAGTCAAAGTGTGTTAGTGGTTTAACAGGAAGAGGTGGGGCAAATGTAAATTAGGGAGTGTTCAAGTTCTGTCATGCCTAGGGCAGCACAGATACTAAATACATCACTGCCCCTGGGAAAGGATCCACTCCAATTCTCCCAAAGAGAGGCTCTTGGATGTAAATTAAAATAAAAAATAATATTTGATTGTGTGTCTGTCAATAAGTGTGTGTCTGTGTGTGTGTGTGTGTGTCTGTGAGAGTGTGTCCATTTAGGTGACCAGCCTCCCTCTGATTGCGTGCAAAAGGAGTTTTTACTCACTTTTTTCCCAACTCTGTGCCGGTTTCACCGTTGCTAGCCGAGGCTCCACGGCTGAGATAATCAGTCTTAATGATCTCAGACAATCCAATGCTGTTCCATAGGAAAGCATTCAGAAGCTATTGTGCATGTGTGGCAAAACCCCGCACTGCACCATCAACATCTCCTCATAGAGATGCATTGAATCAATGCATCTCTATGGGAAATGTTCAACACCTCCATACAGAGCAAGGAGATGCTAAAGGTAGGTGCTGCACACTGTGTAGCATTGAAAGAGGAAGCACCTCTAGTGGCCGTCTGAGTGACTGTCACTAGAGGTGTTACTAGGCAGCAATGTAAACTCTGCCTTTTCTCTGAATACATTGCATTTGACCAAACTCATAGAGGTGTATAATTGAAAGAGAAAATAAATAAAAACAAAATGCATTTAAATATAACTATATAACCTTACTCTACACAACTTCTAATTGTCTTGTCTAAGCAGTCTCTTAAAAGTACTCCTACAGTGTTCCATTACATAATATAGAGATTAATGCTTTCTCTCTCCAAAGTCTAACAAGTCTGATTACTCTTACTTTTTGCATGTCCTCATTATGTCCCAATATCTAGGATTTCTGGGTTCACTCTGTACTGCCTTGTTTGCATCGTATGCAATACAGCAGAAGCCCATTGTTCAGTGGGGCAGAGACATGTTGAAGGTAATACCGATGGCTGAAGAATATTGCAAGAAGACCATACGACACATGGCAGGTAAAATTATTTAGTAAATTCGGATTTTTAATCTAATCAACATTGTTTTCTACTACTCAGTAACAATTTTGTTTCATATTGTCCAGTGATGAAAACAAAATGCCATGGAGACAAAACAAAAGTTCAAATAGTGCATTACAGTACAGTGTTTATCTATAGGGGTGGCAAGAGAGAGAGGGGAGGAGGTTGTGGGCTGGGGGGGAGAGGGGTGTGTGTGTGTGTACATATTCACTGATGGTTCTAAAAATATAAAAAGTAACTGTATTAATATTTAGAGCATCAGCAAGTATAAAATGATTTTAGCATGATATTTGATAATTTAAAGTTACTAAGACAGGAGTTACCTTTACATTATGTAGTTCGAATGCCTGAGTGAATATTATTTGCTAGTGCAGTTTCCACTAAAACAGTTTTACGAGTATTTTTTTATTTGATTATCTACTTACACTGAAAAGTAGAAATCAGGTAAGCCAATAATTATAATTTCATTTTTTATTTTTTTTTACGATCGGTTGTTGCTTGCATGCAATCAGCATACGTAAAACCATCAGAAGAGAGAATTTGAAGAAAGGGTGTGGAAGTTGCTGCTCCTCTTCTGCTAATCCTTAGTTAATGCAGAAAAAGTATGTTTTAAAACTGAAAGTATTTTAAGCTTACTGCTTACATGCACGTAAGCAGCTTATCAAACTCAAACCATAAGAAAAAAAAAAGCACAACAGTATTACTTAACCCCTTTAGGACGGAGTCAATAGTGCACGTTCTGATCAAAACAAAACGTAAACAAAAACTGGAATTTGCGCTATATGTCTGTTCAACCGTAATTCACCGCTGTCACATTAAGTGCACCCATATTTATTATATATCATTTTGTTCAGGAGATACAGGGCTTTTATTTATCATTAACTATTCATATATGGAACATAATTTATTATGAATAAAATTTAAAGAAATGTGAGAAAATAAGATTTATTTTTAAATTTGTATTTCCGTGTGACATTTTAGCTGTAAATGTCATAATACTGTTTTACTGCAAAAAAATGCACATATTTGTAATCAGCGATGTCTCACGAGTAGTGCTGTCCCGAACGGTTCGCCGCGAACGGTTCGCCACGGACTCATCATTGAGTAAACTTTGACCCTGTACCTCACAGTCAGCAGACACATTCCAGCCAATCAGCAGCAGACCCTCCCTCCCAGACCCTCCCACCTCCTGGACAGCTCACTAAGAATGCAGCTTCAAAATGGATGCTGTCCAGGAGGTGGGAGGGTCTGGGTGGGTCTCTGCTGCTGTCTGCTGCTGATTGGCTGCTATGTGATACAGGTCGAACGTTCCGTTCGGGACATCACTACTCACGAGTACAACAGTACCCTCCCATTAACAGGTTTTATGGAGTTTTGGAAAAGTTACAGGGTCAAATATAGAACGTTCCATTTTCAAATTGAAATTTGCCAGATTAGTAATGTTACCTTTGAGACGGTGTGGTAGTCCAGGAATGAGAATTACCCCATAATGGCATACCATTTGAAAAAGTAGATAACCCAAGGTATTAAAAGTGGGGTATGTTTAGTCTTTTTTAGTAGCCACTTAGTCACAAACACTGGCCAAAGTTAGTGTTCATATTTGTTTTTGTGTGAAAAAAGCAAAAAACTAATATTTGGCCAGTGTTTATGACTAAGAAAGACTGGACATACCCCACTTGCAATACCTTGGGTTGTCTACTTTTGCAAATGGTATGCCATCATGGGGGTAATTCTCATTCCTGGGCTACCATACGCTCTCAAAGGCAACATAACCAATCTGGCAAATTTCAATGTAAAAAAAAAATGAAATGCAAGCCTTATATGTGACTCTATAACTTTCCAAAACACCATAAAACCTGTACATGGGGGGTACTGTTATTCTCGGGAGACTTCACTAAACACAAATATTAGTGTTTTAAAACAGTAAAACATATTACAACAATAATATAGTCCATAAACATGACGTTCGTTTGTAGAAAATGCTAAAAATTTCACTTTTACTTAAAATATCATCGTTGTAATACAATTTACCAGTTTGAAACACATATTTGAGTTCAGCGAAGTCTCCCGAGTAAAACAGTACCCCCTATGTACAGGTTTTATGGAGTCTTGGAGAGTTACAGGGTCAAATATAATGCTTGCGAATTAAATTCTCTGCACTTTCTCCCTGTGTTGTCAGGCATGTCAATCAAATTTTAATTAATCAAATCACATAATTATGTTAAAAGATTACTTAAATATATATGTAGAATTTTAATATATATGCATTTATAGGTATTTAAATTCTACGTGTATACTAATGTAATCTTTTATGTAATTCTATGTATTTATCTATATATATATATATATATATATATATATATATTTGCGGTTATTGGTATTTTATATATAGATAGATACAGTTGCAAGAAAAGGTATGTGAACCCTTTGGAATGATATGGATTTCTGCACAAATTGGTCATAAAATGTGATCTGATCATCATCTAAGTCACAATAATAGACAATCACAGTCTGCTTAAACTAATAACACACAAAGAATGAAATGTTGCTATGTTTTTATTGAACACACCATGTAAACATTCACAGTGCAGGTGGAAAAAGTATGTGAACCCTTGGATTTAATAACTGGTTGAACCTCCTTTGGCAGCAATAACTTCAACCAAACGTTTCCTGTAGTTGCAGAGGTGGGGAGGCCCACAGATCCGTTTCGCACCGGGGCCCCATGGATTGTGTGTACACCACTGCATACATCCATAAACACGCATCATTACACACATACATCCATAAACACACATACTGCCCAATACATGCATCCATAAACACACACTGCCTAATACATACATCCATACACACACACACATACTGCCTAAGACATACATTATACATTGAATACATAATGAAGGTAAGCAGGTGCCTGCTCTGCCATATTTAAGAAGGACAGCATCAGGGGTGCTCTGAGGTGATCAGATGGCCACCTACTGGGCCTTCTGTGACAAGGCCCCCACTTTTGGGCACCTGGAGGATCGGCCGGGCATGGGGGGGGGGCTATAGAACGCTGCAGCCCAAGACAGGAGCAGCCCACCAGGAAACATTCCCCTAGCAGGCCTGTGCCCTAGGCGAATGCCTAGTTCGCTTAACAGTGGCGCCAACCCTGGGTGTAGTACTAGTGATAATGTCATGATCTTGTGCAGGTCAGTGATGAGACTGAAACTGGGGTTAATTTCAGGGTCTTTATATGGTATCTTAGCCATTCTAGTAAGAACAGGATATCCTATTATTGTAGTTGTAGGAATGAAGGATAGTGAACAGAACAGAATGTCTGAATTTACAGGTAATTCAGTAGCCTAAGAAATAAAGGATTTAGACAAGCCCAAAATGGAAATAAGGTAAACCTATAAAAGAAAATACTTATATAGGTGGAGCGCAAAATCAGATCCACATTTCCATGGAATCCTTTACACAGCTTCAACTCAGATGGATATAAAAAAGATAAAATGCATATAATAGTGAAGTACAGTTATAGTAAGTTGCAAATATTTAATAATCGTTTCACTAGACATAAAACACTCCTAGCAATAAAAATAATAAAGCAAAATCAATATTGAATAAAATTACATAAATTAAATGAAATAAACAATGAGCCTCTTACAGGATAAAAATAAGTGAGTGTATGCAGTCCCAGCTGCTACTCACTAACGCTTTATAGTTGCCTTAGTCCAGGCACAGGGTTGACAGGTAGCCGGCTTCTCTCTTGTCTCCTCCACGGATGTCGTAGAGAAAGCGGGCCGCTGAAAGATCCTGAATGCCGGTCTGGGGTTCTCTGAGCTTCCCGGGTGCTCCGCCCCTTTTGCGTCACTCCGTAACAGGCGTGCGTCACTGCGTCGTCTACGCGTTTCGCCGAAGCTTCCTCAGGACACAGAGCAGTGATGCTGACTTGTCTTACTCGTCCACTATTTAAAGCGATCCTTCCGCTTCCTATTGGATCCCTAATCATAGTGTCTTTTATGCAGGTGTATTAAAACCATACATCCTCTACTTAACTCCATAATTACCTATACTAAATAGACATATTAATGCAAATATCATAGGGACATTTAAACATTTAAACATATAATTGACAAACATTTCTCAATTTTATTCTACCATACCTGGTTTTAAGAGAAGAGAGAAAATTGGTAACAGGGAGTTAATACAAATATAAATACAACTTTTCATCAAACTTTTAAACTTTTCTATGTCAATTTTAACTTTTAACCATTTTTAAATGTTTTTAAATAAGTATTACCTTCCCCAAAGGGGTGCCCATATTTAAAGTGCCCCAAAACCAATTTAAAGTGCTATACTCAAAATTCAGAACCATTTGCTACAAAGTGCAGATCATATATATAATTGTAAATTATTCATACAGTCATCTAAAATATATCTAAATATATATCTAAAAATGTATCTAAAAATATATAATAATATAAAAAAAATTATATATATTATAAGAAATGGCACAACTCAAAATCATTATTAAGGCCAAACGGAATGAGAGTATTGAGTTCAAAAATTTTTAGAAGTATTTATTAAAGAAGTCAATTCGAATGATTGGGGAGTATCCCTAGTTTTTAATTATAGTAGATCTAAAGTAGATTTCCTTGATCTTTCGATTTTTATGGAGGATGAGATGATTAAAACTAAGACTTTCTTTAAAGCTGTCGATGTGAACAGCTATATAGAGTTGTCGAGTTGTCATTACAGTCCCTGGCTCAAGAATGTACCAAAAAGTCAACTGATCCGTATTCGAAGGAATTGTACGGACAAAGAGACATTCTTGGACCAGGGCCAGAAAATAATAGAAGATTTCAAAGCCAGAGGTTATGAAGGTAAAGATTTAAATAAGACACTAGAAGAGGTACAACAGATAGACAGGGAGTCTCTTTTGGAATATAACGGTCCAAAAAAGAATAAGAAGAATACAGAGGATGTACCCTTTATCTGCCAATTTGCAGGTAGACATAATGGCAGATTGAGGAGCATCATTAATAAGAATTGGCATTTTTTATTGAAAGATCCGGCACTACATAATCTTTTACCTACTCAACCAAAAATTGTCCATAGAGGAGTTCCAAATATTAAAAATATTCTGACGTTTAAACAGGATAAAAACGACAATAAAACCTTAGGGTCGTTAGAAAAATACGTAGGGTTAAAGAAAGGCTTTTATAATTGTGGGACATGCAATGCGTGTAAAGCCACAGGCTCACATAGAAATTTTAGAGATCAATTTATGTCACCAACTAAAACCTACAAGATAAAGGAATGTATAACCTGCCACACTAGTAATGTAATCTATATGCTTATCTGTCCCTGCGGACTAAGCTACATAGGTCGCACTACACGCCAGCTACATACTAGAGTAGGAGAGCATGTATACAATATCCGTAAGGGTTTTGCACTGCACCAGGTATCCTTACACTTTAAAGAACATCACAATAGTGACCCATCTGGCCTATCATTTGTTGGAATACAGAAAGCACTTTTTAATTGGAGAGGTGAAGATCGTACGAAAAAATTGGGCCAAATGGAAATGAGATGGATTTTTGAACTCAATACTCTCATTCCATTTGGCCTCAATAATGATTTTGAGTTGTGCCATTTCTTATAATATATATTTTTTTTATATTATTATATATTTTTAGATACATTTTTAGATATATATTTAGATATATTTTAGATGACTGTATGAATAATTTACAATTATATATATGATCTGCACTTTGTAGCAAATGGTTCTGAATTTTGAATATAGCACTTTAAATTGGTTTTGGGGCACTTTAAATATGGGCACCCCTTTGGGGAAGGTAATACTTATTTAAAAACATTTAAAAATGGTTAAAAGTTAAAATTGACATAGAAAAGTTTAAAAGTTTGATGAAAAGTTGTATTTATATTTGTATTAACTCCCTGTTACAATTTTCTCTCTTCTCTTAAAACCAGGTATGGTAGAATAAAATTGAGAAATGTTTGTCAATTATATGTTTAAATGTTTAAATGTCCCTATGATATTTGCATTAATATGTCTATTTAGTATAGGTAATTATGGAGTTAAGTAGAGGATGTATGGTTTTAATACACCTGCATAAAAGACACTATGATTAGGGATCCAATAGGAAGCGGAAGGATCGCTTTAAATAGTGGACGAGTAAGACAAGTCAGCATCACTGCTCTGTGTCCTGAGGAAGCTTCGGCGAAACGCGTAGACGACGCAGTGACGCACGCCTGTTACGGAGTGACGCAAAAGGGGCGGAGCACCCGGGAAGCTCAGAGAACCCCAGACCGGCATCCAGGATCTTTCAGCGGCCCGCTTTCTCTACGACATGGAGGAGACAAGAGAGAAGCCGGCTACCTGTCAACCCTGTGCCTGGACTAAGGCAACTATAAAGCGTTAGTGAGTAGCAGCTGGGACTGCATACACTCACTTATTTTTATCCTGTAAGAGGCTCATTGTTTGTTTCATTTAATTTATGTAATTTTATTCAATATTGATTTTGATTTATTATTTTTATTGCTAGGAGTGTTTTATGTCTAGTGAAACGATTATTAAATATTTGCAACTTACTATAACTGTACTTCACTATTATATGCATTTTATCTTTTTTATATCCATCTGAGTTGAAGCTGTGTAAAGGATTCCATGGAAATGTGGATCTGATTTTGCGCTCCACCTATATAAGTATTTTGTTTGATTTTTGGTGTGGGAGTTGGGTTCACACAGGTGTGTAGCAGCTTTTTGGAATTTAACCCTGTAATAGAGGTGTTTAACATTTTGAAGGTGATACAGAAATTTTTCACATTTTTTTCTGCCACCTCATCTGTGTATACAGAATTATAGGCTTAGCGCTTTTATACTTTAAATATAAACCTATAAAAGAAGTTATACGTATTAGAGAGATTATAGGAAACAGGATTTAGGCAATATACCCCAGAACAGGATATTAAGAAACAACTAAACAGAATTAGAGAGAAATATGAGTACTTAAATAGGGTTGTAGTTGTTCAGTCTCTTTGGATAAGAGGTTATGTTGTAGTAGCAGGTCCTTTTTGATAGATGCAAATAGAGTTTGGAATATACCGTAAGTAAATCCAATGTAGGAGTAAATAGATAGCCACAAAGTAAATTAAAGTCCAGTGTTGTTTTAAGCAAGTTGGATGTTCAGCAGGAATATAGGGAGTTCAGGTTGGTTTGCTGCAGGTTTGTAGATAAGGCAGGAATGAAGAGTTGTACAGGTAAGTTTGGAGCAGGTTGGTGAGCATAGCTGGTTATGAAGCCAATAACGAAAATCCACAGGTTAACTCAGGAGCCAGGATATGAAGTCTTTTCAGGCAATCATCAACTTCAGTGTCAAGGCAAAGTGGTGAGTTGGGTGTTACCTTTTGTAGGAACCCAATTTAGTCCAGGCAGGTGAGCATGATAAGGCGAGTTGTCAAACTAGAGGCAAGGGAGGCCACTAGTGGTAAAACAAAAGGAACAGGAAATACATAACAAAAGTCTTGCTTGTAAGGACAGGATCCTGACATCTCTTACACTTGGTCTTATTAGGCTTGGTTTTTACAGAAAAATGGTTCTTTATGAACCCCTAAAACCACTCCACCAGGGGTGGGCAGTCTGCAGCCGTCCATATGTTTTGGACTACATCTCCCTTGATGCTTTGCTAGCATTATGGCCCTAAGAGCATTATGGGAGATGTCGTCCAAAACATCTGGAGGGCCAAAGATTGCCCACCCCTGCACAACACCATATGCTGAATACCAGGTGGCATGAAGAATTCTATGATTTCTTTGCAATCTGGGAAGAAGCCATTACGAATTGGCATTATAGCCCAGTTATGCCAGTTAGTGACAAGTATGTAGTAAGTAGTGACTTTGCTGTGGCACAAATCTAAAACCCCAACACCGGTTAGTGAATCTAGATAATTATGTCAATTAGTGCTTCATCTGAATATTTATAATCAGTAAATTATATGTATCTGCAGTAAAATTCATACACTCACACAATCCTTTTCATTATCCAGAAGAAGCGAATTGACAAAGTCTGTTGCTGAAGTTGGTTATTATCTAATACTAATCATCTACCTTTAGAATACCAAGAACACTGGTTTTACTTTGAAGCCAAGTGGCAGTTTTACCTGGAGGAGAGAGAAATAACAGAAGACAATGAAAATAAACCTGCTTTTCCTGACAAATATGATGCTGAAGAGCGAGATAAGGTAAACATGTTACTGTAACAGCGGCTACACCTTGACTTTTTTTTTGTTGGCATTCGGAGCAGCAATGGGATCATAGCACAGATTCAGAAAGGTCTATTAACATAGCTATGAGCCACAGAAAATTAACATTTAAGGAAAAACTTGGTTATTTTAGTGTAAGTTTCCCCAGTCCTAGCAGTTTGTATTGTGATTACAAAGTGTATAATACGGTCCACGAAAGCAATCTTACATCTCTTATCTTACTTCATGTGTAGACGTATAAAAAATGGAGCTCAGAGGGCCGTGGGGGAAGGAGAGGACACGATGCTCCTATGATTGCATATGATGCCCTGCTAGGGGCTGGAGGTGATTGGAAAGAACTCTGTAATCGAGCTATGTTCCATGGAGGTATGTGACTACCTGATAATATCATTAGAAGTCTGTGTGGGAGGTGAGTGGGAGACATAATGAGTATCGTATACCATTTCAGTACACTCCAAGTGGTACACATGCATGATTTAATGGAGGGATATATAGATACATTGAGCTTGTGGGTAAATGAAGTGGGAATATTTATGTATGGACTCATGTTTACTTTTTATTATTTTAATTTGTTGTAAAATAATTCTGTAGTTCCTGTAATTTGTGTAGTGCGAGGGGAAATGTTTTGTGTGGGTTTTTTTTCCATTTGTTTTTGTTTGATTAATCCAGGTGCCATCCAGACATAGCAGAATATCTAGTCCTACCCTGACCCTCAAGACTAGAGCCCTTGTTAATATGTAGCATATTATTGCTATATAAAATTTTAAATAATTGATTAAATATTTGTAAAACAAAATATTTCGAATTTTTAAGTTGCTCTTGAAAAATGCTACCATTTGTAAATAGCTTCCTTGAAGGGTTATTTCAAGCACCATAACCACTTCAACCTGCTGATACAATTTTACAATTTTGAGGGGAGCGATAATGGCATGTACACCCCCCTTCTATATAATTATAGCCCCCACCCAGCACCAACTGGTGAGGGCTGGGTTTCACGTTAGGCCCAACCAACTTATAACGATTAGAGTCACACTTGCAGCCCATTAATAGGAATAGGGAGGGACACTATGTTCCATCCATTCCTTTAAATTACAGCCCCACACTCTGGCAAAAGGTGGGGTCACAGACAGGGGAAACTATGTCCCACCAGATTATTATTTAATTAGAACCTCACCGTGGGTTCTTGGTATTTAGCATACATGCTCCCAATCACATCATGGCAAATGGTGGCATGGAGAGGTTTAATAACGCCCTTATTCTAGCTTGGGGTTCATCTTGAACAACAAAGGATTCAGATTTATTTAATTTTAATGACTAACAGGGCTAGTCATTAAAGAAGACTGATAAGGGTGCTTCAGAAGAGCAGAGTTCACCTGCTAAATATTCAACTGGCATTCAATCCAGTAGAAATTAGCTATACAGATTGTCCACATCCAGTCCATAGTTTTAAACTGGGTTTTTCCTATGGTATTGAATCATAAAACAGAAAAAGGGAGCAGATGAATTAAAACCCCAAAATATGGCTTCCCTTCCTTTAAAAGGGAGACTTGAGAAGTTCACATTTGTATTTTGCCAATTGCCATTATTAAAATCCACTTTTTGTGTTTTATTGATGTGTTTAAAATAAATGTGCACGCAGTTACTCTACAATTTAGGGTCCCTTCTGCTCTATATTCTTAAAATCTTCTGAAGCCTTGAGACTGCTCACCATATAGTTTAGTTTTAGTGTGTATTTTTGTATTTTCACTAACCACATCTAGTTAGTTTGTGACCAATATATTGATTTAACATAAAGGTTCTCATATGAAATATTATGCCGTCATCTACTATGGTTTTGTGTTTCAGGAGAAGGTGGTGCAACAGGTTCAATTGCTGGGTGCCTGTTCGGACTGCTGTATGGTATAAATAACGTACCTAAGGGACTCTACCAGGAGTTCGAACTAAAAGAGCAGCTCGAACACTTGGGTGACAAACTTCATCAACTATCTACAAAGGAAAAGTAAAGCAGTTGGTGTTATTTTTCTTTAAACACAGCTCTAAACACTAAGAACAGTCTGAACAGTTATCTTAAATTAGTAGCCAGTGGAAACTAGAATGTATTAGGAATGGGATTTGACCTTTTGGCTAGGTCTAGTGAGCACGATGTTTACATTAGATGTACCATTTGTATAGTTGTATGATTTTATTGTGTTTTTTTTTTCTCACAGGTAAAGACAATACTTATGAATCTAAAGTCAGGTGAAACTCAAAGATAGCCACATGATTAAGATACACATATATCATATAATAGACCAAACGTGATGCCATTATAAAGCCAAGTGTAGCATTAGGAAGATTGACATGTATTTAGAATGAATGGTTTTCCATGGCCTTTCATTCACTGATATTATGTATTTTCAACATACTGTACAAACCTTGCAATACAATGTGCCAGAATGAACCTTATGTTGATTGCCACTTAAACAGAAACAGTCTGTACACGGGTGAGCTTCTGGCACTGCACACAGTAACCTATGGGGTATTTGAAAGGCTGTGTTGCATAGTGTACATATGCTGAAGGGGGTTACACAGAATACATATGTTGGAGTGATTCATGAGTACAAAGTCTAAATGTAATCACTGGGAGAAAACAGGTGAAGGTATTTTAGAGCAATGCTACCCACATCGTACTGTACATCGTACAGTGGATGGTTTTCTGTGTTACTGGCCATAGCTGGTATTGTGTGGAGTCCCAGATAGTGCTTACAAGAGTTTTATTAATACGAATGATAAGAGTAATTCACATGTGTTAATTAGCGCTATTATAACTATGAAGTTAATGACCTTGTAGGATTGCACAAGCCACTTGAACCAAGGTTTCCAAGTCAATGACATGCTTGGCTTTCCAACCCGTGACCCCGACAGGACGGGAATCTTTGGGAACCTGTGTAATTTCAGATGTCCTTTCCATCTGGTAGAAAGTAGGCACCAGCTCATCTGATTTTGAGGGTATCCTGCCAGAATAGGTTTCTAATAGTATGTGATTGAGAAACATTGTCACTAACTGATCAGGTTAGTTGTGTTGTCCAGTCCATTAACTCCAGACTTAGATTTTGTGAGTGAGACACAGCAATTTATCAGCACCCTTCATTAAACCTCAGACTGGTTTGTCTTCTCTGTAAATTGTTTTGCATGCGGGGTCGTGTTAAAATCAAGACGCATTTTGTAAATCCCAGTTAAAGAACTGTAAAGAACATGATCCCTCATCCAGTCTGTGAAAAGGATGACTCTGACAGTCATGAATTTATACTTTGTACATCAGGGTTGGGAAAACTACAAGTCACTATTTTTTTTTAGGGCTAACAATTCTATTATTCTCAGACAGATCAAGTGAAAATATTTATAGACTACTAAAAAAGTTAATTGACTGTAAGTTACAAATCCTTTATTTAGCTGAATATCTGAAATAAACACCCAAAATGTTAACTTTTTACACTTGACGCACAGAACAGAACCATTTAACTGTATAAGTTGCCTACAGAATGACTACCACATTTGCAATGTTCATTCTACTCTTTGGAATGCATTGATGCATGCCTGCTATGTCTACTGCTCTGATCTGCATCCATAAATATATGCATTGTGTAAGCATTATCTTTCTGGGCCTCCAAACTGTTATCGTCCAAAATATGCCTGACATGCCTGTGAATAAAAAAAAAACAACAAACATTATATTTGTTCTTTCTGTCAAGGGTTTTGTTGTTTGCTGGTCTAAAAATTAAAGGTGCAATTACATATAATGCCATTTCAGTTTATTGGCATGTGTCAATACAAATTATTTTATTTAAAAGAAAATATGGATAACATTTTTAATCAGGCTTCAAAATAAAATAAATGTAGCATAATGTAACTAATTTAGGCTTTACACGCACTTGTGCCTCGTACTCACAATCTCCCTGGTCTTTGTGCTTGTAACTCTGATCACACTTGATTGAGCAGAAACAAGATACAGGATGTTGTTTTAATCCATAAATAGGATGTTTATTAAATATACAAAGTTATGATGATACAAAAAGGAGTTCCTTAAAAAATATTTGGGTAATATTTGGATAAAAAAATAAATAAATACATTTTTCATTAGGAATGTCACATATTGTTATTTACACTGATAGAGTACTCAGTGGATTGTGGTTATAGCAATTGAACATGATACATTGTGCAATTTGGTATGACAATCGACATTCCAAATCAATTTAGCAAATATAAAATCCATAAAATTTTAAATAAATGGAACACTAAAACCTTAAACAATAGATCAGTTCCTGGATTTTTAAATATAAAATACAAGAGTATTTTCAAATAATATATTAATAATAATAATAATAATGTTATTATAAATTAAAAGTTGATTCATAGAGCATTTAAGAAATTTCACAACAACATTCCACTGAAAACCACAACATTTTTAAATCCCACATTAGTTAGTTTGTTATTTAGCAAGTAGATCTCACAGTAATTATGCAAAATAATTTTCAATTTTTCAGAATTCACTAATTTTTGTAATCCATAATGTACATGTTACATTTCATCCAGTGAGGGTAAGGGTGTTTCATGAACGGTTTATATTTAAGAAAATTGTGGAGAGTTGAATACAGTTTTTTTGTAGAATAGTTCAAGAATATTCATCACAAGACCTTGTGGGTCAGCATGTCTTGCTATTCATCCATTCTTATTAATGTCATGAAAGGGCATTTTATCACAGCTTACTCTTACTTACCCTTTGGCTAAATCTTATCTTACCGTTTGGCACTAGCAATGTATGCAGTATTTGTGCTTACTAACATCATTATTTTCTATGTAGTCCTTAGAAAGTTATTATAAGAAGAAATATATTTTTATTTTTTTTAAACAAAAAACAAACACTTATGTTTGGTGATACATTGCTTTCTAAACAGGCAATTTCTGGACCAATCCCTGCCTGACAAAATATAATTAGAAGGATATATTAAAGTCCTTGAAGATTTTTCTCAGTCCCTATATCTGAATGATTTAGTAACAATCATTGCTGAGTTCTTAGAGGAAATCAACATAATGGGTTAACAAAGAAGGAACATTCTGACAGTTATCTTGGTTATTTAATTTCCCTAGTACGAGGCTTTGCCTTGGAAACAGACTGTGATTGCTTACGAAATACAACACTACACGATCACATATTGCCACTGGGTGTCAAAGCACTCATTGGCGCTTAGTCAAATAGCTGGCAAAGTATACTCAAAGCCCAGTTTTATTGCTGTGTATATTACATTAAGTCCATTTGTCCCAAGCCTTTAGGATGCCAAAATATGTTGTTTAGTGTTATAAATAGCAGACTCCGTATTAGTGGAGAAACATATACTAAATCCTTTAACTGGTAAGTGTTTCTGTTATTCAAACAAGTTACATCTCATTAAAACAATTTATAGTTATATCTATGTGATGAACATATTAAAAGTAGCACATAACACTATTCTGACCTTTATGTTGGTACTGGCATACACAGCAAAATATAGTCTCACAACTAACCAGCTTTTTATAAATGATGACACTTTGCTGGTAAAGCATCCTTTAAAATCCTTTGTGGCTTGATCATTTGCCTTTCTCCTCCAAGCTAGCCCGACATATAATTCTTGTCATATTTCGGCACTAAATAGAATCTCTTACTCATTCTTATCAATTTTTTTATTTAAAAAAAAAAAAAGAATTACTCCCACAAAATTGCAGAAATTAAAATGTACAATAAATATATACAACCAACAATAACATTGTTCTTCAATAGTTTTAGAGCAATATATTCCAAACCTGAATCAAGGAAATCGGTATTTATGACTTGTTTTTGATAAATCTATAATACATGCGTCTTTGGTCATATGATATAATGTTCATATAATGTTCAAATAATGTTACTTTCTGAGACTGCTAGAAAACCTCTTGCATCTTGAAATTCATTAGCTGTTATATGAATTGCATGTAACAATTTGCATCGGCATGGTGTAACATCATTTTCCATGGATTCATGTATTTCCTGTAGCAGTTTTGTGGTATGGTAAGCTAGAACATGTGACCTGCTAGTCAGACATTGAACAAGGAACTTTCAAACTGTCCTATTTCCAACAGTATTTGTGGTCATCAAAGACAATATTTTTAATGGATTTGTGAAACAAAATATAACTGTGACTCATCACCATTCCAAGAGGAATGTATATATTGCGTCCTAAGGACACTTCTAGTGGCTGTCTCTCTTACAGCCACTAGAGGGGCTTCCTGGTGCAGTCCTGCTATTTTTGCAGAACCAATGTTGGGCATATTTACGCTCAGCATGAAAGTGTCAAACAGTCCCCATAGAGAGGCATTGGGTCAATGTATTTCCACGACGAGATGCAGATTGGAGCAGCGCATGGATTGATGCACATGAGCAGTATCTCTCCTAACGCTTCCCCATGAAGAAGCATTGGACTAGCCAACATTATTAGTAATTATGATTTCAGCCAGGGGAGCATCGCCGGGGGATATAAGGTGAGTAAAACTGCTTATTTTATTACTTCTGGGAGAGGCATAAATCTGAATTGGTATTATAATATTCTAACATTAGGAATACATGTTTGTATTCCTGGTGTTAGACTATTACTTTAATGTTGTGCCTGCTAGCAAATTTTTCCATTAGAAGAACCCTCCAAGTCTTGTCTGGCTTATTTTATAAAAGTGTAAATTTCAAGAGAAATCTGCACTTTTATGAATTAAGCAGATAGTCAGTAGGGGTTCCTGCCTCACTAGCTTTGAACATTAGTTTTCATAAATGAGCATTCGTTTCAATGTTTCTTTATGATAATTGCTGTATGTGTGACATGTCCCAGTGCTTCCCTATGAGAAGCATCAGACTGAATACTAGTCATCAATAATGATAAATTCACGAGCAGGATCAGCATTTTAGTGAGAAAACAATCCCACAGCTGTATAAAAAGTGAGTTCGGTTGATTATCAGCTGTTTTAATAAAAAAAACTGGAGGGTGTAGTAATCAAAATATCAATGGGATTTCTCTGATTGATTAATTAAATGAATTATAGTCATGGATCCTAGTGCTTTTTCAATTATTGAAATACAACATGCAAAATTAGTAAGGTCAAATGAGTAAATTGTCAGAATATTTACATTTAAATAATATAATGTTACTATCTCCCATCTTACAAATTCTGTAAAAATATCCCCCAAAATAAATTACACATTCGTCATAGCTATAGTATGCAATATAGGGCTTTTCAATTGCAACAAATCCCATGAGTCAGCTTATTTAGGGTGACTGGACTTAACAAATATAGTAAATCACAGGTTACTTCTGTTATAGTATGTTCATTTATTATTTGTAAGAACATTACTTTCAATAATGTCTACAAGGCCGATTGATTTTTCTTTATACAGCAATATAAAGTCAGTGGCCCATGGTGGTAAGATGTTGACTGATCTATTGTGGCTGAAAAAGAAAGCCAACAAGAATGTGAATTCAGGCGAAAGCTTGGTTCTCAGCAACTTGCTTGAATACATCACCAACTTGAATAGCTTGAACTCTACAAGAACCAACATGCAGACCTCTAGTGATCAGGATAATGCGACTCTATGCAATAAGTTTAAGCAAGCTTACAACGTAAGCATCAGGAAACCAACCAAATTCCAGCTTTTGCAATCCAAGTTCATGAATCCAAACCAAAGACCGCCAATGAAAAAGCAGAGAGAAGTAGGAAAGCTGATATGTAGGGACAAGCAACATGTCACCAGAGCACCTGTTAACAATCCAGTAAGAAAATTAGATCTTTCAAAGTATCCAAATCTCAAAAAAGAAAGTAATAATCTGCCCTTGCCTACTGACAAGGTCGTTTGGAATAAATCTAATGGAAAGTCAAGAGTGAAGTCAATTCTAAAAAGGTTTATTGCTGCAGAGGAGAATGGAAATAAAGATAGTCCTCTAAATTCAAGAATGGGGAACATGAAAAGTAATGCTCCCAAAATACTTCGTAGAAATACAGTTATTTCAGCTTTAAAAGAAAAGTTTGAACAGAACTCAACAATTTGCTCAGTGAGAGAGGTAAAGTCTTCCGTTGTTCCCAAATTGCAAAAGCAGAATGAGAAACCATCAGCAAACAAGTGTATTAAGAAAGCAGTGGTAAAAGGATTACAGATTCCAGCAATGGAAGTAGAATACTTACAACCACCTACTCATGAACTTGCAAATTTGGTGGAAGAGACCATGCTGCTCTTTGTAGTTAAAAAGAATATAATGCATGGCCCTGTTGCTTGGATGACACATAATGCAAACCATGGCAAATCTGAAACCTATTGTAGTGAGCTTTGTAAGATAAATGACACAAAGAAAGGACTAGAAGAACACATTATCAAAAATGATACAAATGGTCAAGTTGTCTTACTTGAAACAAATGGGCCTGCTTGTTCAAGAAATGAGATTGGTACAACAAATAGCACTGACTGGACAAATGAAAAAAATGTACCAGGAGCAATGGCGGAAAAGTCAACCACTCATCAAGAGAGTCTTCAAAAAGCGGACAATCATTCTGAACTGAGGAATGCAGTTTACATTTCAGGAGATGAGAAAAATAACGGGGCCCAAGAAAACACAGATGCCTCAAGAAATACATTAGAACAGGAAATAATGAATGGACATTTTACTGAGAAACCAGAGATGACAGAGGATACATCAGTAAATATTTTAAGTGAAAAAGAGTATGAAGCGCAAAGAAGTAGGTCTATGCAAGCTCATAAAATAATGGTTAACCATCTTAATTCTGTATGCCAAAAAGAGAATCTGGAAAATAGGTATTTAGGTACTCATGACAACAATGAAATCCCTCTTGACCAAGGCAATCACAAAAACAAAAATGAAGAAAGAGTGGTGCACCCAATGAATGATGATAAGGGCAACTTAAAAACACGTAATGTGAAAGGAGATCAGCAACCAGTAGATAGAAATGAATTCAGCAAAAATGAGATTGAAGTAAAATACAAGGGAATAGCTGTACAGCCAACAAATGGTTGTGCACAATACCTTGGTAAAAGCAAAAATAATGTGAAAAATGAGGACGTAGTCAAAGACATATTATGTGACATCCCCAACAAAAACACAAATGAGGATGAATCAGAGAAAGACACAACAGAGGACAAAGACAGTATTACCATCAAGATCAAGAATGAAACAAGCAATTTCCAGGAAGACGTTAACTGTAAGTTGATTCTCAGCAGTAGCATGACTGATTTAAGTCATAAGGATGAGTCAGATGGACAACCATCTAAGGGTAGCGTGCACTGTCTCGACAAGGGCATAAGTGAAGTGAAAAATGAGGACATAGTTGAACACACAGTGAGTAACAGTATATATATAGTCAAGAAAAATAATATAAAATTTAAGGAACAATCAGAGGATAACCAAATGGAAGGAGAAAACTGGGGCATTCTCAGCAAGAATAAGAACACAAGAAGCAATGAAAAAGAAGATGTGGGAAGTGAATTAATTATCAACAAGGAGGAAACAGCTGAACAACCAACAAAGGAGCACAGCCAACACAAGAACAAAAATGATGTGAAAAATAAGGAAACCAATGAAAGCAAAGTAAGTGAGAATAAGTATATCCCCAACATAAACAACATAAAATATAATAACATATCAGAGGAATATCCAGCTGAGAACATTAAGAAAATTATTCGCAAGAATAAAAACACAGCAAGCAAAATGGATGAAGACAATGAACAACCTACAGATAATGACTACACTTCCACTACAAATGATCGTCTAACTAAAAATGACTTGAGTATGAGTTTTAAACAAAACAATGACACGTCACGCATTCATAACAAAAAACAAAGTGTTGTGAAATATGAAATGAAATGTCCAAAGCAGGAGTTAAACTCTTTGGTGTATAGCAATATGCAAAAACAAGGAATATGTGATGCAAATGTGAATCATGAATCACACAAACACACTATGATGATTCCAACAATCACCTTGCACAGAAAAGAAATAACAGCAAAGCCAAATGATGTTATTAAGCAATTAGTGAACACCAGCAGCGATGGAATGGAAAGAAGTCTGAGACTTAAATTGGATAATGATCACCCACAGTCTGTGACAGATGAAGTTAGGTCCAAGATGAAGAGTGATTGCAAATTGGAAAGGACATATGGTTTAAGCTACTCAATTACTGATTCACCTCCAAATGAGGACACACTGGAGGATATTCCTTCATTTTGTAACCTTAAAAACCAAGGGACTGGCAGTACTGAGCCAATGGTTCATTTTGAAAAGGCAACCTGTAAAAGTACACTAACTCACCATAACAACATACATGTCCCAAAGTATTCTTCTATCAAAATACAGCAAACATCCGAGTCTGAATGTATCAATAATCATAATAAACTGAATTGTAAATCATTAGCTAAGCCCGGGAAACAACATTACCTGCAAAATCTTGTGTCTGAGACTATGGGACAAAAACAGGAAAATTCTAAAGTGCATATAAATCAAACAGAAGATATGGACAAGGAGAGATTGCACAAACATCAAGTAAACTCAAAGTATCAAATCCCTTCATCCAAAGATCTGTGCAGCAAAGAAGAATCCATGGCATTCCCTACTCATAGAACAAGCTGTACCACCCTTGGTGACTCATCCAAGTACAAAGTACAAAGTTACCAGGACCCTAAAATATCCTCCACACAATCATTTAAGCCTTTAGTTGTCAGAGCAAGTGATACATTTAAACATTATACTTGATTTTTTTTCCTCAATGTTTCATCTCCTAAAATATATCCTATATGAGATTCCTTACTAAATTACAGTTATAAATAAGGGGTGTCATCATACACTTGACTAGACAAAGTCAAAGTCAAATTAGATGTTGGCTACTAACTGGAAGTACTGGTCACTAGCAAATTGCCCCTTTAACTGTTCCTGATTCAGGTAACCTCAAATCAGTGGATTATAATAATAACCTATTTTATACTAAGACTATTTTTGTTCTCCCAAGTGGAACTCTGCACATTTTGCATTCAAAACTATAGCTGATTAGTGAATGTTACTTATACCTTCATCAGACATGTATATTTCAGTAAATGTGTTTACATTTGTGATTGCTGGCTTTTCCCACTTCATGCAAGACTGATTAACAACCCATCGTCATCATCGTCATCATCACCAAAGATTAATGAGCAAAAGGCAAAATATATGTTTGTACTATGTTTTAACTGTACTATACACTGACTGCTTCACATTGTTGCTAGACTGCTTGTGAATAATTTTTAAACCATGATAATATAATGTATTAATACTAAATAATTATCTTTATGTGTATTTAATTTATGGTTATCTATATTGCAGCTAACAAAATGTATTATGAATCAAGTTAGTGTAATTTTAAATATATACTTTTTATAGTCAAGTTTTATAAAGGGTTTATTTATATATATTTTTTTAATTTATTTTGTCTCCACAAAAGGTGTTTATATTGTAGAATATGAATGTACGGAATTTAAAACAAATGTAAATATTTTAGTGAAGGTGGTCGTGTTAGAAATATAAATTAGTTGTTTTTTTTCCCTCAAAATTTTTCAAACTTCATTCTCTGAGGTGTATTGCTGGTGGCTACACAACTGCTTGTTAATCCATCCCCTGAACAGTGGGTATAATAAAAACAAAATAGGGTAGGGCCTGCTCCTGGACTCCTCTATTTCCCCACATCAATGCCCTATGAGTGAAGGGTTAATAATTAAAAGGTTGAACAGCCCATAGTTATATATTTATTACTAATAATATGTCAAGCAAGGGGCAGGGACATGCCATAACAATAACTATCATAACGGACTGTAGCAGGGCTGGCTTTATTGAAGCCCTGGTATGTCCATTGCACCCAGTGAGCACTTGGTAGGAGTGGCATTTCATCATTCTCTCTGGTGTTTATTTCCTCTCCAGTGTCACCGTCTGCAAGCAGCAGCAGCGAGCACCCCCTAGTAGGTGCCACTCAGTATAGTCAGTCTGGCTAAACAGACTGGGAACCCTATGGTGAGATGGGGTGGAATTAAAATATGTCACAACACCACTCCTTCCAACTTGCTCTGCACTTCAGAAGACAGCATAAGTGTGACAGAATATTGTGTTTGTTTCTGTTAGTCTATATGTAATTGTGTGTGTTTGCCAGTCTGTATGTAAGGGTGTGCATCTGTTAGTCTGTGTTGTGGTTGTGTGTGAGTTTACAAATGCAGTCGGTGTGTGTCAATGTGTCAATATGTTGGGGAAATGCACAATAAGAGATGTGGCATAGGTGGAGACCAGTGGCGTACACGAAAACTGTACCATGGGCCCCCCCGGAGGTTAAACCGCACGGGTCGGGGCCGCAACACATGGTGGCGGGCACCTGGTGAGAGGGGTCCACAGTGCGGCTGACACATACAAACACATACAGACACACACACACACATACATTCATACAGAGACACACACATATCCAAAATATTTTAGTCACCCTCCTGTTTTCTACCTTTTAGATGCAGATGAGTGACTTCCCTGGGGTCCAGTGGTGGCTCAGCCTGATGGGAGTTCCCATTCTGACTCCTTCCTCTCTTCCCTCCTCCCTCTCTTCCCTCCTCCTGCACGGCTCCCATTGTAAGCTGGGAGGAGTGACGGGGCAGTCACTTGCTCCCAGCTGTGATGTCAAAGTGGCGTACATGCAGCGGTCGCAGCTGCGACTGGGCCCGTCATTCAAGGGGGCCCAGTTGCCCTGCGGACCTTTGCGACCAGGTGCCCGCTGCCATGTTTTGCAGCCCTGGCCCGCGTGGTATAACCGCCGGGGCCACATGTTAAGGGGCCCATCGGGTGGCCCATGCTGTTAGGGACACCCGATGGCTATGGATTTCCAGAGGGGCCGGTCAGCGCGGTCCGCAGGGCAACTGGGCCCCTTTGAGTGACGGGCCACTGGGGGAGATGTGGGTGTGGCTTCATGAAGTAGGGTTTTGGTGGGTCAGGTGCGTTGGGGGCAACATTACATACTTGGGCTTAGGTAGCACTGTATTTTTGGTTTGCCCAGAGCTGTAGTAGTTATGGTGCTTAAAGTTCCCTGTTAGGTTACTAGAGTTTCTATTTTAAAACCCCCCTATTTAAAGGAACACCGTGTTAGGATTACAAGCATGTATTTCTAACACTATAATGCTTGAGTAAATATCTTGGTCCCCAGCCAACCTCAGAGTGGAGTGAGTTACTTACCTTTTCTCCATCGCTGCGCTGGTCTCGCTGTGGCTGGCCCCACCCTTATTGCCAAGATGAACAATTTTGATGACTTAAGCCAATCCAATGTTTTCCTGGCAGTATAGTTTCCCCTTAAGTATGTGAAGTGAAGTGGTCTGGATGCAGCTGGGGCCGGCCCAAGACATTGCACTGCCTGGGTCCAAGGATGAAATGCTACCACCCCTCACCAAAACCAAGCCCACCAAAACATACCCACATCCGTTATTTAATGCAGTGACTGTGGTGAATGCAGTTTGTTTAGGGGATGCAGTGTGTGCATGCATAATGTTTGTGTTTTTGTAGTAGATGCAGTGTCTGATTAGTAGATGCAGTGTGTGTAGTGAATGCAGTGTCTGTGTTTGTGTAGTGGATACAGTGTACAGTGCTGCAAACATATATAGCTGTACTCACGATTGATTATATATATATATATATATCTCAAAGAGGTAGCTTGAACTCACGGTCATTTTCCAAGCTAAAATGCCATACTTTATTCAAAAAAGTTAAAATATTTCAACGTTTCAGTCTCCGTCTGGGACTTTTATCAGGATCAAGAATTAGACAGGGGCGGCAAAGTTCCACCTGGGGCCATGGCCCCTTTGGAAACTATGCAAGGGTCAGACCTGGGTGCAATGGCCCTATTGTTTTGGTCCTGCAATGTAAAACATTGTTTACATTGCAGGTCTACTGACAGCCACTAGATGGTGCTTCCCCTGTAAGTGTTCTTTCAATTAACATCCTGTGCTGCTTCTCATAGAGAAACATTGGATGCATTGCTTCTCTGTGACTGGAGTGCTTCTCATCCACATTTCTTCTCTATAAGAAGCAGCGGATTGTACTAAAACAATGTCTCATTCCAGGAAACAAGTTAATTAAAATATATTAATTTTGCATTTTCAAAAGAAAAGGGGATGGACAGATGTCACTGTAATGACAAGGAACTAATAGTCTCAAAAAATTATTATTTGCAGGACTATAGTTTCCCTTTAACAGCAATATGTAAAATATCTAAAAGGACTCACTATTGTGTACTTTTGTAAAGAGATTGAAATGAGTTATACCCTTGATTACAGATTTCTCAGTAAAGCTCTTGTGCTCCACCATGTGGTATGATATTTATCAACACTAATCTAAATAGTAATTTGGTACAACAAAGGTGGGACTATTCCGCATGAAGGACAGTGACCTAAATGTGTTCATGTTTAATTTTGCTTAAGCCACTATTACAAAAAATTAAATGAACTTATTATTAAAGGAGGCCCATGAGGTTGGCATGAGTGTTAAGTTCACTATTATGTTTGGGAAACAGAGCATGATCCGAGGCACTGATGTGTGAGCCACAGGAGGAGGGCTTGCAGTTAAAGATCAACCGGTGAACTTATTATGGAGTGTCCTAGAAGCCACCTGGGAACAATAACCAGCCATTACCACTTTTCTCCAGGAATAATTCGAGTTTTGAAGGATATGCAAATAATTAGAGGGTCTTGGGGATATGCAAAGCACTCTTGTTGAGGAACAATTTTCAGCTCTTTCTTGATTTAGGCAGCATTCACTAGAACAACAGTAAGTAGGTATGTTTATATATATCTCTTACCAACAAATCTTTAACTGCCAGAAAGCTCATAAATTAAACAAAACATGTTCAGTTCAATTAATAATACTTTGAGATCTAGTCTTGTTTTTAGTCTATGCATTAGGCTCTATAGCTACCATCATTCCATACAAGGAGATAGATGAAACATTATCATATACCTAAGATTGTCATGCATTACGATCATTAGGTGTTAAAGGGACACACTAAGCACCATAACCAGTACGTTTTATTGTAGTGGGTACGATGCAGAGTCTTGTCATTCTTCCTTTAATTTGTGCCAAACCATTTTTGGGTCTCTCCTGGCAACTAAAGTTCAAGCAGTCTGTTGCAGCTCAGCTAATGGAAAAAATGAACTTGGAAATGCTGGGGTCACTCATCATTGCTGTCCAAAACTGAATGGCTATAGTAGTTCAGTTCATTTCTGCATTGCCTGGGTTTCAAGAGAGTGGCTAAGCTTTAGGTAATGGAGATCTCATTGTTTTTTCACACTATGTGCAAGAAATTTGATACAAATGGGTAAGGCAGCACCATACTCTATAACACAGATTGGCAACCTTCAACACTCCAGATGTTGTGGACTACATGTCCCATAGTGATCTTGCAGCCAAAAAGCTGACAAAGCATCAGGGGAGCTGTAGTCCACAACATCTGGAGTACCCACCGTATAGCATGAGCTATATTGGTAATGATGCTAAGAATGCCTAGTTAATGTCACGATTCGGGGAACCAAACACGCCAACACACACACACACACACAAAGTGCCGTACCGGACCTTAGAGTGGCCGGGCTAAGCACACAAAGAATAGTCAGGAAACAAGCCGAGTAAGGGGAACCAGAAGACAGAATAACGTGAAACAAGCCGAGGTCAAAGGGTAGGAGAAAGTCACAGAGTCGGATAACAAGCCAGAGAGTACGTAACCAGAAGCACAAGTTCAGAATCAATACTAACAAGCAAAGACCACAACAGGGCAAGGAGGAACAGGAAAGGTAAGTATTTAAACCATCAGGTTAATTCTGATTGGATGATTTCCAATCAGAATTAACAATCACACGTGGGAGATATTTAGACCTCCCACTGTGATTGTGGCACTTTGCCTTTAACGCCGGGTCAGGTGACTGAACCCGGCGTGTATAACCCTGGGCGGTCTCCCAGCGTGCAGCGTCATGCATGCTGCCGCTGGGGGACGTGGAGGGAACGGCGGGCGGCATCCGAGGCTGGAAGGATGCCGCTCGCCGTACCCACGAGGCGGAGGGGACCGCGGACGGCTGGAGGGTGAGTACTGCGAGCGGAGTGCAGCCTCCCCTCGCAGCCGTCCGCGGGAGCCTGACATTACCCCCCCCTCGAAGACCACCCAGGGGGTGGGAAGCGGAAGGCTTCAAAGGAAAGCGGGCATGAAAGGAGCGGACCAAAGAGGGAGCGTGCACATCGGAGCTTGAAACCCAGGACCGCTCCTCAGGGCCGTACCCCTTCCAGTCCACCAAATATTGCAGCCGACCCCTAGAAACACGAGAGTCGAGAAGGGTAGCCACCTCGTACACGTCGTCAGAGACAGCTCGAGGGGAAACGGGCCGCCCGAGGGGACGAGAGAACCGGTTACACAGCAAGGGTTTCAAAAGCGAGACGTGAAACGTGTTCGGGACACGCATGGAAGGAGGCAAATCAAGGGAGTAGGAAACGGGATTAACCCTACGTAACACCTTGAAGGGACCAAGAAATCTGGGGGCGAATTTCATCGAGGGAACCTTGAGACGGAGGTTCCGGGAGGACAACCATACCCTATCACCCGGAACATAGGAAGGGGCCGCAACCCTACGGCGATCAGCAAACTTTTTCTGAGCAGCCGCTGAACGAGACAGCGCAACATGGACTTGATCCCATGTCTTCCGCAAAGAGGCGAGGTGCTGGTCCAAGGCGGGCATTCCCTTGTCGGAGAACGCACCGGGAAGGACAGAAGGACGAAACCCATAAGCAACCTCAAAAGGACTTAAGCCAGTAGACGAATGAGACACCGTATTCCTGGCAAATTCAGCCCACGGAAGAAGGCGAGACCAGTCATCCTGGTGCGCATTAGTGAAGCAGCGCAAATACAATTCCACAGACTGATTAGCACGTTCGGCCGCACCATTAGATTGCGGGTGATAGGAGGAAGAAACGACAAGGATACCCCCATCTCAGCACAAAAGCCCCTCCAGAACCGAGAGACAAATTGAGGGCCCCTGTCAGATACGATATCCTGGGGTACCCCATGCAATCGGAACACTTCTTTGGCAAATACCTGAGCTAACTGAACCGCAGAAGGCAGTTTCTTAAGCGGAATGAAGTGCGCCATTTTAGAGAACCTATCCGTCACAGTCAGTATCACCGTCTGACCATCAGAAAGAGGCAGGTCTACAATGAAATCCATGGATAAGTGGGTCCATGGTTTCTTGGGTATAGATAGAGGCATCAGAAAACCCTGGGGTCTCATATTAGGGGACTTACATTGCGTGCAGACCTGACAAGCCTGAACAAAATCCACTACGTCTCGCTTGAGTGAAGGCCACCAGAACTGTTGAAGGAGGCCCTTGTAGGTTTTGGTAACCCCCGGATGACCAGCAGTTTTGGCTGTGTGAAATAAAGTTAACAACTTTTTTCTGTCATTAGCTTCAACGTATAGTTTACCAACCGGCGTCTCAGGGGGTGCCTGGGTTTGGTATGTCTTAATACTGGTAAGGAAAGGTGAAGAAACAACCAAACGGGTAGCAGCTATTATCTGAGACTCAGGTACAATAGGTTCAGGAGTCGGGTTAACAAATTCTACTGGTTCATGCTGCGAGAGATGGCGTCAGCTTTGGCATTACGGCAACCAGGTCTATAGGTGATAACATATTGGAAGCGTGAGAGAAATAGAGACCATCTAGCCTGCCGGGCAGATAACCTTCTAGCATCAGCAATATAGGATAGATTCTTATGATCTGTTATAACCATAATTTTGTGTCTAGAACCCTCTAATAAGTACCTCCATTCCTTGAAAGCTAACACAATAGCTAATAGTTCCCTATTCCCAACATCATAATTCTTCTCTGAATCAGACAACCTTTTAGAAAAATAACAACAGGGATGGAGGGGTTTGTCATAAGACAACCTCTGTGACAGTACGGCTCCCACACCTGACTCTGAGGCGTCTACTTCCATAACAAAGGGAAGAGAAGGATCAGGGTGGTGCAGCACTGGAGCAGAGGCAAATGCCTTCTTGAGGGTTTCGAAGGCCTTAAGGGCTTCAGGAGTCCAAACCCTAGGATGTAGACCTTTTTTTGTCAACTTCGTTATGGGAGATATGAGTGGTGAAAAGTTTTTTATAAATTTCCTATAATAGTTGGCAAATCCTATAAAACGCTGGATAGCCTTTAGTCCTTGGGGAAGTGGCCAGGACATTATAGCTTCCAATTTAGCAGGATCCATACTGAAACCCTGTTCAGTAATGATATATCCTAGGAATTGCACAGAGGTCTGATCGAATAAACATTTTTCTAACTTACAGTAGAGTCCGTTCTGCAATAGCCTTTTGAGCACCATCCTAACATGGTTATGGTGTGACTTCAAATCAGGAGAATACACAAGTATGTCGTCAAGGTATACTACAGCACAGACATGCAATAGATCCCTAAGGACATCATTTATGAGGTCCTGAAACACGGCAGGAGCATTACACAATCCAAAAGGCATGACCAGATATTCGTAATGCCCACTGCGTGTGTTGAAGGCTGTCTTCCACTCGTCATTCTCCTTTATACGGACAAGGTTATAAGCCCCCCTGAGGTCTAATTTGGTGAAAATTTAGAACCTTTAACACGATCAAACAACTCAGTGATGAGGGGGATAGGGTAGGCGTTTTTAACCGTTATATTGTTCAGACCCCTGTAGTCTATACATGGCCTCAAATCACCCTCCTTCTTAGCCACAAAAAAGAAACCAGCACCAGCAGGAGAGGAGGACCTTCTAATAAAACCTTTTCTTAGGGATTCCTGTATGTACTCCTCCATGATTTGGTTCTCTTTTTCAGAAAGAGGGTAGACCTTTCCCCTAGGAGGCATAGTGCCCGGTAAGAGGTTTATGGCACAATCATACTCACGATGTGGAGGTAGCTTATCTGCCTCCCTCTTCTCAAAAACCAAGGCAAGATCCGCATAAACAGAGGGCACAGAAACCGAGAGTGGTTTAGCCGTGGGTACGTTAAGTAAACAGACAGGATGTACATGAGCCACACAGTCTCGCTGACAAGATTCCCCCCAGGAAAGTATGTCTAAACAACCCCAATCAAGAACAGGGTTGTGTTTAACTAACCAGGGAAAACCTAGAACGATGGAGGCTGTTGGGGAGTTAATTATTTGGAAGGTTAACTTCTCTTTGTGCAAAACACCCACAGACATAACTATTT